GTGGGAGGAGATGAACAGACATGGATAGAGAGATCACTGATGTCTGTGTGACACTTACTATTCAGTTGACTTTTTTACCGTTTTACAAAGAATGAGAGGAAGTAATCTGGTGATGTAGCTCAGTGACACTGAGCCCTAATGGAGCTTCCCTTCCATCCGCCTGACTGAAATCAGCTAACTCAACACGTGCAACTCAGCAAGATCACTGTCTAAAAACGGGGTTGAGGGTTGGGAAGAGATTACCACGGACCCAGAATGCGTCCACAGAAATGTATTCTGCCACAGAATATGTTTCATTAACTCTGCAAATTGACTGACTGATTTCAGTCCAGAACTTTACATGTTGCAAAACCAAGAGAGCAAAATGAACCCTTGCTCACAAAAAGCTCGGTCACAGTCAGGTCACAGAGACACCATTCCTGGGTAGTACAGTATATATAGCTGCTGTGTATTGAGAGCATTTGAAGCAAGGCTGCAGCATGAAGCCAATCAACCAAGACAAGTCGACCATCCCTTTAAACGTGAAACATATTGATAGCAATTGACTGAAGTGGCCTCAAATCCATATGCAGAAAACCAGACCTTCCCCAGTTGTAGTGAGTAAGTAATGGTTGTAAATAACACTGTTTGGATTTAAGGTTAATTGAAATGTGATTGCACAGTAAGTGCCTCAAATTAGCCTCAGATTGAATGGTAACTGTAACTGAGGTCATATTGGAGCCCAAGTATAGAGATAATTACAGCTCCTCATTCATTGTGGTCCATCCACCCTCTTATCCTTGACTACGGATATGCCAATGAAATACAACCTCTTTAGAGATGAAAGAGCTCTTTGTGACAGCATCTTAAAGAAAATATACACGGTGTGCTCTTCCATTCCTATTGTGACCTCCCAGAACCCCCGCAAAAAGTTATACAGGGATGTGACCAGTGACCTGGCTTTCCCACCATTAGCAAACATTATCAAACAGTCCTGAGGTTACTGAGTGGATGAGTGAACTTTCATTCAAATCACAATCATTTAAAAGTAAATAGATTATATAATAATAATAATCCTTGCATTTGGTATAGTGCTTTTTACGTCTTCTAGACGTCTCAAAGCGCTTCACAGAATATACTGTAACGTGAATGGACTATATTTGTGGGCAAAACGCGCCAGCCAACTGCGCACAGCAGTGCCCCACAAGCAGTCGTGGATTCAGTGACCAAGTTATTATTGTTTTTTTTTTAAATTATGCACTATTCACACTGAATTGATTCTGTATTGTATTGCTGTACATGTACACGTCTTGATTTTGGAGAGGTGATGGGGAGGAACAACAGTGACTCTCCAAGGGGCAATTCAGAGATTCATAGAACATTTGCAGCACAAAGGGAGACCCACTGAGCTGTATGGGAACCGCTTTTTGTTTCCCCGCTGGAGCTCTCTCCAATGCCCCATTCCCCATCAAGTCTACACTGGTGCTCGCTTCCCACAATGGAGCTATACCATTGCCTACTTTTTCCTTATTCCCTTTTCTTGAGCATTTATTCTTTTCCTATTTAAATTCTACTTCGACAGATTTTTGCACTAAGACAATCCACATTCTAACAAGCATCTGTGTTTAAAAAAACTTCTAACCTCTCCCTTTTTTCTTGTGATATTACTATTTTTTTCCTCTTGTTAATGAATCACTGAACAGTAAAAACAATCTCTTTATTTACCCTATTAAGCCATTCAGAATTTCGAAAACCTCCATTAGATCATCCTTTAACCTTCCCTGCTCCAGCCAAAACACTCCCTACTTCTCAAGTGTCCACATAATTCAGCCTTGGTATCATTCCAGTAAATCTTCGCTGTATCCTCTGTATTGCTATGCTGTGCTTTCTATAAACATAATCATAGCAATATAATGGTGTGTGGTTAAAGAGAGTGACTGAGAACTTAGCAGTACAGTGAGCTTCAAATAATATTAATCCTTGAGTTTGATACATTGCCTTATCATGTCATTGAAATGGCTTAAAGGGTTTCACATGATTTACTGTAAACTGTGACTGAGTATTTTTTGGCGAACATGGCAGTCAATTTGTGCACAGCGAAGTTTCACAAACAACCATGGAGTGAGTGAACAATGTTATTTGGCTCGCACGCAGAGGGGAAAGCTCCCTTCTCTTTGTGGATAATGCCATGGAATCTTTAACATCTTTAGGCAGACACCACCTTGGTTCATCTCATCTAAAGCACAGCAGAGAGCTGAGGCAGAGGCCATTTCATTCTCAGAGGTGTAGACCTTCCAATGAGAAGTTAAAACAAATTCCCATCTGGAACGTGGCTGACAATCCCCCCAGATAATTTGGTCACTCACTTTATTGACCATGTGGGAGCTTGGGCTTTGCTTAAATCAGCTGCTACATTGTTCTTAGGCAGTGATATGAAGCACGCTTAGCACTAAATAACAATTTTTGCATTTAATGTGTCTTTCACGTCAGGAGGATGTCTCAAAGTGTTTTGCAGGATCTATTGTAAAGTGCAGTGACCGTGTATCTTTTTGACAAACGTTGCAGCCAATTTGTCTACAGCAGCGTCGCATAAACACCCATGGAGTGAGTCAACGATTTTATTTGGGGGATTGTTGCCCAGGACATCGGGAGAGAAAAACTCCCTTCTCTTTTAGAATAGTGCCATGTGATCTTTAAAGTCCACCTGAACGCGCAAAACGGACCTCGGTTTAATGTCTCGCTGTATCAAATGGAAGGATTATTATCACAATTATCTTCCCCCGGAATTAGGTTTAGACTTTTAGATGAAAGGCTGGTTCAGGCAGTTTGAGTAGAGCACGCCATGGCACCATCACTCCCTCTTGCTTTCCACAGGAAATATAAGTTAGCCTTTCAGTCAGCCAGTCTCCTAAAGAGGGGGTATCTATGGCAACTTCAGAGAATTAAACCCAGAGGTTGTAAAGTTAAAAAACGGGATATAATTAAATCATTAACTGCCAGGGGAGGGGGGGGGGGGGGGGGGCAGGGGGGGGAGGAGGGGTTTAGAGCCCCGGAGACCTGACATTTATCAACCAGAGTGAACAGCGATTGATCTCCCCCTCCCCGTTAAAAAAAACTTTTAGAAAACATGTAAACTTTGTTTAATAATCCTTGCATTTTTAATAATAATCCTTGCATTTGGTATCAGCGCCTCATCATGCCTTCAAGACGTCTCAAAGTGCTTCACAATATATAATAATAATAATAATAATCCTTGCATTTGATATCAGCGCCTCATCATGCCTTCAAGACGTCTCAAAGTGCTTCACAATATATACCGTAAAGAGTGCGTATACGTTGTGGGCAAAACCCGGCAGCCAATTGCGAACAGCAGCGCCCCGCAAACAGTCGCGGATCGAGTGACCAAATAATTATTTTTTAAAAAATTATGTTTCGAAGGGATTATTACCGCCCGAAAAGCAATCCGCCAATTGACTCACCGGGTTCCTGCCTACTGCCGGGTAAACAGAGCCGGGCTCTGCGGAGTAAGGAAACTTGCCTAACGCTTCGCCCCGTCCGGGAATCGAACACAGGTCCTCTTGCTTGCGAGGCGAGCGTCCGAACCAATACGCGGCCGGACTCCCCAAATATTTGTCAACGGGGGGGGCTTCGTGGGGGTTTTTTTTTCACAAGTACGCAAAAGTTTCTCTTTAGTTTTATAATAACAATAATAATCCTCGCATTTTGATAAGAGCGCTTTTCACGTCGGGAGGACGTCCCGAAGCGCTTCACAGGACAGGACACACTGTAAAGTGAATCGACTGTGTGTATATTCGTGGGCGAACGCGGCGGCCGATTGCGGGCAGCGACGTCCCCACAAAGAGTGGGGGATCGAAAATGACCACTTTATTGTTGTTTGGGGTTTTGGAGGGATTATTAATTTTGGAAAACCTTTCCGGGAGAGAGGGGGGTGTGGGTGGGGGTGTGGGGGGGTGTGGGGGGGAATCCAATGCATTAAATATAAATATGATTTATTTTTATTTGTTTGATTAATAAGTTATGTATTTGATTAATAAGTAATAAGTTGATCCCAGTTATGGTTTGAGTAGTGGGGGAACTTTTGCAAAGTGGACATAAAGTTGATGGGGACTCACAGTCGCTCTCGGGATGGGGGGGAGCAGTGGGGGGGGGAGAGGGGGGGATATTTTTCTCTCTCTCTCTCATCGCAGAAGGTGTCTCCCCCCTCCCTCCCCCCCCCCCCCCCGGGGCTGTGTGTGAGGGGGGGACCGGGGGCAGCGGAGACTGTGTGTAACTGCGGTTTGGGGGAAGTTTTATATAAAACTTGTGAGAGCTGTGCTGTGCTGTGTGTACGTCAGTCAGGAGGGAACCCGAGCGGCAACACCCCCCACCCCCACCCCCCACCCCCCACCCCCGGGCTGTCAGGAGGGTCTGGGACTGTGCTCGGGCTGTGAGTGTGTGTGAGTGTGTGTGTGGGGGTGTGTAGGGCCTGTGGGGTGCAGTGCTGTGTGTGTGTGGGGGTGCGGTGTTGTGTGAGTGTGTGTGTGGGGGCTGTGGGGGCTGTGGGGGTGGGTGCTGTGGGGGTGCGGTGCTGTGTGTGGGGGCTGTGGGGGTGGGTGCTGTGGGGGTGCTGTGCTGTGTCTGGGGGCTGTGGGGGTGGGTGCTGTGGGGGTGCAGTGCTGTGTGTGTGGGGGTGCGGTGCTGTGTGTGTGTGGGTGTCCGGGGGCTGTGGGGGTGGGTGCTGTGGGGGTGCAGTGCTGTGTGTGGGGGCTGTGGGGGTGGGTGCTGTGGGGGTGCGGTGCTGTGTGTGGGGGCTGTGGGGGTGGGTGCTGTGGGGGTGCAGTGCTGTGTGTGTGGGGGTGCGGTGTTGTGTGGGTGTGTGTGTGGGGGTGTGTGTGGGGGCTGTGGGGGCTGGGGGGGTGGGGGCGGTGGGGGTGGGGGCTGTGGGGGCTGTGGGTGCTGTGGGGGTGGGGGTGGGGGCTGTGGATGCCGGGGTGGGGGCTGATGGTGTGCCTGGCAGTGGCAGTGGCAGTGGCAGTGGCAGTGGCAGTGGGAGCGGGAGGCCGGGGCAGCTGATGGAGAAGTCGGGCTCTGTCCGCCCCGGGGCCGCGCCGCCGGACCCCCCTCCCGCCCCCTTCTCGGTCAGTCAGCTGCTGGGCAGGAGCGGGGGGCGGCCGTCCGGCGGCCAAACCGGAGACCCCCGGGACCTGTCGGCACTGACCAGCGGCAGCGGGAAGGCTCCGCAGGACGGTGAGTGATGGGGGGGGGGGAGTGTGTGGGGGAGAGGGGGCTGGGAGTGATGGGGGGAGTGATGGGGGGAGTGATGGGGGGAGTGAGGGGGGAGTGATGGGGAGGGGGCTGTGAGGGGAGGGGGACTGACGGGGAAGGGGCTGTGAGTGATGGGGGAGTGATGGGGGAGTGATGGGGAGGGGCTGTGAGCGATGGGAGTGACGGGGAGGGGGCTGTGAGCGATGGGAGTGATGGGGAGGGGGCTGTGAGGGGAGGGGGAGTGACGGGGAGGGGGCTGTGAGTGATGGGGGAGTGAGGGGGGAGTGAGCGGAGGGGGCTGTGAGCGATGGGAGTGATGGGGAGGGGCTGTGAGGGAGGGGAGTGACGGGGAGGGGGCTGTGAGTGATGGGGGGAGTGATGGGGGGAGTGAGCGGAGGGGGCTGTGAGCGATGGGAGTGATGGGGAGGGGGCTGTGAGCGATGGGAGTGATGGGGAGGGGGCTGTGAGGGGAGGGGAGTGACGGGGAGGGGGCTGTGAGTGATGGGGGAGTGATGGGGGGAGTGAGCAGAGGGGGCTGTGAGCGATGGGAGTGATGGGGAGGGGGCTGTGAGGGGAGGGGGAGTGACGGGGAGGGGCTGTGAGTGATGGGGGGAGTGATGGGGGAGTGAGCAGGGGGCTGTGAGCGATGGGAGTGATGGGGAGGGGGCTGTGAGGGGAGGGGGAGTGACGGGGAGGGGGCTGTGAGTGATGGGGAGTGACGGGGAGGGGCTGTGAGGAGGGGGAGTGACGGGGAGGGGGCTGTGAGTGATGGGAGTGACGGGGAGGGGGCTGTGAGTGATGGGGAAGTGAGGGGAGGGGGCTGTGAGGGGAGGGGGAGTGACGGGGAGGGGGCTGTGAGTGATGGGGAAGTGAGGGGAGGGGCTGTGAGGAGGGGGAGTGACGGGGAGGGGGCTGTGAGCGATGGGAGTGACGCGGGGGGCTGTGAGTGATGGGAGGGGGGGGTGTCCCTGTGTTGTGGGGTGACTGTGGCTTCTGCCGGTGATGGGGACTGAGAAATCAGATGAACTTTGGGTACCGACGGCCTCGTTCGGGACACACTGCGAACCTGTACCTGGGAATCCCGACTGCACACTGTAGCAATATCTGTCGTTGTGCCTTACGCCAATATCACGGTTCATAACAGAGTCTTTGCAGTTTGTACTAAATAATTACAACGATTATAATTTTTGGTCAACCAGATGTCTGACACGCAGTGGGTGGGGGAGTGACGGGAGGGGACGGGAGAGTATCCCTACACGGAAATCCCAGCGATAGATTGTTGGAATGGATGCTCTCTCTCTCTCTCTCTTTCCCTGGAGGGACGTATCCTGCTTATCTAATTCCGGAAGGTATAAGCGCGGGTTGGCAAAGCCAAGGCTTGGGGACCTCAGAGTGTGCGTTGGCGTAACTGCTGGCGTCTTCAGCCAAAACCCGGGCAGCTTCATATTGATATCGCTATCTAGCAAGGTTTCTTGCTGTTTGTCCGGCTAGGACCACCCTACCCGTTGAGGGTTTTGGCTCGCAGGGTTAGCAGGAGCTGAGTGGGATGACTCCTTTCCCCGGTGACTGGTTCTGCCCTTCCGGATCCTGCCGATGAGCCAGGATGGGCTGCGCTGTCATCAGCTGTGCCCTGGAATACTGTGGATCCGCCTGGCTCAGGAACCGGACTGGAGACCATCACAGAGGGCTGGCTCGATTCTGACTTTCCGTTGCCAAGCATGTCACTGCGGAGCCAGTTCAGTTACAAGGAGACACCGCTTACAATTATAATAATAATAATTCTTGCATTTGGATATAGCGCCTGATCACGTGGTTGAGATATTTCAACAGGATATATTATAAAGTGAATCGACTGTGTATTGTGTGGCCAATTTCGCACAGCAGTGTTCCACACAGTAATGGAATGAGTGAGAGATTAAGGGATTATTACCTCTAGAAAGCAATCTGACAATCGACTGCTTACTGCTACGTAAACAGAGGCGTGTGGAGTAAGGTATTATTATTAATAATCACATTTTGTATGAAATAATCATGCAGGGGTAGGTACCCAGTCAATGTCCCACAGGATTTCTTCCCAGGTCTATCTCCTGACCCTAAATGCTTCTAATTTCCAGGAGTTTGTATTTTAGAAAAACCTTTCTATCTTCTTGTTGCAAACCATTCCTTCCCAAACCACTGGAGCGTTGTTTGTCCAAGAAACACATCAACATGCACCTGGAGTATATTTTGGAACTTCAGTCTGAATCTAAACAGATTCAAGCACAAACATAGATCAAAATATTTATTGAAATCTTTGTAATCTACAATGTGAGACCACATGACTGTAGTCAGGCTCATTCGGCAGCAGGTGACTACCACCATAAGACTTGCACTCGTCTCCATATAAACTTTCTCCCCATATAAACTTAACGTAGAAACTTTCTAACCTTTATAACAGCTTCAGTTCTCCTCACTGCCCAGGAGAGCAGTTAGTTTGGAGCCGGCTGCAATTCACGTCACTGTTGGAAGGGACACGCACGCCTTTGTGTTTCACATTATATCATAAACCGGGGTCGTAGGCAGAAATCAGCTGTCACGTCCTAACTGCTTTAATTTTCTTTAAAAATCATAGTTTATTGCAGTCTGATTCTCACTGTGCACAGAGGCGATTTACACCTGGAAGTGTCATTATACACACTCGTACAGAATCTCCCTCCTTGCCTCCCTCTCAGCCACTGACCTGTCGATTGCACCTCAGTTTCTCCTGAATTAATTTGGGACCTAAGCATTTTGTTTTCTAAATTCCCCGAATCTGTATTCTCTTCCAAACGTGTGTTCTCGCAAATCCAGAAAAACAAATTCTCATTCATCGAGAACACAGTGCAAAATGTATAATCGCTGGAATTTCAAAACAGGCAAGTACCGTAACGTCTAACTTAACACCAGCGCTTCCTGTGGTTTTGTATTTCTCATCTGTGGAATTTCCATCCATTGTTGGCCTTTATCTGCATGAAATCTAAAAATTGTTTTGACTGTACAGTAAAACCCTGCTGCCCAACTCCTCTCCTCATTTTGTCCCCCCCCCACTCCTTCCAGGGTCTGGGGAATTAAATTAACCAGGAAATTATTGATCAGGGCGTGGGGATAGCAATATATACAGGGTGACCAAAAAGTTGTGATTACCATTACAACGTCTAATACGTCTGGAATAAATTATGTTTTTTTTTAGAAATAGGGTAGATATCACAATTTTTCGGTCATCCTGTACAAGGTATACTTGGCAAAAAATAGGGGGGGGGAGAACTCGTTGGACCTGTGAATGATTTATACACACACAAAAAAAATCACCCCCCCCCCACCCTCACCAAGAGCTAATGGAAGAGTTACTCTTCCTTCTCCTCCTCGTGGGCACCAGTGCAGTGAAAGATGTGCTGGACTAATATAGTGACTTTCAAAATACAGGAGATAACATGCAAAAAAAAACTTTGTATTATTTACAAAGCAATATTATTATGTTATCAGCGGGGAGAGAGAGGGGGGGGAAGGGGGGAAATAGAGGCCTCTTATTCTGAATTTAATTTTTACTGTCGTTTCTTGTACAGCATTTAAACCTCCCAGCTGGGAGGTCACAAACACTGTGCGAAGGTTTTTGCCGTTATTTGGCTGAGGCAGACAATGTGGCGGAGGTGAAGGAAGGCTGTTTTGGTGAGGAACGGGAGGAGAGCTGAAGTTTAATCCTGTTACTGAGCCAAGCGTGGGACATCCCCAGAGGGGACAGTCCATGGCACCTCTTACTCCTTTCAACCTGGTCATTCCCTCACTGTCAGTTCAGTAAACATCCTGCGTTACATCTGATCATTTGCCAGGAAATCTCAGTCTGGCTGCTGTTGTTTGGCTGTGTACGGTGATTCCAAAACACTGCCCGATCGTTGTACATTTAATGTGTGAGCGGCACATTAGGTGCCGTGTAAATAATCCTTGCATTTGATATAGCGCCTTATCATATCATTGAGACGTCTCAAAGCTCTTCACACAAAAAAATGGTCACTCAATCTGGTTGTGGGACACTGCTGTGCGGAATTGGCTGCCGCGTTTCGGCCACAAAATGTGTAGTCCATTCACTTTACAATATATGCTGTGAAGCTTTGAGGCATCTCAATGATGTGATTGATATCAAATGCAAGGATTATTATTATTATTATAGCTGTGGAGCTGTCCACCAGCGCTGAATTGCGACAGTCCCTGACGCCTAGAGGAGACTGAAAAACCGAGTTGTTCAATTGAATTAACACAAAATGTTCGGATGTTTCAAAACAATCTGCGTTTTTAGTTTAAATTGAGTTTAATTGAGTTTACGACTGGTCTATTACATGAAACAATGCCGGTAACAGTGAATGAGTAGTTGTCAGTCTGTGCCTGATTGCCGGCGGGTAACCAGAAACACATTTTTCTGGCTGTTTGCTCAGCATTTGAGGCTGTGTCAGTGGAGTGGTCTCGCTCTCGTTGCTGTGGGTTAGTCAGGCGCCGGAGTGAGTCCCCGCACCATATGTGCTGAGGCGCCGAGCGGGAGCTCAGTGAATCAGTCTCACCAGCCCTTCACACGCAAAACATTGCAACACATGTCAGCCCACTCGGCCTTCCTGCTTCCTAATCAGCTCAGCAGAGGGAGGAGGCAGGCATCTCACACACTGACCCTCCCTCGCTCAGCCTGGAAGGGTGGGGGAGGGAAGCTGTGGGGAGTTAACTCTTATGCTACTGAGCTGGTTATTAGCAGTGAATGACCCTCCAGCACTGATCAGTCCATTAACCCCTTGAAGCCGCTCAAACAATGCGCAGTGAGCCTGGTAATTCTCTGCAAACAGCAGGGTACATGATCAACAACAACTTACTACAGTTATGTAGTGCATTTCACATAAAACAGACTCCTTCAGTAACTCACGCTACAGCGACCCCCAGATACATCCACACACATTCAGTCTGAACACGACCAGTGACAAATCAATTTGTCGCTCAGTTCGCTCTGAGGCAGTTCGCTTGACCAGTAAGTGATTGGAAAGAACCAGGCTCCTAACCAAGCTTTTAACTCCCCTGATCTCTGCTCACATTCATTACACACCAGGCCTGTTGGTCTACCCACACCCACCCACTACCCCTGACGGTAAGTCCTGCAAAGTGCTTTGAGGCATTTCAGTGTGATGAGGTGTGTCAGACCCTAAGCTTGCCCTTTTTACAGTGATCAGAAACGAGCGCCTCTCTGTGACTGTGTTCACGTGTTCACACCAGAAAGCAACTTATAACCTGCTGTATGATCACCAGGCTAGCGTGGAAACCTTCATGAAATGCAATTTTAAAAGATTCACATCCAACTTTTAAGCGACTATTTGTTTACGTTGCAGTTGGCCCTGTTGAACTCACACAGTCTAGGCTGGCACTCTACTGCAGGGATGGGGGTGCACGACATTGATGGGGGCGTCATCCTTCGCATGAGACATTATACCGAGATCCTGCTTGCCTGTTCAGGTGGATGTTAAAGATCCAGTGACATTATTCAAAAAGAGCAAGGAATTGCTCTCTCCCGACAGTTAAAATTGGTCACTCACTCCATGGCTGTGTGTGGGTGGCCACAGTAGGGTGGGTGTGGGAGGAGACGCCCAGAATGGTTTAATGGTCCAAGGTGGTGAAGCTGACAATGATGAGCCTCTCATTCAAGGTTCAGTTCCAGCTAAAAAGATACAAGTTAGTTAAAAAAATACGAGTTATTTTTGGAGGCTTGCTGTAAGTGAATAAATGTCTCTTTCCCCGAGTAATCCAGGAGAAGGGAATAGCAGCCTATTTGGGAGCTGTGGCCCACATCCCCTGATGTGCTTTTAGGTCTGAAATTCTCTTTCCTCGTTGACGTGGATGAGCTGATCTAAACAAAGAGACAGTTGGCGGTGGGCCAGGGAGCTACAGCACAGAACGGTCCCCGAGTGGCCAGCAGCAGCTCAGAGACCGACCAGGAAAGGAAACTCACACATCAAAGCTTCGGGAACTCCTTTGATGGAACTTTTAACAGAGTTCTTTCAAGTCACTGGCTGCTCTCGCTGCAGCCCTGTGTTTTTAACTCTTACTGTTTGAAGAAATGTATTGACGCCAAAATGTGTCCAGTCTAAAACAATGTCAGTGAGGCGATCCAAACCCAATTTACATTCGATGTTGGCACGTACAATGCAATGGGAAATAGGGTTATTTGCTGACCTAAAAGCCTCCTCTCTCTCTCTTGGCTGTTAGGCTGTGAAATGAGTTTGGGCTCAGCGCACAAAACTGCAGCGCCTTGGGACGTCCTCCAGACATGAAAGGCACAATACACATGTAAATTGTTGTTGTTCCTGAACTCCATGACAGGACTTTAACTCAGAGTCTAGGCTGAGCACAGTGCCGGGGGAGCGTTTCATTATCAAATACATCGAGAGTTTACAAGGTCTCGTCTGCCCGTTCAGGTGGATGATTCCATGAAACGTTTCGAGAGTAAAGCCTTTTGACTGACTTGCTGAGCAGCTTCATGAAGTGAGTGACCAATTTTATCGGGGGGGATTATCGGCCAGGTCTCCAAGAGGAAACTCCCTTCTCTTTTCTAATAGTACCCTGGAATCTTTATCATCCACGCGAACAGGCAGACGAGTGCTCCCCCAGCACTGCACTGTAAAGCAACCTGGATTGTGAGCTCAAAAGTTCTGGCAACCTTCCGACTCGAGTCGGGAGAGTGTGACCAACCGAGCCAGGCCGACACTAGGCAGGTTCCGATTCTCACTTCCTCCACACACTTTAGGCGTCTGTGTGCGCTGTTCCTGTGGCAGATGCTCGAGCTTCACTGGCTGGGAGTGGGTCTGGAGCAGGGAGTGGGGGCTGGCAGGAGTGGGTGAAAATGCTAACAGATGTGGAATTAAGTTAATGAAATCTGTAATCCGACAACAGTAACGTCCAGTGTGTTTAACAATCAATAAACAGCTACCAAGCACTAATAAACACCTTGACCTCCCAAAGCCTCGTAAACTCAGGGATTGCTCATTTTACGGCTACTTGTTCATGTTTTTCGTTACCTGACTCCCGAGCTGGAGCCTCTCGAGCCTTTCCCACGTTTGTCTCTGCTATTTCGTCCCCTGTCTCCTCGTTCAAGACACATCTCAAGACCTACCTCTATGACTGCACTTTCAGTCATCATTCCCCACCTGCTCCCACAGCAGCTTCAGCCTTGCATGCATGTGTGGCTTTACTCTAACCCATGCTGTCACTGCCCCGGGAGTGTGGACGGACAGTGTAGAGGGAGCTTCACAGAGTCTCTAACCTGTGCTGTCACTGACCTTTGGACAGACAGTGTAGAGGGAGCTTTACCTTAAGCTGTCCTGTGCCTGACCCTTTTCAGGACTGATCTCTCTTACATGATGAGCACAATAGCAATCGGCCCTTGCCATGCTGTGTGTAGCTGTGTGTGACTAATGGGTGTGTTCCCCTCAGGAGCCAGTGTGCAGGAGACCCTCCACAAACACAGGAAGAAGCAGCGCAGGAACAGGACCACCTTTAACAGCAGCCAGCTACAGGCTCTTGAGCGCATCTTTGAGAGGACGCACTATCCAGACGCCTTCGTCAGAGAGGACCTCGCACGGAGAGTCAGCCTTAGTGAGGCCAGAGTCCAGGTCAGTGAACCCTAATCCCAGCTCAGCACTATCCAGGTCACCCCCACTTCAGCCTCATTACACAGCCAGATCCAGAACTTCAGGAGCCAACCAAGCTCTTGCTTCTGAGTCAGATGGTTTTAAGTCCCAAGTCAGGACTTTGAACACACAATCCAGACCGACACTCCAGCGCAGTGCTGGGGAGAGCACTGCATTGTCAGAGGTGCCATCCTTCAGATGACAAACTCCCGTCTCTTTCCCAATAGTTATACAGGACCTTTAAAACTTACCCGACCAAATGGTGGCCTTGTTTCCCTACTCAGGAGGGTTGAGGCTGGTCACTGAGGATCTGCAGGAATTGGGAGAGAGAGAGAGACACACACACACACAAATACACAGAGACATACACAAAGACAAGGACCGAGAGAGAAAGACAGATATACACGGAAACACGCATACACACAAGGAGACAAACAGACAGAGCGCAAAAGACATGATGAAGGAATGAGATAGACAGCGAGAACAAACCACAGGGAGAAGGGATAAGCAGAGAGGGAATGCAGACAGGAAATGAGGGAAAGAAAAGTAGAAAGACGCAGACAAAGAGAAGACAAACTCGTTCATTCTGTATAGCTACCTTTGCTCAATCTCTCGCTCTAACAAACCTTTATTCCCATATAAGCCTTATTGTCCATCCTGCAACAGGCCACTTTACTAGTACAATAGACCCTAATTATCGGAGTATCTTTAGTACTGTAATATCTGTTTGGTTTATCCTCGCAGTGAAAATGTCCAAAGGAGGTGGCCTGAGGAAGCAATGTCCCTGGAGCTGCTGGCACCCAGGGTTACAATGAGGCGTCTGTTCATTCATTTTGAGATGTTGAGCAAAGCCTTGGGCGTAATTAAATATCTGCAGGGTTGTGTTTGGCGAGAAAGGCAGCTGTGTGTGTGTGTTTGAGTGTCCCAGACACACACACACACAGTCTCAGCACTTTGGGACGTTCTCCAGCGCCGTGGGACGTTCTCCCGACGTGAAAGGCGCTTTACAAATGTGGTGTTGTGTTGCATCTCCTCTGGTGTAGGTGTGGTTTCAAAATCGAAGAGCCAAATTTCGGAGGAACGAGCGTGCAATGCTCGCCAGCAGGACGGCCTCACTGCTCAAATCCTACAATACAGACACCAGCGTGGAGCAGCCCATGGCACCTCGACCCTCGTCGCTCAGCACCGAGTACCTCCCGTGGAACACAGTCACCCCGTACAGGTAAACAACCCCCTCCACACACACTGAACTGGGAGGGCACCGGACAGAGCAATTTCTGTAGTCGCTGTGTGTATGTGTGTAACGCTGTGTGTATGTTCCCCACAGTTCAGCACCTTCTTATTCTTCCCCCGCGACGAGTGTGGCCACACATGGGCTGAGCATGGCCAACAGCATCGCCAGCCTCCGACTGAAAGCCAAAGAATTCAGCCTCCAGCACAGTCAGGTCCCCACCATCAACTGACCCGCAGCAGCTGGGAACAGTCAGGGCATCCTGTCCCAGAAGGAGGAGAGACTGACCCTGAGAGAGGAAAGTCAGCTGTCTCCATTGCCATCACTCTTCTCAGTACACATCCACTTAAACCTCCCTATGGGATGTAATGTGATTGTGTCTGGCTCAATACTCAGGACACAGCCACCCTGTTCCACATCAACTGTCATTGACGAGGCTCGACCCCCGAGGCTGAATTCTGCCCTGGATTGACCTCAGGACAAGTGGGGGGAGGTGGGGGGAATTAGGTGTGATGTGAACCTGATCACTGTGTGGATTGCAGAGCACACAAGACTTTTCAGCCTCACCATTTCCCTCGTCTCCTGCTCTGGGTGAGGGGCTGCAGCACAATGTCCTGGCATCAAGCCCCTGCCAGCCCTTTCCCCAGGGTTAGACACTGCAGCTGTGTAGACACAGTCAGTGAGGAGATCTCACCAGCAGCAACCATAACAGCTGTAAGGTAGAGGCCAGAACTTTTCACATGGAAGAATTATTCGTAAGGAACAAAATCTTGTTGCAAGGGACACTGATCAGGCAGGAACAGTCGTCAGAGCTATGTGGAGACACTGAGCAAACAAGGCCTCACCTCACTCCCTCCTCTTCACTCTAAAATGGAATAACTCACTCTCGTCCACTGTGGAACAAGTGCCTTACTCACCTCGGGAGAGCCCCACTGTTGTTTCCAACATCCTTGTGTGAAAGGGACAATTTTGTGCTGAATTACAGTAGGTTTTGCATCCAGCAGTGAAGCTAGACTCCTCCCTGCGTCTCCGCACTCACCAGCACCTCAACACTTGCCGTCCTCGCCTCCCTCTACCTTCTCTTCCCTGGCGAGACTTCAAATTGAACCGTTGCCTCTTTCACTCCTACTCTGAAACCACCCTCCACCTCTGCTCCCCTCGCAAACCGGGCTTAGTCCCCAGTGACTGTGAGCAGCTGGTCACAACCTCACCCTCCGTTTGTCTGTTGTACAAACCCTCCTTCCTGTGGGTTCCCTGTCACAGTCTGGGGTGGGTGGTGGTGTGGGGGGGGTAGGGTTTGCATAAATGGTTTTGAAAAGTTTTTTTTGTAAAGCAAAAAATATTTGTCTAATAAATGAACGAAAACTACATATTTTATCTGAGTGGGTGCTGCGGGAGGGCAGGCAGGCTGAAGTCTTGACCGCAGATGGTGAGGCGAGTAGGGCAGTGGATCGAGAAGAACAGTACACCTCAGATACTAACCCAGGCTCCAGACAAACTGTTACTCAAACTCACCACGTTGTCAAACTTCAAATTTACTTACGTTTTCACGCAATCATTTAATTCAGTTAAATCTGGGGTACTGCTGTGCGTAATGTGGTGGCTGCGCTTGCCTACAAAACACACAAGTCACTACACCACAGTCAAGTGCTTTCAGCCGTCCTGAAAGGGAGCTGGCAAATGTAATTCTTTTTAAAAATTCAGATCCGGTTTATAGTGACAAGTGTTCCCAACACACAACCTCACAATGCTCACCCACCACAGCACCAGTCTCCCTCCCAGATCAGTGACAATATGGCTCAGGTACAGAGTAAAGCTCCTGACTCCGTCTTGTTGCCAGGATACTGAATTAAAGACATGTTCACTGCACTGAGCACACTGGGCATTGGCTGGGGCAGTTACAGTGAACACAGTGTGCTGAGTCTCTGGGCTGGAGCCCCTTCACTGCACGTTGCTTCTCCCATCTCCTTCGGAGAAGTCAGTGTCTGTGTTATCGCTGCCTGTGGTGTTCTCACACCTCTCGCTGAGGTGATGCACTCTCCGTTTGTTCAGCCGGATCGCTCGCTTCCTGTACACACAAGCAAGAGAATGCTCAAACTGGATACACAACACAAACCTTTACCCCCCACCATCCCAGGTACCCCCTGGGGTATAACTGAGTTAGCTTCTCACTTGGAATTGGCAACAATCGGCCTGAGTCTGGACTAGGAAGGGTAAAACCATGCCAAGATCCCGGTCTGGTGAGCACTGGCATTCACAGGTGAGCACTGGCATTCACAGGTCAGCACTGGCAGGCACTGGCATTCACAGCCAGGCACTGGAGCTCACTGGCGAGCTGTGCTCTTTGTGAAAGAGGCTGGGTTTACGTCGCTCGCTCGGTTTCGGAACAAATATAATCGATTCTTCACAAAGTTCAAAAAGATTCCACACAAACCTTCGATAGTCTTTGAAGATCTTCGGCATTCGCTGTTTCACATTCTTCTTCTCAGCTGCATTCTCCGCGGCTGCCCCGAGCTGAAAATACACAAAAACAACAAATTAGGAAAATACACTCAAATCTCCTTGTGCTTCATTACCCACCGCCCCATCCCCATCCCAACACAGACTGCAGAGAGAGAGAGAGAGAGTGAAAGAGACTTACATTCTGTGCGTCACAAGGCGAGGCTGACTCCTCCAAATCCGAAGTCTACAATGAAATGTGAAGATCAGCGTCACTCATCAGTGATCCAAGTTTTTACACATAAATGGTCAGAGAGATGTGTGGCAGCCACTCACAGTCACCATGACAACACACACACACGCAAACATAGGACCTTCCAATGGGTGTGGGGGAGCACTAGGTACTTTAGTGATTCCCCCACCCCACCCCGATCCGTGGAACTGAGATCAGCGTCAGCCACAACTGCTGGCCGCGTGGAACCATCTCCCAGCACAAGTCTCCTTGTGCTTCACCCCCTCCACCCCCGCAGCGTCACCCAGATCCCCACAGCCTGGGGTGGACCAGGCTGGGCGCCGGGGGCTATAGGCGCTGGTACGTACCGCGGTGGGGGAGGCACTTTGGCTTTGCTTGACGCGGTTCTGCAGACTGAGTAGCTGCTCCTCCTTCCTGAAGAGCTGGATGTGCAGCTCGTCACAGCGCTCGCCCAGCTCCCGCAGCAGCTTGCGGTACTCGTCCTTCTCCCGCAGGCTCTGTGAGTACTGCCCGAGCAGTTCCTCCCTCCCCTGCAGTGCCTGCGCCAACCACAGCAGCAACAACAACAACATGTTACATTTGAAAACCAGAGTCTCAACAGAACGAGCATCCAGACAGGTCAGTGACAGCACAGGTGAGAGGCAGAGTAGAGCTCCCTCTAAACTGTACGCCCACACTCCCAGGTTAGTGACAGCATGGGCTAGAGGCAGGGTTAAACTCACTCAGTTTAAAGATTACAGCCGTACATCACCTGGTCTCTCTCTGTCCCTACTTCCTCCATCTGATGAAGAATTGCTTCAATCCGATCCTTGTACATCTTCGAATCCTTCCTCAGTGTGGTACACTGCAGCTCGAACACCTCCTTCTCCTCCAGGTACTGCCAGACACACACACAGCTCATCACATCCTTCCCTCCCACACCCGCAGCGCTGCCCTACACTCACACACACACACACACACAAACAGCACCTTCAGCACTGCCAGACACACACATTATCACGTCCCATAGCCAGGACACCGGGGAATGGGTCTGGTGCCATGTACCTGGTCCCGCAGCTCCTCCGCTTGCCGCAGCTCCTTGCGGAGACTGTAGATGTTGTTGACCAGCCCCTGGTGCTCCTCCAGGGCCAGCCGCCGGTCTGCCTCCAGGATCTGGATGTACATCTTATTCTTATCCAATTTGTCCACCTTGCGAAGGAGATAGAAACGGACACAGATCAGAGCCCACGTGATGGGGGTACAGCACCAGATAATCAACACCCACCCAACGGGATCACACATGCTGACAGTCTGCCTGCACACACACACACGCACTACACACATATATGCGCACATACACATGTGTGGCCAGGCAACTAAAGGGGTCAACATTGTCAACACACATACATGCATTTCCCAGCAGGTGGGGGTGGAGGGAGGAGAGGGTGGGGAGGGAGAGGGTGGGTGGGGGGAGGTGGTCTCTGAATAGGAATCAGGAGCAGGAACTCTGGGTGATTTTCCTCACTCTGTGTTTCAGGCTCCGTAATCCACAACCGTCAGAAGAGAAACGGGTAGAACGGGGACTGCGAGCTGTTAAATGTTTCGGTTTCCCCTGTGGCTCTGGTGCCCAGAGCAGAAGTGAGTCACGGAAAGTCCTGAGTTCTGGAGTCTGTGCTACTCCTGAGCCTCGATTCCTCCTGTGTTCCAGAGGGTGAGGAAAATCTGCTCGAGTTCCTGCTCTTGATCTCGATTCAGAGACACCCCCTCACCCTCACCCTCACCCCGTTAGGTACCTGGACGGTATTCTCCAGCTCCTGGATGTGGGCCTTCAGCAGGTCGTTCTCCCGCTGCACGTCCCAGATCAGCTCCTGCCGTGGCTGCTGCTCCATGGCGTGTTTGAGTTTCATGGTGTGTGTCCGCTCCATTTTATAGCCATCCTCGGCCAACATCAGGTTGTGTTTCAGCCGCTCGACCTGCAAGCATAGAGACACACACACACACACACACTCGCACAACGTATCTTTAGGAAGTTCTCCTCCCAGGATTTGGTGGACCACCAGGTTGATCCTCAAAGCCACATAAGTCTCCTGTTTGTCTTTCCTGCCCACTGTTCCACCATCGGTGGCCGCACTTTCAGCCACTACACCCCAATATAATAACACAATAATCCTTGCATTTAATACAGCGCCATATCACGCTGTTGAGACGTCTCAAAGCGCTTCACAGGATATACTGTAAAGTGACTTGGCTGTATATTTTAAGCGTGGCACGCGGCAGCTAATTGCGCACAGCAGTGTCCCACAAACAGTCATGGATTGAGTGACCAAATTATTATTATTACAGCACTGTTTTTTTACCCCTGTAAAGCGATCCACCAATCGACTAACAACCAGGTTCCTGCTTACCGCTAGACAGTTAACAGTTACTTTTAAACAGAGGCGCGTGGAGTAAGGAAACTTGCCTAAACCTGCCGGGGAATCGAACCTGGGTCCTCTCGCTGGTGAGACAAGCGCTCTCACCACTAAGCTCCCCTCCACCTCACCTCCAGCTGCAGGTCTCGGTTCTTCATCAGCACCGAATTCTTCTCTTCGCTCAGCGTTGCGAAGTCCTTGGCCCACTTGTAGTTCTCCTCTTTGCACCTCTTGAGCTCCTCGCAGGACTTGTCGCTCTCCTCCTTCAGTCTGCGCACTCTCTGCTGGTGTTTGAGCAGCTCGTTGGCCTTCACCTGGAGCTGTTTGATCAGCTCGTCCCTGCTGACCACCTGCCTGTTCAGCTCGTTGACTTTCTTCTTCTCCTGCAGCACCACCTGCTGCTGTTTCTGCACCTCGGCCATCAGCAGCTGGGTCAGGCTGGACTCCCCGCCTGCATCTGAACAGACAAACAAACAGACAGACAGACTCCCATTTTGTGCCGTTCGTTAGGGTTGGCGCTAGAATCCTGTAGCGCAGTAAGCGGTTTACGTGTTCGACTCTTCGAAGGTGGGCCTGGCAAGGCCGGGGATGTGGAGCAGGTCAGGTTGGTGTGATCTTAGTTCGTCGCAGAGGTAAGGAGGAGGGAGACAGTGGAGGGCTTTAAAAGTGAGGAAGGGGATTTTAAACTCGAGCCTCTGGAGGGTGGGAAGCCACAGAACCCAAGACATTGGGGGGATCCCATCTACCCAGTCCCAAAGCCTCCCTCCCCCCAGCCCCCCCTCCTCAGGATTACACTCCAACAACAACAAGATTACTCCAACATAATAAACAAAAACGGTGTAAAATGCAAGTGTTGGTTGTTGTCCTGTACCGAGAATGACGGAGAAGGTGCGTGTCGGGTCCTGGCCGGTGATTCTCTTGTACAGCTCAGGGTAGTACAGCTCCAGACTCTCCAGGAAAGCAATGTATCCCTTCTTCCCGGTCCTCTGCAGGATATCCAACAGCACTCCTGCAACGCAACACAGAGAGGGAGAGAGAGAAACGCCAACCTTTCGTCCACATCCAACAAAAAGTCATGCTACCATTTATTTGAATAATAATTATTAATAATTATCATAATTTCTTTAAGACCTATTAGACATTGTAATGGTATTACGTCTCTTTGGTCGCCCTTCATACGGGGTGCCATCTCGGAGCACTCAGCCCAAATCCTTCCAGAATCCCCATTCAACCAACTACCCATTAAGGTTTCTTAAACAAATCCCATGTCCTGGCCTCAACCACCTTCCTGGTAACCCTGTGCCCGCGGTTAATTACCCAGTGAAAAAACACACTGGTTTGCCCTGAAGCCACACCCACTGTCTAGACATTCTTGTAATAGGGAATTACAGAAGTTCTCAAAGGAGGATTGTGAAAGGTGGGTGGTTTGGGGCGAGTGGATGGAGAAGTGCGAGCAACTGGAATTAAACTAATGGATCATGTGAAGCAAATCACCAGCATGACATTTCTGTTCTATAAAGGGAATCTCTGATCAGGTGCTCGAGAGATATTTCGTTAGATCAGGGTATCAAGGAATATGGAGCAAAGGCAGGTAAATGGAGATGAGATACAGATCAGCCATGATTTAATAGCACGGTGGAACAGGCTTGCGGGGCTGAATGGTCTAATCATCATCTGTAGGTGAAGAGACCAGACCGGATTAAATGGTGATGGGAGAAGGGGGCGCGGGAGAGGGAGAGGAAGGAGCTCCAATTTCTGAGGCTGCTCTCTCATAGACAACTACTTGTATTATACACAACGCAGGACAGCACCTTAACAATGTGCCTGTTAGTGCTTAAAATGGTGGAGCCTGACGCCGAGCCAGGGAGAGGGAGGGGGAGGTGACTGTAGGCACAGTCGAAGAGGAAGGTGTTCAGGTGCGATCTGAAGATAGGCAAAGCGTCTGTCAAGGACAAGGAGGATGGATTGAGGGGAGAGTTCCAGAGTCTCGGGCGTAGAGGCTGAAAGTGTGGCCGCTGAGGGTAGAGCGAAGGGGGCGAGGAACGTATGTAAGGCTTGAGCCAGCTGAGTGTTGGGGGAGTAAAGGTAGAGGAGTGGGGGGGGAATAAGCACTGCCTGGGGAGCAGGGAAATCACCCACCGACTTTGCGCCTGCGGATGACGAGGTTTGGGTCGTTGAAGATCTGCTCCTCGTCCTCATGGTTGATGACCTTGCACTGCCGCAGGTAGGCGGTGATGCGGCAAGGCTCGATCAGCGAGGTCAACTTGGCACGGTAGCTCTCCAGCGAGGTCCACAGCTCCTCCACGTCAGCATCCTCGTTTTCAGACATCTCACCAGCGTCTCTACGGAGAGATTCCCGAGCGGCTCTCGTTACAGCTTAACACGGGGCGGCAAGCGGAGCAGGGGGTGTCATTACATTGATCAGAAACACCGCACATTAAAATACTGTCTCGCACCGACCACTACTAGTCTCTCACCAATAATAATAATCCTTGCATTTGATATCACGCCTTATCACGCCGTTGAGACGTCTCAAAGCGCTTCACAGGATATAGCCTAAAATGGATCGACGGTGTATTTTGTGGGAGAAACGCGGCAGCCAATTGCGCACAGCAGCGTCCACACAAACAGTCGTGGATTGAGTGACATTTTTTTTCTCTCTTTTTTTGGAGGGATTATTACCCCCTGGAAAAGCGATCCGCCAATCGACTAGCGACCGGGTCCCTACTTAATGCTGGGTAAATCGAGGCGTGTGGAGTATAGAAACTTGCCTACGTTCTCGCCCCGGCCGGGAATCGAACCCAGGTCTCTCGCTTGCAAGACGAGTGCTCTAACCACTGAGCTGTGGGACTTTTTGCTTGGGGGTCCACATACACGGGTAAAGTCACACGACGGCGGAAAGCAACGAAAGGCACTTACGGTGTGGCGGAGCCCGGGATGTGCGGGAAGCTGGAGCGGTCCTGCAGCTCTCTGTGGAAAGAGGAAGCGGTTCTCTTCTGCTTACCTTTAACAACAATATTGCACTTCCTGCTTGCACACCTTCCATTGTGAATTATTCAAATGTCCTGGACTTTACAGGGGACGGGCAGTCTGCAGCTGCATTGATTCAAACCCCCGATCCTTCCCCTCGCCCACTCCTGAGTGTTCCTGACCCACACCTGCAGCTCTGCCTCGCTCACACCGGTGTGAAAGTCACCATAAAAATATCATTTACGTTGTCGCTTGCTGCACGTCCCCCCACCCCCCCCACTCTCCACTCCCCAAGCCTTCAGCACTAATGCTCCTCAACATTGCAATTCCCTGCCACCGTACCTCCGCCTCACCCCCTCCTCTCTATCCGACTTTAAATCTTACCTTGAAATCTACCTGGTCGACAAGGAATGCAGTCTCACGACTTGTTAGTGATGAATTAGAGAAGAGGTTAGGAAAGAAGCAATTTCTCCAGTCGGGGGGCTGCTGAAAAGCTCTGTAGTGAAGAGTCAGAGGGGAAAGAGCTGGAAAGTGGGATTCTATGCAACTTGGAAACCAAGAGCAATGGGGGCTACCTGTGCTGAAAGTTCCTGTTTCCTATGTGACCTCACTCGAGTCCAGGACGCAAAGGTTATAAAATGAGAACCAAGACAATCAGAGGGGAGGGAAGGAAAAATCCTTTACACAAACGCACTGCAGACACGATGATACGAATGGCCTTCTTCTGTGCTGTTAATTTCTAATGACCGCCACAGATAGTCCATTGAGGCATCCAAGAGAGAGACAGAGACTTGGGATATTTAGGAATAAGGAGAAAAGGCCGGGGGTGAAAGTTGTGGGAGAATTAATAATGGAGCAGGAGGGAAGCTCCCTCCTGGTGCTATGTACCACACCGAGTGAGGTTGTCGGGAGATGAGGGCAAAAAAATGATCGAGTCATCAAAAGGTTAAAGTGAAACAGGTAATTGTGCAGATCACTTGATAAGAGATCAGAGCAGAAATGAAGAACTTGCAGATCATTGTTCAGTTCCATAACCTCATCTTATCCAGTAATGGACAACCAGGAACAAGCCACTTCCCCCTCCCCCCCCCCCGCCCCACCATTCACAGCAATCAGCCCTTTGGGTTTCAGCCTTTTTTTCACGTGGGAAATGGACCAATTTGCACTTTTCGAATCCAGTGTCAACATCAAAAACACCCAGGTCAGTGACAGCACCAGATACAGCGTAAAGCTCCCTCTACACTGTCCGTCCACCATCCTAGATCAGCGACAGCTCGAGTTAGAGACAGAGTGAATTTCCCTCTGCACTGTCCGTCCACACTCCCCAAGAATGAATCTATTCTATTGTGAGGAAGAACCAGTCAACACACTGTTTGGGCTTCACTCACCGTAGCTGAGTTCAGCTCCAAGAACAAGAGGCTCGGGAGGGAGCAAAGACACACTGGATCCTTGGCTCAAAAGCCTGCTGCGTTTCTCTCCAGCTCAGATGGGAAGAATGAGGGGATGAGATTGTGGATGAACAGCCCAAGTTGAACAATTCTTTGGGAGAGGAAAAGCAAGAGAGATGGTGCGTTTGTATTACACTCCTGCAGAGCAAAGTTACTGTGCCAGTAACTTAAGTTACCTTACGCCAACTCTACCAACTCTCCAAATCCAAGCTGCACCTTGGAATGTGTCCCAGCCCTCTGAGCCTGCCTGCCTGTCAAGCTATCCATCACAACCAGATGGGTTTGCCGTGGATTATTTAAAGCCTGACACCCCCAAAATTCAGAAAGAAAGAATCTAAGTGAAGCTACAGATACCGCCAAAAATGTTTTATTTAAAAAAAATACGTTATATCTTAATGTAACCGGTGCTAACGATAAACCAGGCGAAGAACATTTCAACATGATCCCCTCACTTTCAGCTTCGCAAAAGCCCTGAAAATAAGGGCAGAAGACAGCAGGGTATGAGACGCAGGGATACTGGGCAGTTCGATGGGTTCCGTTCAAATGTTAAAACATAAAAGTTGGAAGAAGTCTTCATTCTTCTCTCCCGCGAATCCTGACTGCAAATCACTGAGCCCAGACTGCTGGATTGAGCAGGATGAAGGGTCTTCAGACGTTCCCACTGAAAGCAGGGAGAAAGGACTTGGGAGCTCAGCACTGGGTCACACTGCGTCCTGCGACAACAAAAACAAATTCTTTTCTCAACCATTTCACCAGAGACCAACCCCTGTGTACATTCACAAACAGTGCGCATGCTCACATAGGCTTGTGCTCACACAACAACTTGCATTTATATAGCACTCGTCACGTGGGGTAGTTTCCTGGAGCGCTTCACAGCGGCAGAGTCTGACCACAAGCCAGGGGGAGAGGGCGTGGGGAGGTGACTGTAAGCACATTTGTAATACACTCACTCACAAACGAACAGAAATCATAAAAAAAAACTACCTGTTTGTTTCCTGTTGCGTCTCCGCAGGCGCAGGCGGTGCCCAATACCTTGGGTCAGTTCAGTATCTTGGTCGTTCTCGGAATCCTGGCAAATCTCTGGGTCTCGGCTTTCAATAGCAGCTTCCTGTGAGGAAATCAGAAACCAGGTTAATGCTACAGGCTCCAACCCCTGGTCTGCGCCGAGTGACCGAACCAGACAGCCATCAGGCAGGCTTGAGAACTCCAGAAATGAGGAAACTCAGTCGATCATCTGTCTCCTGTTGCTTTCGAGCTGAGGTAACAGTTTAATTACAGTATCACGTAGGGGCGGTGGGGTGAGATTTACTCCCAATTTATATTTTCGTCCACAAAATATACAGTCAATTCACTCTACAGTATATTTTGTGAAGCACTTTGAGACGTCTCGAAGACGCGATAAGGTGCTATATCAAATGCAAGGATTATTATTATTATTATATATGTCTCGTCAAACATTCACCCCAACAATGTAAGCCCGCATCTTAATATTTGTGGAACGTTGATGCTGAGAATTAGCGGCCACTTCCGTCTCCAGAACAATGCCGTTCATTTCTAAAGCCCCAGTTTGTAAAACGTTCTGAGATGCTCGTTTTTACGTGAAACAAATAAATCTGCCGCTGTTCCTTAAAATGTGGTTACAGTCTCGGGCTCCACAACCACCTGTGGCAAAGCATTTAACCTCCAATCTATGTGAAAAAATTGTTCTTCCATTAAGTCTTTGTGACAATCTGAGCTGTAGCCCTTGTTAACAATTTCCCGACCAGCAGAAATAACCAGTTGTTAGTCGATTTCCATGGGTAATAATCCTTTAAAAAAAAATTGGGTTACCCCAATCTGTGACTGTTTGTGGGACACTGCTGTGTGCAATTGGCTGCCACGTTTTTCCCACAAAACACAGTCAATTCACTTTACAGTATATTCTGAGAAGGGCTTTGAGACCTCTCAAAGATGTGATGAGGTGTTATATCAAATGCAAGGATTATTATTATTATTATAATGATCTTTCACTATTTATCCAGGAGATTTTAATTTAATCTGTCGATAAACAAAATTATGCAAAATTCCTGGCTGGGGTGGGGTGGGGGGGAAAGAGTTTATGCTCCAATTAATATTTTATTCCTCACTTCTAATATTTAATCTGCACTTTAATATGTGGTGTTTTGATTTGACGGGTTCTCAAACATTTATTTTTAAAAAACAATCAGATTGGAAAAGTGCATTGTTCTGCACAAGGTTTAAACACCTTTACCACATGTGATGTGTAAACATGTGCACATTACAATTATGTAATTCAAAGCTATTAAGAGGGTTAGATAATAAATTCTTCAATGGGTTTAATTACATAATTAAGGGCACCTGTAATTTCCTCTCTTCCCCCTACACGTGGATTAAAGCCTTAAAGGTGGATTACACATAGTGCAATATAAATTTAAAGGATTTAATTCCTTATTCTGCAGTCTCGTCCATTTAACAAAAATCAAACATTTTCGTACTAAATTTGGACTTTGTGTAAAAAAAAGTTGATTGTAACACATTTAAATGCTCCATACAAAATTTTTAATAATCTCTTCAAATAAATATAATAATTTGGTCATTCAATCCACAACTGTTTGTGGGACACTGCTGTGCTCAATTGGCTGTTGCGTTTCGCCCACAAATATACAGTCAATTCACTTTACAGAATATTCTGATGAGGCGCTATATCAAATGCAAGGATTATTATTAATATCCTCTCACATCTTTTGAAGACCTCTGTTAGATTCCCTCTTAACCTTCTCTATCTCGATGAAAACGGACCAATTTTCAAACCTATGCTCACAGCTAGAACTCCACATCATGGCATCGGTGTGTACCTTCATTGTATCATTTCCAATGTCTCCGATGTCAATGTATTGAGCTATATAAGTAATAATTGACTATCATATCCTTTACACTTGATACAGCAACTCTCACTTTGGGAGAATGCCTCAAATCGTTTCACAAGATAAGACTGCAAAGTGGAGTGACTGTGTACTTGTCGGTGAACATATTGGTGACAGATCAGTTCGATAGAGACTGATGCTTCTCAGATGTCTACACACGCTCCTACTCTGTGGCATCTTTCCCAAAATCCCTGACTCAGTCTTCAGCTCAGTCAGGGGTCCCCAACCGGTCAATTGCCACGAGGCGGCGCTCTCACTAATGATCAAAAAGCCAGACCGCCTGAGGTTCTGAGCATTACCTGAGGTTGCTCTGTGGTTGAAAGTGAGGGTGCGGGTGCTATGCTCCTGGTCTCCTCTGTATCTTGCTCTACAGCCGAGTCCATAAAATTCTCGTCCTTGCCCTCTCCTCTCTCATCCGTGGTCTTTGTTTCCAATAAGCGGCTCTTAGAGCTGGGGCCTTGGTAGGCAGGCAGAGAAGCCAGGAAGGCAGGGAATGTAAAAGCAGAGAGGAACCTGGCTTTCAGAAGGTGGTACCCTGGGTTGCTTCGAAGTGTTTCCTGCACGAGTCCCCTCATCATCTCCACCCTCCCTTGAGAGCCCGTCACCTCAGTCTGCTCCGAAGGCCAAAAGCCTGAGACGTTTTGCTCCAAGTTCTTCTTCTGCAACAGGAGGTTGGCCAGAGCCTTCATGTTGCCGACAAATGGCGGGAGATAAGGCAGCTTGATGGACACTCCGGCTAAAGGAACACCGCTCCGTCCTCGGAGCCAGTTTCGACATCGAGCTTCTGTCTCGTTGTGGAACAAGAGGCTGAACTGGACAGGGGCTTCTCCCGCGGGTGGCTGTTTGCCTGCCGGCCGGCTGCTGCTTCCCTCTGGCTGATCAGGGCAGGTGATCAGACCCCCCACTGTCTTGCACACTTCCTGCCCGTGTGGACGTTGCTCCGGCTGCCTGGCCCCGCCATCGGAGTCCAGGCTCGGTGGCACTGCGGGCTGAGCAGCAGGAGGATGCTGAGTGGAGGAGGGTTGTGAGAGCGAAGGGTTTGTGGGGCTGACGTCTGGCCCCGCCACCATTATGTTACCCGTGGCCAACTGCATGGCATTACCCGCTGGGGCACAAGTACTGACTGCTGACACGCTAGTGTTTACGGGCTGGGCTTGTCTGCTGGTGGAGGGCACTGTCCCAGGCTCTGTGTCCTCCTGTGCACCTCGGACTCCTGCCCGAAGCCTCTGGTCAGCCTTGTTGCTGGCAGCTGTGCCTGCGCTGTTGTCTAATACATTCGTGGGGGGCAACGGCGCCGCTGTGAGTGAAGGAGTCACGGAATGAAGCATTGCAGCTCCTCCCAGATGAGAGAGGGGAGGCCCCGGGCCGGCTGGTGTGGAGATACCATCTGTGGTGACCCGCGTCACTGGCTTGACGGGTATGAGGACCAGCCCCTGGGGAGTGAGCACCAGGGAGAACTGGTTCATTTGGGTTTGGGGTGGAAGTGGAGCGGGCGGCCTACTCGCCTGGGGCTGTGGCTGCTGCACGTTCGGAGCTGGGACCTGGAGCTTCGAGTACACGGTCGGGCTGTTTTCAGTTGGGCAGGGGTTGAGGTGCCAAGGCTGCCCTGGGGTGGCACCGTGACGTATGATTTGAGGCTCAGGATTCACCAGCTGGGTCGGTGGTGCTGGGAGTTGGCTGGTGCCCTGCACTGTTGGGGCGGACATGGCTCCCTGCGCCAGCTGCTGGCCCTCGGTTTGACGTGCGGAGGTGACTCGTTGTGAGTCCCTGTTTTCAATCAACAAATTCAAGAGGGGCTGTGAGTGTGCGGAGGGTACACTGGCCCCCAGCACCCCTTGCTGGGGCAACACCACCGTTTGCACGAGGGGAGGCTGCTGGGGCATGATCACCAGTGGGCACTGGAGGTTGGCAATCTCTCTCTCCCGAGCTCTGGCCTTAGCTCTAGATTCCTTCCGCTTTTCGTACAGCAACTCCATGACCGTCTTCAGTCTCTCTTTTGGCACAGTCGGATTGACGGGAAACTTGTTGATTTCCATGTGTTTACCGTTTCCAAGGTTAATGTTTTTCTTAGTGATGGGCGAGGAGAGCTGAGCCCTGCTTTCCTTGGCTTTCTCCTTCCCTTTCTCCTCGGCTTGTGCGTTCTCCAAGAATTTCCTCTTCTCCGTGGCTCTCTCCTTCTCTGCTTCGTGCAGTCTCGCTGACCTCTCTTCGATCATCTTCTTGCAGCCCACTTGGTCAATACGAAATACCTGAACAAGACAGAAGAACATTTCAGTCCCTTTGCCTCTTCTTAAGGTACAAATCACGCAGAGGTATGGCTTTACAGCGTAAAGCTCCCTCCACACTGTCCGTCCATGCTCTAAGGTCAGTGTCAGCACAGTTTAGAGACAGAGTAAAGCTACACTATCTGTCAAGCACATGCAGATGGCATTCAGTAGGAGGAAAGTAAGATTGCAATAATACTAAGAGGATTTTTTTGTTCACAAACCTACCAACAGCAATAGTGCAAACACAGGGGTGGTCTTTATCCCACCCGCCTCCAGCCTTTGCCGCAGAAGTTGAGCTAGACAGGAGAGAAATAAAACAATTAGCAAATACGGAGATTGAAACACTGTTTAACTGCCTCCTTGATAAGGCGCTATATCAACTTCAAGGATTATTATTATTATTATTATTACTACAGAGCAGCTGATTACAGATGAATCATTATTGTATGGTCAACGATTGGCCCAGAGACTGTGTAACGTAGGGGTTAAAATAACAAAGCAGGGTTCCTGCCCCTGATCGCCATCAAGAAATCCCCAGTGTAAGGTGCATATGACATCGGGTGAGCGTTCACGGTTAAATTCCCAGCAAATAGTCATGTGGGTGGGGATCAGGGGGAAGGGACCTTGCTCATTCGTGACGAATGCCTACTGGGGGGTAAAGCACTGGAGACCACAGGAGCACTCTGCCATCCTCATACCTCATAGCCGCAACCTGCCCTCCACCCACCTCAGTCTGTGACTCACCGCCATGACACCCCAGTTGTTCTCAGGTTTGTACCCCACCTTTTGATTGATTGCCACAGAGCAGCTGGCTCCTTCCCAGCCAGGGGACAACAGCCTTTACAAGGTTTTGGTTCAAGTTTCTCTCCAACTCTATGGCCCGGAGAGTGCCTCGCCCCGGCTTCTTTCTGGCTCTCTCTGCGGGACACTCGTCTGCCTGTGCTGGACAGCCCTCTGTCACAGCCGGCTCTGCTGTTGAGGACCCAGCCGGATCCTGTCCTCCTGTCCCAGTCTGCTTCTACACAATAAAGGCAAAAGGGCAATTCTCAGCAGGTTTCCAATCACGTGAAAGCGCTTTCTCCACCCCCCCAGCCCCGGCGAAAACCCCTCATTCAGGCTGTGGGGCTACCAACCGTCATGCTCTACCTTAAACTATTGGGTATCACTGGGAAAGAACAGGAACCAGCAGAGAAGATTGAGCGGAGATTTAATAGAGGTGTTCAAAATTCTGAGGGGTTTTGATAGAGTAGGTAGGGAGAAACTGTTTCCACTAGCAGCTGGGTCAGTAACCAGGGCACATTAGATTTAAGATAATTGGCAAAGGAACCAGAGGGGAAATAAGAATTTTTTGTTATCCAGAGAGTTGCTATGATCTGGAATGCACTGCCTGAAAGGGTGGAAACAGATTTGATAATAGCTTTCAAAAGGGAATTGGATAGGTACTTGCAAAGGAAAACTTTGCAAGGATATGGGGTAAGAGCCGGGGAGTGGGACTAGTTGGCAGCTCTTCCAAAGAGCTGGCACAGACACGATGGACCGAATGGCCTCCTTCTGTGCTGTGAAAAAATAGCACTGGCACATGCCCGGTGAGGACAGTCTATCAATCGGGGCCGTCAATGAAGGTACTCGCTGGACTCATGAGCGATCCTGCTGACTACTTAGAAGACCAAGGTCGATCTAGTTTATCTTCCACTATCCTGGCAATCGCTTGACACGTCGTGCCCCAAACTATATACTGTATCCCCAAATATTATTTTGTAGCAGAAATCTATCTTATTTGTTCTTGAAGCAAACAACATTTTCTGCTTCCACCGTCTCCCTCCCTAGGGGAGCCTGTTCCGTAAGTTGACTACTCGGTTACTGGACATATACAACTAAAACGGCGTGAATAACTAGGCAGGAGCGGACAGTATTCACATCTCTTACCTGGTGAAGCTCTTCGGGAGGCACGTTGGCACCAGGGTCAGTGCTGACTGGAGGCGTTGCTCTCCCCGTTGGACTGGGATTCGATCTTCCAAACTCTTTTGCCATTTGCTTTTTCACTCCAGATTTGGCTCGATTGTCCGCCCCCTCATCCTCAGTAATGGGCATCCACAAGTCAATGTCCAGTACTTTGAACTCGCTGCCGCTCCCACTCCTTTTCTGTCCGTGGGGTTGGACATTTTCCTCCTTCATCCCTTTGTTTAGTTCCTGCAGCCTCACATCCTCATCCTCCTCCTCCTCACTTACAACTCCTTTATTCTGTCCCTTTGGCCTCTTGTTCTTCTCGCTTGTATCTCGTCTTTTCTGTGCCTTTGGCTTGACATTCTCCTCCTCGCTGTCGTGCAACGAAATGTTACCGGATGAGACCTCGGACTCAGAGCTGCTCTCCATAGCCCGGACCTTCGCGGGCCTCGGTCTTGTCGCTGAAGTCTTTTTCTTTTTCGGTTTTCGCGGAAAGCGGTTTGTCTAAATGAAATTTCGGAGAGTTTTAGTCATTTCAGAGTGAAGCAGCACGAGGGGGCACTCTATCGTGAGCCCTGGCTTGGTTTCCGCGCCCCCCCACTCCCAACCACTAGGGCTGTGACTAATTGTGCCCCCCCCACCCCAACGCTCTCCTGGGCTGAGATCAGTAACTCAGGTTGTGATAATCAGTAGAAAGGTTTTTATTTTGGTCTCAACCTGGCTCAGTTCATAGCACTCGTCACCGAGTCAGAAGGCTGTGCGTTTTTTGGTCCGTTGCATGTGTGAGACACAAGGAAACCCAACGCCGTGCTTCAGAGTATCCAAACCAGACAGAGCTCCTTGTATGTCACCTTCCCTGGAGGGTCACGCACTTCTTAAGTTCAGAGTCTATAAGGGGCAGGTTCGCTAGAGTCGAGGGTTGTGGACTCCTGGAGGCCAACCAGCTAAAACTGCTTATCTTTTCAATGAAAATACCACCTGACAAGCTTCCCGCTGCCTACCCAGTAAGGCTCTGGCTTGCAAGGTTAAAGAATCCAAGTGGGAAGAATCCCTGCCCCCAGTAACTGGTCTGCCCTAAGTCCTGCCAACAAGCTAGGCTGGCTGGTCTCTTATCATCAGTGCTTTGGAGTACTATGAACCTGCCTGTCTCAGGACCTGGACCACTGAAACCACCACAGAGAGTGGACTCAATTCCAACGTTTAGCTGTCAAGCGAGGCTTTTGTCATGCATTGCGCTGTCAGAGGTACTTTGAACGAGAGTTTTAATCAAGGCCGATCTGCCTGGACATTAAATATTCTCTCACACAATTGGAAGAAAGAAGAAAGCTTCCACTGTGTCCTGGCCTCCAGGTTTATTTATTATCTAGATAAATTGTTCGTACATCTCATGGCTGTTTGTAGGACCTTGCTGTGACAAAATGGCTGCCGCCTGCCTACACACACACAAAGTCACTCTGCTCAGTAGAAATTCCCTTTGACGCAATACTGCAAATATCAAAAATGTTCACTTTACCTTAATACCCACTAACCATCTCCATTTGTTATTACACTGGGATGCGCTCCTGAGGGACAAATCGGCTGCTATTTTGGACCATTGCCCTGCAAGAGAAATTGAACACAGGATTTTAGGGATCACAAAAACAAGGTAGATAAATAAATCCATCACCTGGCATTAAACACAACCCCAAGAATACCTAACCTGGTGCTGTATTGTACACAGAGCAGCAGTCCCTTGTAAAGGTGGCCAAAAGCACAATCAAAGATTGTCTTCAAAGAGAATCAAAGGTCTTACAGAATCAAAGGTCTAGTTGTAGGTTTCCTGAGGTGGCGGGTGAGGGTTGGGGGGGGGGATAATGACAGCAGTTTTGATGGGGAAGGGGATGGTGGTTCCGCGAGTAGAAGAGTAAATCAGAAGAGAAAGAAAAGCTTCCACGTAAAGTCAATGCTTTGAAGAGGTTTCAAAGCAGCTTGAGGTCTCCCTTCCCTTACCCACTCCGTGTTTCTCTAGGAGTTGTCCAAGCTTCTGTACCTCCTCAGCATCCCATTTTCCTTTCTTCATTTTGTCGTTTAAACCATGGATATACCTGCAAGAGGTTTGTTACAGTTTGTGATTCTGTACTGCTTCAGTCCCATCACATTCATCTCCCACTACCCACTCCTTTTCCAATAATCAATAGAATGCTCCATTTATACCTCTTGACAACGCGACTCAGATCACTTCCCTTCCTGTCCCTATCCTCCACAACCCTGTACTGACAGCGTAATCGGGAAACACTCACTAATTAGGCTCACAGATGAAGAACAGTCATTTAGGCACCAAAGGGTGCCTACTGACTAACCCCCCAGGTAGGGTGGTCCTAGCCGGACAAACAGCAGGAAAGCTTGCTGCACAGCAATATCAATGGCAAGCTTTGTGGGTTAAGCTGGTTAGATAAACAAAGCACACTCTGGGGTCCTTAAAACTTGTCTCTTGCCAACCTGCGCCAATATTTTCTGGTTAGGTAAGCTGGATATGTCACTCCAGGGAGATTTCCACGTGTAGGTGGGATGCATAGAACGCTCAGCTTGGTTTGGACATTCTTGAGCATGGCGATGGGTTTCCACATGTGTCAGACACCCGGCTGAGCAAAAGTAAATCTTCAGGAGAGGAGAAAGCAAGGTGACTATTGGTACAAAGTAAAATAACTACAAAATACCGATGAGATTGAGTGAGACGCCATCTGCTGTTCAGAAAGGAAACGGTACATGTGGCTCAGTGTATGAAATGCCAGACTTGCAGTTGACACGTCTAAAAGGAACAGCAGAATAGTGTGAACTGAGGGCGACTCCCTGCGGCAGACTGGAGCATTCAACATTCAAGTAAAGCACACCTGTCTCGGCACTGCACGTCGTTCCTGCCTGGAACCTCATCTCGGATCTTGTACCAATCTTGACATCCGTACTTTTCCACCGCCTTCAGAAGTAGCTGGAGATCAAAGAAAAATGGCATTCGTAGATTAACAAACTGCATATTTTGAGGCTTCTGAAACATTTCTGCTGAAGCGAGGTCTCAGTGGAGACACTATAACTGCCAGCAGCTCGACTCTTCCCTCTGATCAATTTCCATTGACTGTTTGTGGGACACAGCTGTGCACAATTGGTTGCCACGTTTCACCCATAAAACATTCACTTTACAGTACATTCTGTGCACCAGTGTATGTCAGGCGAGGCCAGGATTAGGCTTGATTATGAAGGCGCCCGGTGTGGGCAAGTATCCTGCCAATACTCACTGCTGGAGCTCACACACGTGAAGAATGGCTACTTGGAAAAAAGTAACAAAACTTGCAATTAATCAGTGCCCTTCATGCGGGGCAGTGACTTGGATTGCTTAACAGTGGCGGAGCCTGACCCTGAGCTGGAGGGAGATGACCATTGACCATAAGCACAGTCGAAGCATCAGGGGGAGGGAAGAGAAACAAAAGGAGTGATAGCCGAGGAGCTCGGTGTCATGCTCCCAGGAGGCCGGCATGTGGCGACTGAAAAATATCAAACCACCACGTACGTCATCCTCCCAGGGTGACCAGGCACCGTGGGTCAGTTCTGGATCCAGCTTCTTTGTCCACCGTTGATGGAGCTGGCTGGCGTTTCTTCCCTCCATGAAATATGCCACTAGAAAAGAAGAGGAGAATGACAGTCTTTCTGGCAGCCTCTCTGTATAATCATCCTTCTTACAGTTTTACACTAGGAGCTGGGCCCAGGATTTTTTTTTTTTTGAAGACCCCACCCAATGGAACTCCATTCCCCAGTCCCTTCGCCTCGCCCCTCCCTTGCCTCCTTCAACGCCTGTTTTAAGACCCTCCTCTTTGACCACGTCTTTGGTCACCCTTCTACCCCCACCCTCCCTGCTCGGGTCCAAATCCTTGACTGTCCAGCGCCTTGGGAGGTCCGCCTGACGTGAAAGGTGCAGTATAAATGTCATTTGTTGTTGTGTCTGATGTTACACACTCACTCTTGGTGTAAGGGATAAAGTTTCCCACTCTCATCCTTTCAACCAGATCCCTCAGCATCTGATCCTCCTCTTCTGTCCACTTTCTCTTCCTCAGCTCTTTGTTGGACTCCTGATACTTCTGCAGGCACATGTAGGCTGTGCGCTGGGTCTGTTGGAAGGGGATCCGGTCAACCATGTAACACGTAAATTCCGTCTCACTTAAAATTTGTCTGGTATGGAATAATTTTATAGCCCATGTCGGCACTCTGTAAGAAAGTGTTTTCTCCCCACACGCCTCCCCCAGCTCCTGCCCCACACAATGAAGCCACACACCTTCAGCTCCTTAGCAATAGTCTCCCAGTCCAGGTAGTTATGCTGCTGTGCAATCTCCTCCAGCTTCTGCACCTCCTCGCTGCTCCACTTACTCTTGTTGACAATGGGGTGCTGGTGATTTTGCCAGTAGCATCGGATATCCTCCGCTTTGCGGGTCCCATCGAACTAAGGAACACAAAATAAATGGCCAGTCATTATCACGCAAGACCCAGTACTTTCTGAGCGGCGGGGTGGGGGCGGGAGGGGAGGGAAGGACAGAAAAAAAGATGTCAAAATGTTAACTTTGGGGGCTTCACACATACATGGATCACCCTAGTAGCACCCTGAAGTTCTCCCTAGATTACTGCCAAGCCATAAGGAAGATCCCAGTCTCCATTGCTGTCTGTGCCGAGTTGTTGATCTCAGCCAGGACAATTGTTGGGGCTACAGTTGGCTTCATTGCCCCTGAGGGACAAGGAGTGGGTAAAAAGAGAACATTTGCCAGGCTTAGCTAAGTGCCAGCGGCAGGAAGATACAGGAAACATGTGGCCACTGAGTGGCGGCAGGTTTAGGCTCGGCTACAATGGCCCCCAGTTTAGTATGCTGCTGCAAATCAATCAGGCGTCTTGGGACGTGCTCCCAATGTGAAAGGTGCCATACAAACGTAATTTTGTATTGTACTGCGCAGCTGTGATCAAGGATGGCAGCCTGCACTCAGCGTGGTTCACTGCCTTCAGAAGAGTGGAGACAGCGAGATCTAATGATTTGGGAGGATAAACTTACATCAATGTTGGAGATCTTCATCCAGTCGTGCTCGTCGTACCTGTTCCCCAACAAGTGCTGCTCACCTAACTGGCTATAAGAAAGTTAAGGAGTATAAACCTCAGGTTCATTACTACCATTCCCCCCCCACCCCGAGAAATAACTCAGTAGTTACTTCAGTTATCGAGTTATCAGGTCAATTATCAAAAGAGCCAGCAAAACGTTTGGACAGTTTGGAGCTGTTATAATAATAATAATCCTTGTATTTGATATAGCGCTTTTCACGTTTTCGACATCTCAAAGCGCTTCACAGAATAGACTGTAAAGTGAATTGACCGTATATTTGTGGGCGAAACGCGGCAGCTAATTGCGCACAGGAGTGTCCCACAAACAAGTCGTAGATTGAAAATGACCAGTTTATTATTGTTTTGTTTTGGAGGGAGTATTATTAGGCTCTGTGTGGAGTAAGGAAACTTGCCCAAGCTTTTGCCCTGCCTGGAATTGAACCCAGGTCTCTCCCTTGCAAGGCGAGTTCTCTAATCACTGAGCTACAGGACTTTTCTCTCTCTCGTTGGGCTGGTTGAGAGGGGACTTGATCAAGGTGTCTAATATTATGAAAGGTTCTATAAAGTAGACACTGATGAGTTGTTTCCAATTGTTGTTGATTCAAAACAAGAGGCATGAATATAAGGCAGCTAGTAAATCTAATAAGAGACTTTAGGAGGAACTTCCTCATAAAGAGGGCGGTAAGAATGTGCCAGAAGCTGTGGTTGAAATAAAAAGCATCAATGTATTTAAGAGAGGGGAATAGGAAGGGTGGGGTAGGGATATGGCGTGGAACCACCAGCACAGACAAGTTGAGCCAAGTGACCTATTTCAGTGTCATATCTTATTATTCTACATAATTCTATGTGTAACCATTGAGATATTCTGTATAGCCACATACTGAATAAAACTAGATGAGAACCATAAAATTCCAACCCACTGAGGGTGGTATTACTGTGTATGTGAGAAGCGAGCCTGCCCACTCGTTGTACCCTGGCCGGCTAACACACTAAAATAATTGGCTAACTTCTGGGTCATCAAAGCTGATGGCAACCCTAATGACCCAAAAGTCTGCCATTTTAGCATGAACACCAGCAGCACTCAAGACTCGATCAGGTGTGAAGGGTGTAACTTTGTCATTGTTGAAGCCAGAAGGTTAACTACACTCGTGTGCAGTGAACAGGGTTCACATTACAACTGCATTAACCATTTGTGCAATAAGGATACGTTATAACAGAGCTGCAACCGTTATACTCCTGGATTAGTCGGATTTAAGACCGGAAGCTGTGGATTTCAATCTCAATTATTTCATTCGCTCTTTTGAGGTTGAGAAATTGAGCACAATGTCGATAAACATCTTTCCTGATGGAAGGGAAAGCATGTCCAATTCTAGGGAGACCTCATTCGCTTTGCTTACCCGCTGAGAATACCAGTAATATCTCGTAATTTTACGCTGAGGATCTTCAATTATACACAATGTTTAAGCAGGCAGAAGGTGATTTTCAGCTCCTGCATTCAGAGATCTAACACAGGTTTACTAGCGATTGCAAGCCGAAGCCCTGATGGGTAGGGTGGTCCAAGCTGGACAAGCAGTGGGAAAGCCTGCCAGGCAATGATATCAATGGCAAACTATGCTGTTTTAGCTGGTTAGACTTCAGCAGTTACCCCAACGCACACTCTGGGGTCCCCAAGCCATGGTACTTGCCAACCTGTGCCGAATACTTTCCAAAATTAGGAAAGCAGGATGAGTCCCTCCACAGAGAGAGCGCGTATTCCATTCCAACAAGCTACCTCTGGGATTTCCATGTGTAGGTGGGATGCATGAAAATCTCAGTTTGGTTTGGATATTTTTAAGCATGGCGATGGGTTTCAGACATCCAGCTGACCAAAAAAATACTTATTGAGAAGGGTTGGCACTGGGAGGGGTAGGGGGGAAGGGCACGCGGTGGGGGCTGGCACTGGGCAGAGAAGCAGCATTGGAGATAACTGCAGTTGAAATGTTTATAGGATCCTAGTTAAAATGCCTGTGGACAGGAAGCACAGCTCACTTGATATCGTGCATTTCCCGCTCGACTTCTTTAATCTGCTTTCTGAACATCTGCTTGGCAGACTCCACCTTGGCCAGCTCCAGCTTCTTGTTCACGTAATCCAGCCTAAACACACCAGAGACACAGCATCACATTACTAGCGGCTTAAGCTACAATATCATGTCCAGCAAGCTGGACATTTACTTTTTATTGTCACATTACATCCCCCTCCCACCCCTCCCACTCCCTGGCTAAATCCCAAAATATCTTCCTTTGGAGGGAGGGAGAGAGGGAGGGGCCCATTGGAGCCGGGCTGGCTCCAAGGTGACATGCTTGGCCACAGAATGTTAGAATCGAATCGTCCCTCTGTGGTGGTTTAGGTAATCTGGTTTCTACAGTATTCCAGGGTCACTGCAGGATTTGGAGGAGCAGACAAGTCATTGGAAGCAGGGCATCTTCCCACTCAGCTCCTATTAAGCTTGCAAGGTAGGCTAATCCTAGCTGGAAGAGCAGCAAGAAACGTGTCAGACTGATTCAAAGCCAACAGCAGTGACAGAGGGTTTACCTGGAGAGCTTGGGCTGGAGCAAATGCTGCAACGAGTCATTTACAATGGATCTTAGGAGTTTTTCTTCCTCTCTCGGTTTCCCTGTGAACAGCAAACACAATAAGGAGAAATATTATCCCACTCCAGGAACTAACCACTTTCTGTCATTGATTCCCTTGGCATTTTATCCCTGATCGGCCTGGACACAGAGATACAACAGTAACAAATGACATTTGTATAATGCCGTCAGGAGGACGTCCCAAGATACAGAAATAAAAACAGAAGTCGCTGGGAACACTCAGCAGGTCAGGCAGCATCTATGGAGAGAGGAAAGTGAGTTAACGTTTCAGATCGATGACCTTTCGTCTCTGATGTTAACTCACTTTCCTCTCTCCATACATGCTTTCTGACCTGCCGAGTGTTCCCAGCAACTTCTGCTTTTATTTCAGATTTCTGGCATCTGCAGTATTTTGCCTTCTGCCACAGATACAGAGACAGATACCTCATCACTGGCTGTATTGTTGTTTTAAAATGTGTATGAATTTTCACATTGCCTATTTAATTGCATTGTATCTAAAGTATAGTGACATTAAACAATACAGTTACACAGTTTAAGACATAGGATTCCTATGATTCTTATGGCTTATGTTTCTGGAAGGGAAACACAAAGTATTTCTTATGTGGCCTGTGGGTTTTTCTCAAAACCAGCATCCGGCCCTCAGCTGCCAGAAGGTTGGACCACCCTGAGCTAGGGAAAGAGTATGCATTCCATTCCAATTTATACCTTGGCAATTTCCATATATAGGTGGGATTTGGATTTCTGCATGTGTCAGACATCCATCTGCCCCCCCCCCCCCCACCTCCCCATCACCAAAAAATAAGACACAGCATTTCTTCGTGTTCATGTCTCAATGTTCTTCGCACAATGAGTTACTTTGCAGGACAATGATCTATGTAAGCAACTGTGGCAATAAATCTGCTGATCTCAATAACAACAACTTGCATTTATGTAGCACCCTCCATGCTGGGTAGCGAACCGGAGCACGTAACTCCATTGGGAGGGCAGGTGAGGTTCCTATTTCTAATCACTGTCCAGTGAAAGTACAAACGGTGGTCAGGTGAGGACACTGTTGAGGCTCGGCAGTGATGCCCCAACAGTAAAACATCCTGACAATACTGACTGCCTGGGCCAAGAACAGTGATTACCAGAGTGTGCTGGTGAAACAATCCCCAGGAGGAGAAAAAAAGCTTACACAGTGCTTTCATCCCAGCGCATCCCACCACCAGCCAGCACCCCCTTACCCTGTCAGTACTTACAGAGGACAGTAAGGAAATCTGCAAAGGATTTGATGCCTTGTTTTGCCTTCTCCTTTGTGTCAGCATTAGAAGGTGGACCCTTTGTAAAGATACAGAAACAAAGGTTTATTAAATGGCTGTATTTGGAGAATGCACCAGTGGAGACTACACCACACACACGGGAGCTAGAGCACAACAACAACAACTTGTATTTATATAGCGCCCTTCACTTGTAATAACGTCTCAGACCGTTTTGATGGAAAAGTGTTGGACCCTGAGCAAGCGAGTAAAGTGATAACATTCTGAGTTGCTCTGTGAAACTTTCCTCATACTCACAAGGCCACTAACTTTATCCTTGAAGTATGGCTTCATGAAGTGTCCTAGGTAATATAACGAAGATGGACCTGTGGACTTCTCTGCTTTACGTCCTCCAAGTACACCTTTTATTTCTAGCTGTGGAGAAAACAAAGAAGAGGTCCAGATTTACTGATTACAGTAAACAACAGCTTGTATTGAGCGGCAGGGCCTCGGAAACCCATGCAAACTGAGAGGGACTCACGGAAGGTAAGTCAGGCAGCGGCAGGGAGTCATAGGGCTGGTTTCCTGGAGATCGGGACCAGCGGTAGCCAGAATGGGGGCTGGGTCCGGTAACAGCTAGTGGTAGGGCCGGTGTCTCGGGGATTGGAGCCGGCGATAGGTCGAGGCAGGGTTGGGGTCCTGGGGATCGTGACCGGCGTTAGCCTTAGCCAGAGGTAGGGGCCAGCCGGTAGCTGCAGGCTGGGCCGGAGTCTCGTGGACCCTGAGGTGGGGGCGGGTGTCTCGGGGCCGGGGACTCGGGGGATCGGGGGGCGGCCATTACCTGGTTAGGGGGAGCCTCCATTTTGGACTTCCAGATTTTCCTGCCATTCTGTGTGACGTCACTTCCGCCCGCCAGGTTTGAATCCCTGGTAGCAGGTACAGTATAGTTTATACCAGTGTCTCCTTCCCATCCTCTGTCTGTCTCCCTCCCCTGTCCTTCCCCTGCAGGCTGCTCATTGCTAACCACAACGAGTGCCCACCTACCCCCCTCCGCGCCACCTCGAGCCCCCACAGCCTCCTGCAGGCTGACAATGTCCCACTAATCCGCCGCCTCTTATCTCAGCGTGCGCATCTTGGCTGCCGCCCCGGCCCCGAGCTGGCCCTCCCTCCCTACAATTCTCCCTCCGTCCTCCGTCCCTCAAAACCGCCACTATCCCCCCCACCCTGAAGAAACCTTCCCTTGACCCAACACAGCTATCCAGCTACCGGCCCATCTCCAACCTCCCTTTTCTGTCCAAGGTCCTTGAGAGAGCCGTTGCCTCCCAGCTTCGTTCTTTCCTCTCCTCCCACTCCCTCCATGAGCCCCTCCAATCGGGTTTCCGTGCTGCCCACAAATGACATCCTGACCACATGTGACCAGAGCTCCTTTTGCCTCCTCGAACTCTCCACCGCTTTTGACACTGGATCATTCAATCCTCCTCCAGCGCCTCTCCTCCCATTTCAACCTCCAAGGTCCTCTCCTTGACTAGTTCAGGTCCTACCTTTCACACCGCCTTCAGTTTGTCTCAGCTAACGGCTTCTCCTCCAGCCCCCCCACCATCTCATGTGGCGTTCGTCAGGGCTCTGTCCTCGGTCCCCTCCTCTTCACCCTCTACATGCTTCCCCTTGGTGACATCATTCTCAGAGATGGGGTAAATTTCCACATGTAAGCGGATGACACCCAACTCTACCTCCACTCTCAACTCCAGCTCCGCAACATTGCCAGAATCCGCCACTGCCTCATCAGACAACTACTGGTGTCCTGACTGACTGCCTGTCTGACATCAAGTCCTGGGCGAGGGACAACTTTCTCCAGCTGAACATCAGCAAGACTGAAGCCCTCTTGATTGGCTTACGCCAGCGCCTCCACACCTCGGGCGCTGGCAGCATCAGACTCCACGGCTGCACACTCAACCTCACTAAGCCAGTCAGGAACCTGGGTGTCTTGTTTGACCCCGAACTGTCCTTTCTCCCCCACATCCGTGCCATGACCGGCACTGCCTACCACCAGCTCCGCAACATTGCCAGAATCCGCCACTGCCTCACCCCTCAGGCTGCCGAAACCCTTACCCACGCATTCGTCACATCAAGGCTCGATTAATGGAAATTCCCTCCTCATCGGCCTTCCCAACTCTTCCCTTCACAAGCTGCAGAACATCCAAAACTCTGCAGCTCATGTACTCTTGCACACCAGGCTCTGTGACCCCATCACTCCCACCCTCGCCCGACTCCACTGGCTCCCCATCCCTCAGAGGATCGAATTCATCGATGGCCTTGCCCCCTCCTACCTCTCTGACTTGCTAACTCTCTACCAACCTGCCCGCTCCCTCCCGTTCAGCGGGCTCCGGCCTGCTCCATGTCTTCTGCCTGATCTGCCCTACCATCGGTGGCCGAGCTTTCAGCCTCTCTGCCCCCACACTCTGGAACTCCATCCCACAGTCGCTTCGTCTCGCTTCCTCCCTTGCCTCTTTTAAGGACGGTCTCAAGACCCTCCTCTTCGATCGTGCTTTTGGTCACCCTCCCACCTCTCTGCCTTCCCTCACCTCTACCCCACCCCTCCCCCATGCTCGGTTCTTGACCTCTGACTTTCCAGCGCCTTGGGAAGTCCTCCCGACGTGAAAGGCGCTCCATAAATGCAATTTTGTTGTTGTTGTCCCGCCCCACCATTGGCAGGAGAACCTTCAGCCACTCTGCCCCCAACCTCTGGAACTCCATCCCCCAATCACTCCGCCTCGCCCCCTCCTTAGCCTCCTTCAAATCCCGCCTCAAAACCCTCCTCTTCGACCATGCCATTGGTCACACCCCTTCCCCTCCCCTCTCCCCCCTGACCCCAGCTTGGGTCTGGAATGCTGCGCCTTGGGACATCCTCCCGTCTGAAAGGCGCTATACAAATGTAATCTTGTTGTAGTTGTTGTTGTATTTATATAGCACTTTCATGTGGGGCAACATCTTGAGAGTGTTTAACTGTGGCAGAGCCTGACCCTGAGCCAGGGAATTGTGGGGTGACCGAAAGCATGTCAAAGGGGAAGGTTTTCAGATACGATCTGAAGACGAACAAAGTGAGGATGAGGCAGAGGAATTGAGGCAGTGAGCTCCATAGTTCCGGGACATAGTGACTGAAAGCACGGCCACTGATGGTGGAGGGCTAATAGGAGCTGAGCGGGATGACTCTCTGCCCCCAGTGACTGCTCTGCTCTTCCAAGTCCTGTCGATGAGCCAGGCTGGGCTGTGCTGTCATCAGAGGTGCCCTGGGATACTGTGGACCCACCTGACTCAGGAACCAGACGAGAGACCGTCACAGAGGGCTGACTCAATTCCAACATTCCATTGCCAAGTCTGTCACCTTGGAGCCAGCTCAGCTCCAAGGAGACCCCCCTTATGACAAAGGATGTTCTGTCCACCTGCGGCCAGGGCTCTCTCTATCTCTTTGTCCTTCTCAAACGCTTTTGATACTGTTGACCACTCCATTCTTCTCCACTGCCTCTCGTCTCACCTCCACCTCAATGGTTCTGTTCTTGCCTGGTTCCAATCCTACCTTTCCCACCGTCTGCACTTCATGGCCCACAACGGCGTCTCCTCCAAATCCAGTCTGGAGACCTTCCTCTTCGACCGGGCCTTCGACCACCCTCCCACCCCCAAACTCCCCCTGCTCGCCTCCCCTTCTGCCCTCAGCTCGGGCCCAAAACCCGATTGTCCAGTGCACTCTCTGTGGTCCCCAAGCAATGGCTCTCGTCAGCCTGAATCTAAAAATTTTCACAATTAAATAACGAGGAAGAGAGTGTGCATTCCATTACAGACTCAGGAAATTTCCATGTTTAGGTGGCAGCATACATGGTCCTCTCAACCTGTTGTAGATATTGTTAAGCACGTTGCCAGATTTACCTGAATGACAAAAACAATTCCCCGGCTTCACACCCACCTGCTGCTCTTTATTTTGGGCCACAAGCTTCTCAACCTCCTGCAGCTTTTCCATGATGACCTCCTGATACACCAGGTTCAACTGCAGACACGTCTCGGGACCTACGGGGAGGTTGTCTTCCTCGTCTGTGTCACTGTCCAGGGGCTGAGAGGCAACACCCCTGCTGGGACCTTCTCCCTGATCGTGCACACATACACAGCAAGTTAGTTACCTCTCTCTCTCCTGTGAACTGTTTCACCATCAACACAGACAGAATATGGGAAATTGTCACACATGTACGTGAATTAGAGCATGATCACACTTGGCTGGACAGAACATTCTAAACTTTAACAACCAAGTACTAGGGTCCTGTGCCAATCATTTGGCATGAATTAAGAATCTGTAAAGATCCCCAAAAGTTTTAGGCAGACCTTGAAGGAGGTGAGGAAAGGGTGGAGCCTATGATGGGAGTTCCAGAGGTTGGGGGCAGATGCACTAAAAACCCAACTGCTGATGGTGGGGCGGGTTGGCCAGTACCCACTGAGCAGAGGGAGCGGACGGGTTGGTAGGGGTTGAGGAGGTCACAGAGGTAGGGTGGGGGAAGGACCACGGAGAGATTTAAAGGTGAGGATGAGGATCTTGAACTCGATCCACAGAGGAGTCATTGGTGCTGGCGAGGATGCTAACAGGCTCGCGGAGCCTAGTGCGGGAAAGAGGCACAAACTGCAGAGTTCTGGATAGTTGGCAGATCGTGAAGGGAAGAGGCAGGTGGACAGCAAGCAGAGAGTTGGTGTAATCTAGTCTGGAGAAGAGAGGAACAAAGCTGCCAAACCTGACTGTTATTGAGGTTGAAAGCCACCCCCTGTACAAAGAGGTGCTTAAAAATGTGATCCTTACCCCAGAAGCATGTTCCACTTCCTCATCTTCCTCTTCAGCCTCTTCATCAAAGTCTGTTGGGGGCGAAAGGTGAAAGTATTATTCAACCCTCTCTCCCAAGCATCACCCCATCCATTACTAAACCATCTCTTTTCCAAAGGAAGGATTTTTATCCTCTTCAAGGTATGATATAGTTCTGGAGAATGCACTAAGTCTTTCTCCCAGATCAGCTATAACATGGCTTGGATGCAGAATAAAGCTCCAGCCACACTGCCCCAGATAAGCTCCAGCGGAGGATAAAGACAGAGTAAAGCTCCTGCAAAACTGTAAACCTAAATTAGTGACTTTCCAATAGAATTCTCCCATCCTGGCCAAAGGCACTGAGGCGAGGACGGTAGAGTAGGTTTCTGGATGAGATGAGATGGGCCGAAGGGCCTTCTTCATCTGAACTATCCAGCACCTTGGGACATCCTCCTGCCGTGAAAGGCACTATACACTATATTTTGTATATGTATCAAGGACGTCAGATTTCAAAAGACCTCTTTCTCAAACACAGCAGCACATTAATTCTCATCAATTAATGAAACTGAACAAGTTGAAAACTCTTCAAATGAACAAGAGCAAAACAAAATATTCTTTTTTCAGAGGAATATTAAAACATGGAATGACCTACTAAATAGTAATTGAAGCAGAATCCATAATAGCTTTTAACAGGGAATTAGACAATAACAAATTGCATTTATATAGCACCTTTCACATCAGGAGGACATCACAAGGCGCTACAAACATCTGTAAAAAATATAAAAGAGTACGGAAAAGGGCAAGGATATGGGACAACACATTTAGCTCCTTTAGAAAGTTGATACAGAAATGTGCCAAATGCCTCATATTGTACTGCAAAATTCTATGATTCGAGATATTGGAAGCTCAGAGAGAAGATTAACTGTTCATTTCCTGGTCAGAGCCACCCAAAGGGTTTGGCAATACCAAATCAGATATACCTCAACTCATCATAGCCTTGGGTTCACATTCATAGCACTACTCAGATTGTGAACAAAGTTCCATCCACAAAATACACAATCAATTCACAGTATATTCTGTGAAGTGTGCTGAGACGTCTCAACGATGTGATAAGACGCTACATCAAAAGCAAATTGTTATTATCATTATTATTAGGTTTGATCTACTGCCCAAAAGACCCTTTAATCCCCATCTCAGGACACGAGCCATTTACACTTCCCACACCAGCCATCCGGGTGGCGAATGGAAGCAAGACCGCCATTTAATGAATTAAAGACGGCTTTGGACCACACCCACACCCAGCCTTCACCGCCCCCCTCACCCCGCCCCGGCCCTCGCCCCACTGTCACTTTCGCCCCAACCTGCCCCTGGCTCCATGTGCAGGTGGGATACATGGAATTATCAGCTTGGCTTGGATACTCTGAAGCACAGTGATGGGTTTCCACATGTGTCAGACATGAGGCACCGCCCCACTCACCACCACCCCCCCACCCAGCCCTGACCCGCCCCCCCAGCCCCTCCCCCCACCCACCACCCGCCCCCCAGCCCTCCCCCGCCCCACCCCTCCCCCGCCCCCCACCCGCCCCCAGCCCTCCCCCCGCCACCCACCCCTCCCCCACTCAGGACCCTCACCTACCCAGATCCCCTATCGCCACTCCGGTCTGTTTCGTGGCCTCCAGGCTCTTCTCCAGCTCCAGGATCTCACGGCAGAGTCGCTCCCGTTCGGTTACGAGCACATTCCCGGGGCCCCGGGGGGGTGAGAGGGTCTCCCCGGGGCCCTGGAGGGGTGAGAGCGCCGCCATGCTGGTCCCCAGTCCCGCGCATGCGCGCTCCGCAGCGCGTCTCCCTGGTTTCAGGCACTTCCGGTCCCTCTCTGACGTCACGTCGTCAACTTCCCACTCGGGTTCAGAAGAAGCGATTCTCCCCCCAACCCCTCCCCCCCCCAACCCCCCCCCCCCCCCTCACCCCAACCCCCCCTCACCCCCAACCCCCCCCTCCCCCCAACCCCCCCTCACCCCAACCCCCCCCTCCCCCAACCCCCCCTCACCCCCAACCCCCCCCTCCCCCAACCCCCCCCCCCCCCCACCCCCCCCCCCCCCCCCCCCCACCCCCCCCCCCACTCCCCCAATCCCCCCCCAACCCCCCCCCCCCCCCCCCTCCCCCCAACCCCCCCTCACCCCCAACCCCCCCCCCCCCTCCCCCACCCCCCCTCCCCCAACCCCCCCTCACCCCAACCCCCCCCCCCCCAACCCCCCCTCCCCCAACCCCCCTCCCCCAACCCCCCCTCACCCCAACCCCCCTCCCCCCAACCCCCCCCTCACCCCAACCCCTACCCTGACATCCCCCCCCACCCTACCTCCCCCGTAACCCCCCCCCACCCCTCACCCCCCCACACTTCTGAATGATGAATACTTCAACTGCGGAAACGCAAGTTCCCTTCATTTTTATTTTCTATAAAGTTATTGAGAATTATAAATTAGTTCAATTATTCCAGAATCCCCACTGCATCGATCTTTCAATCTTATTTTAAAAAAGTAGAGTTTCTTCAGTCAAATGAAATGGGTTTCCATCTGATGAGGTGGGAGGGCAGCTGTGCAGATTGGGGAGGAGGGGGAGGAAACTGCAGGAGAATAGGAGGGATAGAGTGGACACGCCTCAAAGCCCTAACCTGCTCGTGCACTCATAAAAATAACTAAAGGGCATTACCATAATTTAGAATCAATAATGCAATCTCTAACCGATCTTCCATTACATTATTAAAAGTGAATGTCCATTAATCCATATTTAAAATGTAAAACACGAATATAATAAAACACAGCTGCACTGACGATTTCTTTCAGGCGATGGTTAGGCAATTCGAGGTGTAAGGTAATTGAAGAGTGGTACAGTTGATAGACGCTCTCCCAAGTTGCTATCCTCCATGTGTGAGTCTTGGCAGTTAACCTGGGGAAGCTTTTTGACCATGGAGGGCCCATTCTAACCTCCTGGAAGGTGCATGTCCACACACAAGGGAGGTTCTGGATAGTGATCCGCAGCGGGAATCCTGGCTGATCTCCCAGCGACCCTTGTGGCCCCAACTTCTGCCCGACTGAGATCAGTTAACACCACAGATCTGTAACCCTCCTGGTTACACTACCAGAGAGGAAGGGAGGTGGAGGTGGGGGAGGAAGGATCACAACTATTATTGATCAGATTTTTGATCAGCATCACCCTGCCAGGAAAAGCTGTGAAACGTTCCGCTTTACCATCAGGAGTATGTTCAGAAGGTAAAGGAAAACATAGGAAAATTAAGAGAATTAGAATAAACTGGTGGATTGAAAAAAAGAAAGCAGTCGGGCAAATGTTCAATTTGACACCCACAAATGATCGCTGGTAAACAGGAGTAAGAGGAGCTGGGTGAGGGCAGAATGATGCCGAGAAGGATTTGGGGTCTGGTCCTTGTGCCTCAGCTCTGCTCACTCTCTTTGTCCTGAGGCTGTAGCTCTGATATTCTGTCGACAGACCGGAGTAGGTCAGACACTAGCCGCAGTGTCTCTGCTCCCGAAAGCAGCTGTCTGAAAAGCAAACGAGAATCAGAGAACCGTGCACCAAAGGCCTTTCAGCCCATTGTTGTGTGCTGACTCTCTTCCATACTCCCACTTCCCTCTCTTCTCTCCCTTTCAAAGTGACCTCTACAAAATCCTGTATATAATAATAATCCTTGCATATGATGCAGCGCCTTATCACATTGTTGAGACATCTCAAAGCGCTTCACAGAATACACTGTACAGTGTAGTGACTGTATATTTTGCTCCCTGTGGGCTAAACACGGCAGCCAATTTGTGCATAGCAGTGTCCCACAAACAGTCGTGGATTGAGTAATCCAATTATTATTATTATATTTTTGAAGGGATTAGTTCCTGGTTGAGATGAGTCCCAAATCCCTCCACCTCACCCCTTTCCTTTCTGCTCTCAAATATCGGCTGAAGTGTGAAAGTGTCAATTATTGAGTAAGCTCAGTGCAAAATGGGAATTGAACTGGGACTTTCTTACTTTACAGAGGTCTCTGCATCTTGTGTCGTCTTCCTGAGATACGTGGATGCCACTCGAGCATTGGTCTTTGCTGTATTGAGAGCCTCGGAATCCGCATGCCGTAGCCTCTCGTTCTCAATCTTGTACTGGTCCCGTTGATTCTGACAAACACAAGCCACATTAACACGAGCAATTTGCACTCACACCCACATGGGCACATCAGTGCCGTCAGGAGACAAGAAAACTGGAGGTGGGGCAGTGTAGCAGTATTGTGGTAACTTACCAAACGCATTTTAGCTCCTGACATTGGTGCAAATTGCGATATTTCTCAATTCTAATACTTTCTTATGGATTTTCTTTGGGGGGGGCAATCGATATTTAAATACCACGGGAAAAGACAATGAGGAGAATAAAGTCAAAAACTTTTAATTTCCCCAGCTAGAAATTCTCTCTCTTCTCCTGAATGAACTGTATTCTGCTGGGTGGGTGGGTGGGGGGTCCAGATTCCATTGTTCAAGGGTGCGTTTAATCACAAGGAAACTTTCCACATTTAAAATGGGAAATATCATCAGCGCCAAACAAAATACCCATTAGCTTTAGCAAACAGGATGTTACACTCCGTCCCCCCACCACAAAGCTATTCAACCAAAGGTGGAAATTACATCCGAGCTCGTTTTTGTCTTCACCCCAAATGCACACGCGGCTGCCAGCAGGTAGTCACTGGATAACTAACCCCGAAAGCCGTTACACTATATTCTGAGGCACTCTAGCGGAGTCTCGGGTTGATTTTCTCACCTGGACGACTGCGAGTTCTTGTTTCAACTTCCCCACAATGTTTTCAGCTTTTGCAGCTTGTTTCTGAAACACACAGAGAGACGGGATGCTTTACTCAGGCTGCTTGTCGGACTTCCCAACTCTTCCCTCCGCAAGCTGCAGATCATTCAGAACTCTGTCCTCTCCCGCACCAAGCTCCGTGAACCTATCACCCCTCTCCTCGCCCGGCTCCACTGCCGCCCCCACCATCGGTGTTTTCCCAGGAATGGGCAGGTGTTCTGCCAGCGTCAGGGGTCAGAGCAAGAGTTATCTGAACTCCGCTCTCAGAGGTCAACTCCACCAACCTGCAAGTAACCCATGGTTGAGCCCATGGGTGCACGTGTTCAATTCACTCATGCTGATGGTCACACACCTGTGCCCTTGGGCAGACACATATGCTCACATGCATTCAGTCAGTCAAGCACACAGCGCACAAGCTGTCAAGTTGCGTATTTGCCTAGTCGGCATAGACAAGCACACGCACATGCACACACACATACACACAAACACACAGCACACGCTTGTACCGTCATGAGCTGTAGGTTCTGTTCCACTTGCTGAACCATGGATTCCAAGGCTCGAGTCTCCTTTTCCTCTTTGATCTTCCTACTCTCCAGCTCGGCCTCCAGCTTCCTGGCCCTGAGGATTTTAACCAAAGTCGTCAGTTACAATCAGCAAAAACAAATCCCTTCCCGAGCCCCAATACATGCTGTAACCTGGCTCCATATCCCCTCCTTATATGAAGAGCAAGTTGGTGACGGTAACCATGTTTCTCCCTGGTGTCAAACACAATGCAGGGTAAGGGGGAATGGGACTTTTTATAGACTTGGCAACATCAAGACTTATGACATTTAGATTTCAATTGGTAATAATCCTTGCATTTGATATAGTGCTTTTTCAAGTCTTCTAGATGTCTCAAAGCGATTCACAGAATATACTGTAAAGTGAATTGACTGTATATTTGTGGGTGAAACGCGGCAGCCAGTTGCGCACATCAGTGTCCCACAAACAGTTGTGCATTGAAGTGACCAATTTTTTTTTGAAGGATTATTATCAGGCGTGTGGAGTAAGGAAACTTGCCCAAGGTTTCACCCTGCTGGGAATCGAACCCAGGCCTTTCGCTTGTGAGGCGAGTGCTCTAACCACTGAGCTACAGGACTCCAAATTGTATTCTGGTATTGTACATTGCTACGATTGTCCCACAAGAGGCTCCAAGTGAGCTGTCCATATAGTGGTATTCCCTCTAGTGGATACACACTGCAGCATTTCAGTTCATCCCACAGGCCCCACTGAAATATCCTGCAGCAAATGATGTTTCCCATCTGCAATAGACAATTATAAAAGTCTGATTTTAAGGAATATGGACATTGACTGCTTAGATAAAAAGTTTGGCAGCCTTTGCTGAACACAATTACAATAAGGACTCCTATATTCGTACTTCTTTGCATGATCTTTAACCAGTCGTTTCGCCTCCTTTATCTGCATCCGAAGCCGAGTGTTTTCTTCCTTCAGCTGACAGCAGGACAAGAGGAAAGAGCATTAGCTGAAAACTGGTTTCGACACACATCAATTCAATTCAATACTCCCACTTCAATATATCAATTCAATATTCCCATTTTATTATACAATTCAGCTGGTCACATCTATTGGCTCAGAGAATGAAATTACTGGTAGTGCAGAACAACAACAGCTTGTATTTATATAGCAGCCTTCACGCTCTGTGAAGGGCTCTGTAGAATCCCAAAGCGTTTCAAAGTGGAAGAGTCTGACATTCTTACAAGACAATAAATCTTTGAAACTGAAGTCAAGAGTATATGAATACAGTCAGTGACCAGTGCCCTCTGGAGCTGGGAATTGAGTACAGTCAGGATCAAGCTGGGCTGCAATGCTCCCTCCACGTTCCCCACTACTGTGGGCTTATACACAAAGGGCAACTTGAGTGAGGTCCCAGGGTGCCCAGTGTCTGTGGAACTGTCCCCCAGCTACTGCAGCAGCTTCAAGATGATGTGGTATACAACAACAACAACAAGATTCCATTTATAAAGCGCCTTTCACGTCAGGAGGACGTCCCAAGGCACTGAAAGTCATATACGGGTGGCGGGTGAAAGAAAGGAACTTCAGCAAAGGTGACTCCAAGCAAAATGCTGCTAACTGAGAAATAAACCTACTTTCTCGTCGTTTAAGAATTGTGTTTGATAAAGGACCTCCCCGTCCAAATCGTACTGCTGCACCGGAGCATCCCCATCATCGTTAACTTTCTCCTCTTCCTCCTCCTCATCGTCCACCTCCCATTCAGAGAGGATGTATTGCGGGCGGACTTGCTGTACCGGCTCTTTGCTGCTCAGCAACAGAGACGTGAAGGAAGCTTGGCACAGATCGTGGGCGACCTCGATCGCCGCCGGCTGATACGCTTCACTCCAGTCGTCCTCGTCCTCGTCCAGTGATGGGCTGTGCTCCATTGGGTCTGGGGAACAGTGCCCCCGGAAAGGCAGCTTCAGGCTCAGCCCTTTGGAGGCCATGCAGACCCTATGGGAGGCTGCCCCCACAGTGGAGGAGATCTTCTGTGGAGATAAGAAAGTGCCAGAGGTGGAAGATCAAAAGGGAAGATAGGACGGGAAACTTAAGGGTGTTAAGAGGGTTTTCTCTTAAGAGGGTGTTCAAGATGTGGAAAGAGGGTGAGAAGCAAATGGATTTGGGGGCAAATTGGGGGGGGGGGGGAGAAGAGAGATCTAATGGGGTGTTGTAGCTGAAGGCTTGGTCATTCTTGGTGGAAAGAAGGGAGAGGAATGAGCAGTAAACCACAGCATAATGCGTGAGTGGGAAGGGATAAGGTTGTAAAGCGTTTTTACAGTCGACCCACTGTGGTGCTGAGATCCAATGGAGATTGGTGAGGGTGGTTAGTGAGCTTGAGGAGGACTGTTGAGGATGGCTGCGTGGAGAGGTTTGTATTTTAGACCCAATAATGGCTTTATTAGCAAACATTTGATAGTTTATAAAGAACTGGTTCTGCACCTTTGGTGTCTGCCGTTTTCTTTCTTTTTCTTTTGTCACTGATTGACTCTTTGTCTTGATAAATTCCTTAAAGGAGAAAGGGTTGGTTTCATCAGGATCCCCCTCTTGATCATCTGCAATAAGAGACATCAATAAAACAGGGTGATTAGTTCTCTCTCATTCAGAAAACGCTGCTTTTCCTTCCCTCCTCTCCTCAGCACCCAAGTTTTCACGTGTGCACCCAGTTCGTGAGAGTATTTGTCCATGGAGGAACAGCACAGCTCCTAATGTCCACACACTGACCTTTTAATGGGGTGGGGGGGCGCATATATAGCAACCACTTTTGCTGGGCTGGTATAACTCCACTTCCAAGCTTGATTTAGCCGTTCGCAACCTTCTAGAGCTACCAATAGCACAAGTGTCCAGCAAGGCCTTCTGCAATAAGCTTGTATGGCAATGATACAATAAAATATAAATTCACATTTGTATAGTGCTTTTCACATTGCGAGCAAGTCCCAAGACGCTGGTCAGGTGCATAATGAAGTGTAAACTCCTATCTCTGAACCTGTCCTAACTGTTTGCAGCTTGGTGCCCCTGGTTTTGTACCTTTGTGGGGTCGCTTCTGCTCAGGGTTTTGGGTTGTGTAATCTTCAATCCCTTACTTTTTGCTTTCGGCCTTTCTGCCTTCCTCCCGACCCTGAGCTTTTACAGTCCGAGCAGTTATTGGACGTGTTACCAGTGTCTGTTACATTTTAAAACAGAATGGTTTGTCAATTCTTGGATTTTCAACTCATGTGGATATCCCAAATTGGGAGTAAATCTCACAAGCCTGATTTACAAACTCACCCATGGACCTAAAATTCTGAGATGTTCTGGAACTTTGCAACAAGTCTACATCGTATGACCTGACAAGGCACTATATCAAATGCAAGAAGTATTATTATTATTATTGATTTGAACTGAAATGCAAAGTGGGGACTTTGCAAGGATTTTTGCAAGGCTCAGAAACACCTCCCCTGAATCCTGATGTCTAACATTTCTGGAGGACATTACTGCCTCTATCTGGTAGGATGTCAGTTATTAGAAAGGTTGTCTCAAACTCTGCCCACAAATGGATTGGACCATTTTGAGAAAAAAATGTCACGTCTCAACCATAAGCCCAACAACATTACCTACACAAACACTTGTTCAAAGTTGTCCAACTTTCCTTCCATAATATTTATCCTTTTGTTGCTTTAGTTCCAATACTGCAGTGAAATTATTGCAAACAGTACATTGACAGTTTAAAATGAGAATGGGCCCATCCATATGAGCGCTCTGAACTTAAGAGCCCCCAAATCCTTCCAATGTTTGTGCTTCAAAAACTTGACAATAGATTCCAAGTCGGAAAAATGTATTTAAACACCACTCAAATGCTCAATCTGCTCAGTTCTCACCCACTATTTTTGGGTCGGCGAAGGTGTCTGAAACACGCGGAAGGAAGCCCATCACTATGCTTCTAGAAGCCAGGCTGAAAGTTCCTGTGTACGCCACCGACACATAGACATTTCCCTTTGTCTGGAAATGGAATGTGCACTCTGTCCCCGGGAGAATGCATCCCGATTCCCTAAATCCAGAGAGGATTGGGGCACGGGTTGATGAGAGCCGAGGTTTGGGGACCCCCCCCCCCACACAGAGTGCGCCCTGCGGTAACTGCTGGATTCTGACCAACTGAAACCGCTTCGCTGAGTCGTCTCAAAGTGCTTCACAGAGTACAGCGTAAAGCGCAGCGACTGCGCCTTCTGTGGGTGAAACGCGGACAGCCGGTCGTGCGTGGGAGGGCCGCGAAACACACCGAGCGGCGCGCGGCGCGCTGCCATCGGAAGTCAGTTCGCTTCACGGTATATCCGGTGAAGCGCTTTGAGGCGTCTCGGAGGAGGCGCTGATGAGGCGCGGTATCGAAGGTTATCGCTGTGAAGTGATCCCAAATCCCAAGGGGGCGGTTTGAACCGCCCACAACATTGTGCCTCACACACACACAGAGAGAGAGAGAGAGAGAGGGAGTCAGTCGCACTGAGAGCCCGACTCACACACAGCATTATTTTACATTAAATCCCCCCCAGCCCCGGGGGGGGGGGGGGGGCAGCGAGGCTGTCGCTCACCCTGGCCGGCGGGGAGGCCGCTCTCCGGGCCGCTCATGGCCCCGCCGCCCCCCTCCCTCCCGGGCTCCGAGGCAATTGGGGCGGCTCTGTTGTTGCTCTGCTTCACTTCCGCCGCCGCCGGAAGTGCTCGCCGCCCCGGAAGCAGTTCCCCCGCTTTGGGGGGAGGAAGGTCACCGGCGGCAAAGATGGCGGCGCGCGTGGTCAGGCTCAGGCCGTGGGGCCACTTACCCAGGTAACGGCGGCCCCCGGGGTCCAGCCCCCGCCCCCCGCTCCCCCCCGGCCGGCGTCTCCTCCCCCTCCTCCTCCCGGCGGACAAACTGCCGGAGAGTGCGCTCAGTGGCAAATTACTGCAGTTTAAGCCGAATAAACTCCAGCAGTGACGCCCCCGCGGCTCTCGGGTCCCCAGACCGCGGCTCTCGCCAAACCCGTGTCTCACCCGCTCTGGAATGACACGAGCGACTCCAGTCACTGGAATTTCCTACACTACGTGTGGAATTCTTTCTCAGTCCGGTTTGGGGGCCCCTCGAGCACTGTGTGATGTGTCAGGACCATCCCCCCCCCCCACCCCCCCCCCAACGACAGAGGTTTCCGTGAACCTTGCGGCAGCTTTGCTGCACTGAACATTACTGTTTAAAAAAAAATCTTCTTCTGAAATGTTGTGTTTTCTCTTCCAGGTTTGGGGGTGCCACTCGCAGGAGTTACAGCAGCGCCGGTTACCCCAATGTGCCACTCTCCGCCCCTTTGCCGAATGTCCCCAATCCCTTATTCGCCGCAGTCGGTGGGCACGACAAATACGAAACCAAAATCACCACCTTGGAGAATGGGTTGCGGGTGGCGTCTCAGAACAAATTCGGCCAGTTCTGTACGGTGGGCAGTAAGTGGTCGCACTGGAGAGAATCGGGAGCAGTCTGTGATTTGTGTTTCTAGTTGTACAGGGAAACCTCGCTCGCGTGGCATCCCGTAGCGTAGTTGGTCGCACACTCGCCTCGCAAGCGAGAGGACCCAGGTTCAATTCAATTCCCGGGCGGGGCGAAACCACAAGCAAATTTCCTTACTCCACAAACTTCTGTTTCAGTAGCAGTAGGTAGGAACCTGGTTATAATCGATTGGTGGATCATTTTCCGGGGATTATAATGTTGTTGTTGTACAATCCCTCCCCCAAAAATTGGAGATTGATGTGCGCAATTGGCTGCCGCGTTTCACCCACAAGATACATATTCAATCCCCTTTACAATACATTCTGTGACAGAGATTCCATCTGCTTGTTCGGGTGGACATTAAAGATTCTGCGGCGCTATTGGCAAAGAGAAGGTAGTTTCTTCCAGTGTCCCTGAGTTGAAGAGCCAATTGAATTGAATAAGAGTTACGACACGGTGTGTCACAAAGCAAGACAGATCGGAAAGTCACAGGCTGGAATTGAGCCCTGTGCTGAGTTACCTGATTGCAGCCATAGCCATTGGGGACTTCAGTTGAGCACTGCTGCTTCGTACTAATAACCTCATCTTGTTCAGTCTTAGTAAATTCCGGCTCGAGGCACGAGGTGAAGTATCTCAGCGGCATTTCCCACTTTCTGGAAAAGTTGGCGTTTTCAGTAAGTATTTTTGTAGTTTAAAAGCCAAACTCCACAGAATCTTGAGATTCTGAGAAAGCCGGGGGGTGGGGGGTGGAGAGAATCTCTTCAGAAAAAGAGGCATGTGCAAAACGCAACCTGAAAGAAATTGTGAACGTTCGTGGTTTACTGAGAGAACACAGAGCAGTGTGTTCCTGGCATCATTTCTGCTGCTGACAGTGCTACGTGGAGTCCTGTAGCTCAGTGGTTAGAGCACTCGCCTTCCAAGCGAGAGACCGGAGTTCAATTCCAGGCAGAGGGCGAAACCTTGGGCAAGTTTCCTTACGCCACACAGAGCCTAATAATAATCCCTCCAAAACAAAACAATAATAAATTGGTCATTTTCAATTCACGACTGTTTGTGGCACGCTGCTGTGCACAATTGGCTGCCGCTTTTCGCCCTCAAATGAACAGTCAATTTACTTTACAGTCTATTCTGTGAAGCGCTTTGAGACATCGAAAAGATATGAAAAGCGCTATATCAAATGCAAGGATTATTATTATTACTCACAAAGTGTGTTTCCTGCTCGCTCCTAATGGGGCATCTGACGCAAGGAGGGATGCTGTATTAGAAGCTGAAGATTGAAATGTGTTTTTATTTACAGTCAACAGCACAGTTTGGCTCAAAGGATGAAATCCTCCTGACTCTGGAAAAGCATGGGGGCATCTGTGACTGTCAGTCCTCCAGGTAAAGGTTATTAATAATTATGCATTTCACATAGAGCCTAAACTAACATCAGCTTGAGTAGGGCCTTCAGAAGGAAAATTATACTGGGAGGAATAAAACCTCAAACCTCGGGGTTGCAGTGCACTGTGGTAGATTGAGGGGAAAAGTGAGAAATATCAAGTAAAGGTTAATAATAATAATCCCTGTAATAAAAAGAATCTGAATGAAATCCCATTTCAGAGACACCACAATGTTTGCGGTATCTGCTGAAGTCAAGGGGCTCGAGACTGTGGTCAACCTTCTTGCTGATGTGGTGCTTCAGCCCAGGTTTACAGGTAAGGTTAGACATTTACACCGTCATGTCTCTGTTATCTTTTCATCGTAGATCTCAGATCACCTGACAGATCTTGTAGGTTCAAAGGCTGGTATAGATTTCACCTCTGTATAGAGAGGTATAAAGGAGGTTTTGTTTATAACCCCAGGACCTGTAGAAGAGTAATAATAATTCTTGCATTTGACATAACTCCTTACCCGTTATTGAGAGTAGGTTGAAATGGTGTAATTCTATTTCCTGCCACAAGTTTGTGCAATACAATGGACATTTATACAGCGCCTTTCACGTCTGGAGGATGTCCCAAAATGTTTGCTACTACTTCAGCAGCTCACCTGGCGACAAGTGGCGACACTGTTTTACAGTCTGGCCCCTGGAGACGTGTGAGAGCTGAGGTGGCAGGTAGCTGGGAGGTGCCAAGTCGGTCAGGGCATCAGGCATCGAGTCCAGGCCAGGAGTCTTGCTGGGGTTTAATTTGTGGAATCTTTTCCTCAGATGAGGAGCTGGAGATGACGAGGATGGCTGTTCGTTTCGAATTGGAGGATCTGAACATGAGACCCGACCCTGAACCTCTGCTGACAGAGATGATTCACGCGGTAATGCTCATTTTTTGGGGTTCAGCCGGGTGTCTGACACATGTGGAAACCCATCACCACGCTCACCAGTATCCAAACCAAACTGAGAATTCCAGCGATCCCACCTGCACATGGAAACCCCAGAGATAGATTGTTGGAATGGAATGCGCACTCTCTCCCTGGAGGGACGCTTCCTGCTTTCCTAATTCTGGAAAGTATTAGGCACAGGTTGACAAGAGCCCAGGCTTGGGGACCCCAGAGTGTGTACTGGGGTACTGCTGGAGTCTAACCAGCTAAAGCCACGTAACTTGCCATTGATATCACTGTCTGGCAAGCTTTCCCACTGCTCTTCCAGCTTGAACCACCCTATCTGTTAGGTCGTTGTCTTCCATGGTTAACAGGAGCATCCTTGCCTACAAATTAACTGCTGAATTTGCTGACAAATAACCAGTCACTACATTTGGCATTAATTCCCTGTGAAGCACTTTTGAGACACCTTGACATTATAGACACTGTATTAATTATTATTGTTCTATTTACTGATGAGTACAATGTGTCCACTGGAGTGACTGATGCCCTGCTCGTTGCCCTCACAGGCTGCTTACAGGAGTAACACCGTGGGGCTGCCCAGGTTCAGCCCCACAGAAAACATTGACAAGATTGACCAGACCTTGCTGCATACGTACCTGCAGAATTACTACACACCAGACAGGATCGTGCTGGCGGGGGTCGGCATGGAGCACGAGAGGCTGGTCGAGTACGCAAGCAAGTACCTGCAGGGTATGAGCACCATTCAGTCACTGGCTTCTACTCTTCCTGCTTTTTGCATTCTGCAACTCTGAGGTACTGTGTTCTGGTTTTAGGCAGCAAATCCTTCCACCTCTAATAAAGGCGGAGGTGGGGTGGGGAGGGGAGGAAAATTATACATAGTCAGGTTATCGTAAGTGCCAATGCCCTGGTTGACTCAATCGAACTGGGGTTGTGAGAGTAGCTGCTGTGTTGATCTGCCTTACCTCTCTGTACTGTGCTGCAGGTGTAACTCCGTCATGGGGGACAGGGAAGGTGATAGACGTGGACCGATCGATCGCTCAGTACACGGGAGGAATAATCAAGGTAAGTGGATGGCTCCTTGGGCTCTGTCTCTTCTGTTAAGCCTCTGAGAGACTCATAAAAAAAAGTTTAGAAACAAGGTTGAGGAGAGCATAGAACGTTACTCCCTGTCCGGCAGCTTGGCCACGGAGCTCGGCTGCTCCCAGGAGGTCTGGCGCTGCCAAGGGCCAAGCATTTGATTTAGTCCCACATCTGCTCTGCTTTTGAGCTTGTCCGGTGTCAGGCTGGCTGAGTTGGTAGCACTCTCCCTCTGTGTCTGAAGGTTATGGGTTCAATCCGCACATCCAGGCTGATGCTCCAGTGCAGTGCTGGGGGGAGCGCTTTATTACAGAGAGGCCATCTTTCCAACGTGTCATTAAACCAAAGTCCAATCTGCCTGTTCAAGAGGGCGTTAAATATACCGCAAAACTGTTGGAAAAAAGAAGCTTCTCCCAGTATTCTCTAGACAACTGTCACTGTCTTACTGTCTGCCTGTGTATGTGATTCCCACTGTAATCTTCGACCATGCCATCGGTCACCCCCCCCTCCCCTCCCTTCTCCCCCCGACGCCAGCACGGGTCTGAAATGCTGCACACTGTCCAGCGCCTTGGGACGTCCTCCCAACGTGAAAGGCAGAGGGCGAAACCTTGGGCAAGTTTCCTTACTCCACACAGAGCCTAATAATAATCCCTCCAAAACTAAAAACAATAATAAATTGGTCATTTTCAATCTACGACTGTTTGTGGGACATTGCTGTGCGCAATTGGCTGCCGCGTTTGCCCACAAATATACAGTCAATTCACTTTACAGTGTGTTCTGTGAAGCGCTTTGGGACGTCCTCCTGACGTGAAAAGCGCTATATCAAATGCAAGGATTATTATTATATTATTATTATTATTAAAGGCGCTATACAAATGTAATCTTGTTGTTGTATGTCTGAAACTGTCGGTGTCTCACTCTGTTCTGGGCTGTTTGTTTCTGAAGGTGGAGAAGGACATGAGGGACGTCAGCCTGGGCCCCACCCCAATCCCGGAGCTGTGTCACATCATGATTGGATTGGAAAGCTGCTCCTTCCTGGTCAGTACATAGATTGCCCTGGAAAGGCAAGTATAGCAGAACACTGTTTATGCCCATGTGCAATCATTGCTGTTCCAATGTGTGATGTGGTCGGGCTGCTCTGACCTGGATACATGATCCCAGTAACCCCACACTTGCATAACGAACAGGACTATTTTTTATACTTTTAAGTAACTTACTGGACTGCAGGTAACTGGAAATCGAACCTAGCCGGACTGGGCTCGAAACCCTAATTTTATTTTAAATTCCTGCAGGCTCGTGTGCATGTAGACTCCAAACTCTTTCTTTTCTCCTCGGGGGTGGGGGGGGGGTTGGGAGGAGGAGGTGCTCCCGTTGAGTGATGGCGTTTGGTTGCTGGTCTCCTGCAGGAGGAGGATTTCATTCCATTTGCGGTGCTGAACATGATGATGGGAGGCGGTGGCTCGTTCTCAGCCGGGGGGCCTGGCAAAGGCATGTTTACACGGCTGTACCTCAACGTCTTAAACAGGTCAGTGACACATCGTGGAGGTGTACTGTGGATAGAGTGGCTGAGCTCTGGTTGTTAGTTCTGGTTGATTCATCATGAGTAGTAATTCCCTCCCCTGAGAAAGTCTGTCAGTCATTCCCAGCCCCTGTGTAATTTGGGGACAACATGGATCCAACCTGACAATTTAAATTTTACCCCTAGGCACCACTGGATGTACAACGCTACCTCATACCACCACAGCTATGAAGACACAGGCCTCCTGTGCATACACGCCAGTGCTGATCCCAGACAGGTATTGTTCCCTCACACAACAGAGACCGATCGCTCCACCACATGTACTGAATTGAAACTAAAGCCGATTAGAATATTTGCACCTTTTTGATTTCTGTGCAGAATGAAATACTTCCAGAAAGGGTCAGAATTAATGGAGGTTTTTCCTTGTTGCAGGTCAGAGAAATGGTGGAGATTATTACTCGGGAGTTTATTCTGATGGCCGGGGACGTAGGGGAGGTAAGTCAGCCAAGTTAGGAAATCTTAGAAGGATTATATTTTTAAAACTCAGCACAAGAGGCAACGATTTAGAGGGTAGTTGTTTGAGGGGTGTCTCATAGCAAAGGAGAAGCTATGCCCCCTATCACTCTGTCTCACATTATTGGAAACTCAGTCTCACCCTGGAGTGGCAATGGCAAACTGCTGTCCCTGACCTGGGAGTGTGGACGGACAGTGTAGAGGAATCTCACGTCTGTTGAATTGTTCACAGAATGAACTTGAACGGGCAAAGACACAGCTGAAGTCAATGCTGATGATGAATCTAGAATCCCGGCCGGTCATCTTCGAAGACATTGGACGCCAGGTGTTGGCCACAGAGACCCGGAAGCTTCCTCACGAGCTGTGCAGGCTGATCAGTGAGTATCTTACTGAGCGGAGGAGTCGCTATATAGTGATGTGAATTACATAGAAAACAAAGAACGGAAACAGCCTAAGAGTTCCATTGTATCCACTTTGGACGATTCCCCACAACACGAGTCCTTGACACTCAGGTCCCTCCTAGTGTCGAGGAAAGGCCGGAGAAAAAAAATCATGGCTAATTTGGGGGACGGATGTAATTATCTGGAGGAAATCCCGATTCTCAAAGGCTTTTTATCACTCGAGCTCCAGGAAAGCCAAGCCACCACTAACAACAACACAGCCTCTCCTCACCACCTCCTGCACCCTCTATGTTGGTGTCAGCCCTGTCACTGCACACACAGCAGCCGCTAGCTTTAGCTGCTGATCCTTCGCAAGCAATCTCTTTGGAAGTCTGTTGAACAAATGGATGTTCTTTGCACAGACATCAGCATATAGGAGCTTTTCCAGATGTCCATCACCACCCTCTGTATTACATTCAGCGATTAAAATCTACGCAGAATCCCAGCGGATTCACACGCCACTTCCCTTCCCCCAGCCCCCATCTCACCCACACTCTGTGGCCGTTACTCAGCGCTTGACACCTATCTCTCGGACCCACTAGTTCGTTAGACCACAGCCGTCTGTCAGTGTCCAGTAAATTCTTTCTCCATGTGGGTGTCACTTACTGTTCTCTACTATGATCCTAATGTGCCAGTCACTACGGTGGGGGGGGGGGGGGGGGAGAGGAGAGAGGATCACTGCCAGTGAACACAGGTAAGAGATACAGCAATGTAAGAGATTGGGGGCAGTTACAATATTGAAACGTTGAGCAAACCATTGTGAACCAATACAAAACCTTCTGTTTTCAGGCAATGTAAGAGCCAGTGATATAAAGAGAGTCACCTCCAAAATGTTACGCAGCAAAGCATCGGTGGCGGCTCTGGGAGACCTGTCAGAACTCCCCACCATGGAGCACATTCAGCAAGCACTGAGCAGCAAGGACGGCCGGCTGCCCCGCATCTACCGCTTATTCCGATAAACTCGGGGGCATGAACGCCGAGCGGGTCAGGGGCTCCTTTTTAAACAAAGGCTGTAAAAGCAACCTTTTGTAATCCTTTAAAATGAGTGTCTCTCACTTGGTAGCCATGTCTGTGAGGGGAGGGGGAACAGTCTATAACTAGGGAAGGGTATTGCACAGATTGGTATTTTTTATTTTTAAAATGACCGTTAAAACGATTAACTGTTGTGTGTGACGATCGTGATGGCGACCTCTCTCCGCCACCCCACACTCACAGCAACTGCCTCTGCTTTCTCTCCCTCTTCCTCTCAAAGGTGCGGACCGACCTGGGTCTTAGCCATGACTTTGACTCAAGAGGCCTGATATACTTGGGACTTGGGAGAACAAAAGTGCTACCCACTGAGCCAGGCTAACACCCAAACAACTACAGTACACAAGGGGTTAATGCCCCTTTTGAGAGGAGTGAATAATTTTCATTCCTTAAGCAACATAAGCCCCAACATTGTCTGATCAGGGCATGCTGACTGACCCATGCAGGTACAGAGCAAGTGCAGGTATTAATAATAATAATCCTTACACTTGGTACAGTGCCTTTCATGTTGGGAGGACATCTTAAAGTGCTTCACAGGATTTAATGTAAAGTGTAGTGTCTGTGTGTTTTTGTAAACAAATGTGACACTTAATGTCCTATAAACAGTTATGAAACAAATGACCCATTTTATTTTGGGGAATGGTTGGCCAGCACACCAGGAGAGAGAAACCTCCTTCTCTTTTCAAATAGTGCCACGAGATTGTCAACGTCCACCTGAGCGGGCAGACAGGTTTAGCTTCTCATCCGAAGGACAGCACCTCTGGCAATGCAGAACCCCCCCCCCCACCTCCAGCACTGCATCGCAGTCTCACCTTAAGACTGTGATTCCAAGTCCAGACATGGGACTTGATCCTACAAGCGCGTCCAAGGCGAAACATGCCAACACAAGGCAATGACGGCTGTGAGGAATGGCATTGTGCACAATGCAGGACCATACAAGCCACGAGGGGTGTGCACCACGCAAGCCAGGAACTCACAGGTGCTCGGTCCCTCCAGCACTCCCTCTCTCTCAACTTGGGTTTTAGGGACGCTTTGTGGAAGCTGCCTCCCCATCTGCAGAGTCCAGTTTATTCATTAACATTGGTACAAAACACGTTTAATGTTCTCTAAATACTGAAGGGTGGGAGTTGGGTGGGGTCAGACAAACAACAATAAATTATTTCTTGGAACAAAAATGGTAATTAAGGGAACAGATTTGTACATGGCTGATTATAGTCCTGACTTACGGAATCTCCCAGCTCTGCTAACGCTGCCTGGCTGGGGGCCGCTGGGAAGAGGTTAGAGATTCCAATTCTGGTTCCGGCCAAAGAACACCATCCCGTAAAGTCGGCAGATTCTCGGCGACCTCTGGGCTCCGGCCACGCTCTCCCAGCGGGAGCTACACGGTACCTCCCGTATAGGGCTGTCATCATGACACTGTACACACCGCGCTGTTTCTTTGTGCTCTTGAAGATCGTTTACTCATTTCTCGAGAGAATCGCCGTTTGATTCCCTCCAGGTAGATCTCCCTCTCAAACTGGCCAGCACCAAGAGGAATGCTGTGGGCAGTGAACATCAGTCAGCATCCAATATTGTTTCACTCACACACACACACACACACACACACACTCACTCTCTGGTAACTGATAGCTGGGTGTGAATGTGTTTAACAGGAAACTGTTAACACCGTTAAAAAAGTGGAAGGGGCGAGGCAGACACTAGGTAGAAGCTGTGTAGAGGAATAGAATAGGCTGTGGCTTACACCGAATGAGGGAATAGAATGACCTATTGTGCTCCCATTACAGGAGCTGAACACGCCTCTTGAGGGGTTACGTTGTCCCCTGGACAGTGGATAAGAGGGGGGAATATTTCAGCAAAAACTCCCACTATTTATGGTTCATGAGTGGCCATTAGGTGAGCACAGGTTGACCCTGATCCTCCCTCTGTAAGGATGGAAACCAAAGCTCACTATCCAGGCTGACATGTGAAGGGTGGCCAATTGGGGAGGTTTGAGGGGAGGAACTGCTGTTGCCATGGAACCGATTTGATGTAGAGCCCCCACCAATGGTGGGGGAAGGGGGCATTAAGGGAGGGGAGGCGAACGTCACTCACTTGTCTCTTCCAGGCCGCAACTTCACTTTAAAGCATCCATACACTGGCCTGTGGTCTGATGTCTTAATCGTCTGGCAACATCCATACTTAACCATGTGGACTTCATCTTTGTGACGGCATTTATATAAAACTCGATCCTGAGGGATAAGTGAAGGCAGTGCGTTACCACCGTGACTGTTCGGTGTGTGCATGTGTTCAATATACGCTGTGTATATATGTTCAGTGTATGTGTGTGCTCAGTGAATGCACGTGTTCAGTATATGCACTTTCATGCGAGCGCTTGTGTGTGTGTATGTCTAACTGCGTTCAGGGTCCGCGATTGTTTACAACCAAGTCCCCAGCAGCCTCACCACAGGTGCAAAATAATGATTTTGTTAATGCAGCGCCACATCAAACATTAATAATCCTTGCATTTGATATAGGTGGGTCCAGTAGCTTACTGTGTAGGAAGGAGTCCTTTGCTTTGAGCTGCTGTCGTACACGTCACACCCGATATCGAACTTGTAAGTTGGTAGAAACTGGACAGTGCCTTCTCGGAAGCCTTTAAATATGGAACCTGTACAGTAAGGACATCAGAGTTACTGAGAGAGCAGCGGCAGAGGACACACTAGCAGGCTAACACCATCGGGTTACAGGTAACTGAACACCAGGGAGTATGACCAGGGAATGAATGCCAGGCTCAGCAGAAGCCAGACTCTTCCCTATGGTGAGAGGCAGGCTGGCTCTCCTGCACCTCAGACCATTGGACTTGTGCTGAGAGCTTGGCTGAGAATCAGAGACTTGCTGTGGGGAGAAGCTGGGCTTGAGAGCGACTCTCTACTGCCCTGAGATGCAGTACATTCCCCAATGTGAAGCGAGAACCTCATCATTCCATACATTACAGGACCCTTTAGACTACGCACTTTACTACGGCTCTCCAAGCCTGTGCTGGCGTCTGACATACCTTCCTGTAGTTTCTTGGTCAGCTGGTCATACACCATCAGCCCGGACACACTGGCATTGGAGTCCTGCCGCAGGAGGTGGTCAATTACCTTCCGCTCCTTGTTGAGGCGAAAATTGAAGTCTCCGAACCAGAACACAACATCGAAACGGGTCGTGACGTCAGCTACAGGTACAGAGGGGGCAGGTTAGAAAGCATATTGGTTCTGTAATGCTGGATCAGCCCTGGATTGGTTTGCTCTCACTGAGTTTATCTCTTCTGAAGACATACGATTTCTTCTACTGAAGTAAGAATCCGCCAGCATCCTCCAATATATATATATAATAAATAATCCTTGTATTTTTATATAGTGCCTTATCACATTGTTGAGATGTCTCGATGCACCTCACAGGATATACTGTAAACTGCGTAACTTGAGGGCGAAACAGGTCAGCGAATTGCGCACAGCAGTGTCCCACAAACAGCCGGTCAATGAATGACCAATTTTATTTGGTCGATTGTTGACACCGAGAGAGAGAAACTCCCCCTTCTTTTTGAATTGTGCCATGGGATCTTTAACGCTCACCTGAACACTCAGACAGGGCTTGGGTTTAACCTCTCATACAAAGGAGGTCATCTCTGACAATGCACTGCACCCCCAGCACTGCATTGCAGTATCAGCTTAGACAACGTGAGTCCAGGCCCCGACATGGGGCTTGAACCCACAACCGAACACTCACAGCAAAGTCACTAGCAGAAAAGAATCTAAGAGAGATGGAGGGGAAACATCTGAACCGGAAGACGGCTTTCATTGCATCAAATCTGCTCTGTCAGTTCATGGCTAATTCCATTTCCCTCTCCCACATTTTCCCCATACCGCCTACTTGCCAAATGTCTCTCCATCTTCATTTTAAACAATTCAATTGAAGCTGCTGCTGCACATTCCACATCCTCATCTCCAGTGTGTCTCACTCACAGTCTCGCTCTGTACATACTTTAAGTTGAATCCTGAGGGTACTCACAAGGGTCTGACTTGTAGGGGTTGGTGTCTGGGAGGAGCCTGGGTAAAGCCAGCGCTTCCACAATTTTATTATAATCCAGAATCCTCTCGTAGACTTTGCCCTCCCCGGCTGCAAAAGAAAGAACACAACGGGAGTAATAATATCCTTACATTTAGGACAGCGCCTTTCATGTCAGAACACCCCAACGCGCTTCACAAGATTTACCGAAACGTTTTGTTTTGTGGATGAACATAGCAAAAATCTTGCACACAGCAATATTATTATTAGAGTAGAGAGCTCCAGTGGGGAGCTGGCCTCTCCACGTGCTGGGAACCTGCTCTGATGCCAAGACCAGGGGAACAATACCAGCAAACTTACAGGTAAAGTGGGAAGTGATGAAGAGGAAGGAAGTCCCAAAGAAGGTGAAGGAAACTCCCACGGCTCCTTTCGTCCTGATTTGGGAGACGATGCGCGTTGTGACTGTTGCGTGTTCCACTTCTGGGGCAAAAAACAAAAGGAAAACACAAATTAGTCAAAATTACAGCACAAACTGAGTTCAAGAGCACATCGAACTGTATTACAGTGCAGGAGGCAACAATTCAGCCAATGCTGTCTGTGCTGCTCTTTGAAAAAACAGGCCATTCCTTCCCATTTACCAGCCTTTCCCCCATATTGTTCCTCTTTAGGTATCTATCCAGTTCCCTCTCGAAAGCTAATATAGATCCTGCCTCACCCACTGCACCAAAAGGCATTCCACATCCAAAATATGCTCCTTTCAACCTTCTCTGCTGAATATTGCACGACGCACGCAAACAATAATAAACCTTGTGTTTGACACTCTGCTTAAAACATCAAAACATCTCAAAGCACTTCACAAGGAACTGTTGTCAAGTGCAGCAATTTGGGACGTTCTCCTAACATGAAATGCAATTTGTTGTCATTTGTTTACATCGGCAAAGATGGCACCTATTTTGTGCACAGCAAAGTCCCACAAAGAGCCATGAAGTAAATGACGAATATAGCTAGAGCACTGTTAGCCAGGATTTACAAGCAGTTTACTAATGGTACTAACCCACCTGAGCAGAACCAGATGAGGTCCCTTCTGATCAGCACAGCGAGATGCAGCACTCCATGTGAAGCAGAGTACAACAGAACGTAATGGGGCCCCAGCGTCTCCTGTAAACGAATCTCCCACTCTCGCCTTTGGAAACACAAATGGCAAGTGGATTATTCAGGCTACATTTGGGGAAAATACCACCAAGAATTTAACGCAGAAAGAATTATACATCACTCCCCCAGTACTGCACTGGTGTCAGCATAAACTGTGAAGCTTGAAACCATAACTTTTTGACTCAAAGAGAGTGCATCTAAGCCAAGCTGAAACCTGAGCCAGACTGGAGGTATGGGCTGGGGGAGGGGGTGCAAGGACGTATGGGGAGTGGGGGCTGTGAAGCAGGGCTGCGGGCTGGAGGAGAGGACAGGAGCTGGAGGGTCTGCTGTTCTAAGTTGCCACACTACCTGTCTGAGATGCTTTCCTGAATACCAATGATGTACATGTCCTGAGTGACATCGCAGTCACAAGGCAGGAGGAAGTCATTCAGACTATCCGGAAGTTCCTGGAGAGAACAACACAGCATATCAGCGGTTACAACAGGCCATTTGTGAAAGCAGCGGCTGGCGATCTTCAGCAAATAACTCTCGATACCAGCCCCACCAGACACCGTTAATACCTCCTCACCAGACATCCTCAATACCCACCCCACCAGACAACCTTGTTACCTGCCCCCACTGGAGACCCCAGATACATTAGCATCACGGACGTGCTCTCAGGACAACAGGGCAGGTTGCTAAATGGCCTTGAATGGTCTGTATCCAGCCAGAGGGGTGAGGTTCACAAATGGAATGTTGAAGGAAAAGTATTGAGTTTCAGTGTCACAATCACAACCTGTCACATGGAGATCCAAGCGGGTGTCCGTACCCTGCTCATGTGGTACAATATATTAGGGACATAGGAAACCAGGGAGAGACCATTCAGCCCATTAAGCCGGTTCCACTAGCCTTAATCCCCATGCCTTGCCCATTCGCCATGCTCCTTAAGCACAGTATTTTCTGTGAAGGGCTTTTAGACGTCTTGAAGACGTGATAAGGCGCTATATCAAATGCAAGTATTATTATCTACTACCCAAGTAGCTATATCCCTCCCTTTTAAACATCTCCTTTGATTCTGCATCTACAGCTTTCTTGGACAGAGCAATATATATCTTAATATTACCAGCACTCCCCAGCACCTTTCTCAGCAAGTTCATGAAAGGGCTGAGCTCTGGGAAAGCTGAGATTGAAGAATAGAAAAGGCAGCATTCTCATCCTACAAACATTCTACAAACTTTGGGGACTGGCAAATGGACTGCAATGATCGTGTCTCCTACTGTACATTCCCAGGCTGCTCATCAGAGATAATAGCCAGAATCGTTCCACAGATCAGAAAAAGATGTGAATAGTTTCTTCTTTGAAGGGGCTGCAGAAGAAATGATGGGAGTTATGTATCCACCCCACCCTCCTCGCCCCAGTCACTTCTTACCTTTCTGCCCTGCATGTTCCACGTGGTGATAAATATCCCGACTCTCCGGTCTGGGAAATACCGTTCCAGCTCCTCACCACCTAACAGTGCCCCTGAAGCCAGCAGGCTGCCCTCCAGGTAACTCCTGCAAAACATTAGCACAGATATTGTTCAACAGGTCCTCAGTGTACGCAGGAAACTAATCCAGGAAGGCAGTATATAACCTCAGGCAGCTAAGGGCACAGGATTACAAGCAGAGGCCTTGATGATCAAACACCACCACCCCCCCACCCACCCCGACACACACACACTCAAATACATCCCCACCGCAAACAAACACACACCACGACACACAGCGCACCCAGACAATGCACAGACCGCCCTCCACCCACAACAAACCCACCCCACAGACAACCCCTCGGAAGACCGACAGACACCACCCCCAGATAGACACACAAAATACACAGAGACCAGTAGTATATACCAAGACAAAACTACCCAGTGATTAAGTGCTGAACCCATTATAACATTGGTTTATTATACTGAACATTATTTAACATTGGTTGAAGGTGAAATCAGATGAAAGTCTCATAATTGTAAAGTCACAGAGGAACAGGCTGAATACCAAGTCCAGTGAGCGCTGAAGAGCACGCCAACAAGCCTTCGAAAGAGGTGCAAGGTCAGAGCTTTTTATTTTTTAAATAAATTTCAGCTTTCAATCAATTAATGTGTTTACCAACGAGTTGCTGAGCTGAACAGACAACTTGCATTTATGCAGCACCCGTCACGCAGGATAGAGTCTCGGAGCGCTACATGGTGCAGGGCAAGATCAGGGGGAGGTGGGAAACTGCTGCGCCAATTGGCTGCTGCGTTTCACCCACAAATATACAGTCAATTCACTTTACAGTATATTCTGTGAAGCGCTTTGAGACGTCTCGAAGATGTGAAAAATGCTATATCAAATGCAAGGATTATTATCAAGGAAAGGTTGGAGGACGTGCGGAGGCCTGTGTTAGCTGAACCAATGGGGTGGACAGAGGAGTGGGCTTGGAGGAGGTCAGACAGGGAGGAAGGTGCTAGGGATTTGTACACGAGGGTGAGGATCTTGAAATCAATCCTCTTGGAAAGAGGAAGCCAGTGACCCCTGACAAGAATTAGGGTAATGGACGTACAGAGTTTGGTATGGGTTAGCCTGAAGGCTGTGGAGGTTTGGATGAGCTGGATCTTGTGGATGATGGAACTGGGGAGACCAGCGAGGTTTTTTTTTGAGAAATCAAGGCGAGAATTGACAAAAATAGCAGTAGATGAAAATAATAATCCTTGCATTTGACAGAGCGCTTTATTACATCGGAAGGACATTCTCAAAGCGTCTCATAGGATTTACTGTGAAACGGACTGTGTATGTGTAGGCAAACGTAGCAGTGCAATTGCGCGCAGGAATGGAATGCGCACTCTCTCCCTGCAGCAAAGCGCCAGGATTTAAAGGTTAACAGACGACAGTAGTACATCCTCTCAATAAAAGCTCCTGAGACGGCAGCACCAGCAGAGCTCGGCAAGCAGAGAATGCACACAGAGGGCCCTTTGCACACCACTCCCCACCCCGGGATGGACAATACCTCCTGCGCAGGTCTTCGGTCCGCACCCGACACAGCAGGCTGCTGGTGGATTTCATGGACAGGACAGAGGTGGTGTCCAGCAAGGAGCTCTCTTGGTTAGTCAGGCTGTGCTGACTCTGCAAATCACTCTGAGACAAGCGATTGTAATCTACATAATCCTGGTCAATGCGATTAGCTGTTCTTAGTGCTGAGCAGGAGAGATTGATCTCCATAGGAGGGAGCGGCCTCGTGGGCATCACTGGGGATAACCTCCTTTTGGCACGATGGAGGTGCCTGTCCAGCACAGGGTGGTTGGTTTCTGAGTCCGAGTTCAAGGCCGGCCTGTCCTGCTGGTCTCCAGCAGTGCCTGTCCTACCACCTTGAGAAGGGACCTTGACGCAGTTAGACAGCAGGCCCCGCTCGCCCTGCACTGTGTGGCACAGGCTGGAAGACACAGAGCTTTCCTGGCAGACCGATCCACAGGAGGACTCTGAGTCAGTCGGTTCAGACGAGCTCTCTTGGCTGCTTTGGGGTTTCCTCGACAGGACCCTCCCTTCCATTGAGAACCCACGGTGGAGTTTTTGCTGCCTCGGGGGTTTAGGTTTGGTGGGGGGTCTCGGCAGAAACTCCACCTCAGGGCCCTGCACTCCATGGCCCAGTTCCTCTGGGGGAAACTTCAAAGTGTCATTAAGAAGGGGCTTGGAGTTCTCCTTGCCCGTGGGATTCATTTTCCTCAATTCCTGGCATCTGTGGGGTCGACCAAAGCCATCTGACCTGCCAGGGAGGGTGGCAGTGCCCTTCACAGCAAAACCCTCTGGGGTCTCCATTCTTGCAGTTCCTGTGGTACTTGGCAACCAAGTGTGTTCATTCAAGCTAAGCCTCACAATCATCAATAATGTTTCCAGGTAGAAAGACTAATTAATGGGGTATCAGCAGAGCAGCATCCCAGCATCCACATGTTGGCACACCAGAAGAAATCAGTGGGGAGTTCAGATCATCTCAGTTCCCACCTGCAAAAACAAACCTAACATGTCATCAGGAGAAACAACTCTACAGCCAGTCAGAGGTCCTTGTTGACAATGCCCACATAACATTCACTTTATTTTTTATTCATAAGGAAAGCCTGTTATAGTGTTCTTTTATATAGCACCACCTCACCCATAGCTGTAAGTCTAGTGTATCCCACACTAATGAATGTGTGGCTGACATTAATTGAATTTTTTTTGGTCAGTCAGGTGTCTGAGACTACAGAAACCCATCACCATGCTTAACAGTATCCAAATCGAACTGAGAATGCCATGCATCCCACCTACACATGGAAATTTCCAGAGATAGATTGTTGGAATGGAATGCGCTATCTTCCCCTGCAGGGAAGCATCCTGCTTACCGAGTTCCGGAAAGTATTAGGTGCAGTTGGCACGACCCGGCTTGGTGACTGCAGTGTACATTGGGGTACTTCTAGAGTCGAAACCATCTAAAACCGCAAAGCTTGCCATTGATACCTCTATCTGGCCAGCTTTCCCATTGCTTATCCAGTTAGGACCTACTTATCAGTTATGGCGTTGGCTTGTAGGATTAACAGGAGCTGAGTGGGATGATTCCCTGCCCCCCAGTGACTGCTCTGCCCTTCCAAGTCCTGCCAATGACCCAGGCTGGCTGTGCTGTCATCAACAGTGCCCTGGAATACTGAGGACATCCCTGGCTCAGAAACTGGAGTCTGCCGCAGAGGGCTGGCTTGATTCTGACATTCTGTCTCCAAACATTTCACCTTGGAGCCTGTTCAGCTCCAAGGAGTCTCTGCTTACCTCCCCACAAGGAGGATAGTCACAAGTCGGTCATTCGACATCCGACAAATGCGGGTTTGAGCCCCGACTCGGAGTATGGTTGGTACCAAGAACTCCCTGCTCGCTTCCCAGTGGGCAGCACAGCTCAGCATAAAAATTCACGCCTAACCACCGCCTTGTCTAAATTTAATCACTGCCGTTCTTTTGTATTCAATTGTCCTACTTACAAAACTTGAGCTATCAGTATCCGGTGGAAGGAAGTGGTCTTCGTCCAAAGACGTTTAAGGCATTGAAACAACCGGAAAGCAGAGATAAACCAGAGAAAGGCACAAAGCTGCTTTGAAAGGGCTGGTCATCTCTACAGATGGAGGTCCTCATGGGCCCTGTCACAGAAGATTCTCAGACTCTTACTTTTACTCTTTGTGTAAAAGAAATCTCAGGATCTTGACTTGATCGACCGCATTTCTGTTGGGAGAAAAGAATACCGCAGCACACGTTACAAGTTTGTTTTGTAACTTGTTCAACTCCCACTCCTCTTTCAGGCATTCTATCCCCGCCCGCCCGGGCTGAGGTCAGTCACTGTGCACAGAGCGAGGAGCGGCCTCACTCGGCGTGAGGCTGTGCTGTGCTGTGACAGGCGGGGAGCGACCCCCATTACCCTCTCACCGTGTCCCGCGGATGTTAGGCCTCAGGCCTCAGGCCTCGGCTCTGAGATCAGTCAGTCTGCCCGCAGTCCAGCAGCCCTCCCCGGGCCACTCTACCTCCCGCCCCCACCCCCAAACTTTACCTGAACCTCCGACCACCCCGCGGCCTCCGAAAACTCCAGACATCAAAGAGCCCCGCGGCCCATAGCAACACCTCCGAGCCATAGCAACGCGACCGCAAAGCATTCGGGGAATTAGCTGCTTCCCACGGGGCTACCATCTTTGTAAAGCGGAGTCGGCCATCTTGGTAAAGGTGAAGTGACGCATGCGCACAGGGTTGCCAGCAAAAAAAAACCCCGCTTGTAGCCCAAAGTCCACCAAACACTAGCCCAAAAGTAGCCCGACATTATAACCATCTTCGCCTCCTATGGGCAGCAGGGTGGCCAATTTAGGTTTGTGTCTTTGTGACTGTGTAAGAAAAGGTCTTCAAAGGGAATAAAAAGTTGCAGGTTTCATTTGAAGATTAGGCACCCTCCCAAACCAGTTTTGTTTCATGTGCAGTGCAACACAACCCGCCCACACCCCACCTGCCCGCTCATCTGAAGGTGGCCTCATCATGTCAGGCTGGTTCAGTCAGGGACTTTGAGCTCAGTCTAAGATGACCCTCCAATGCAGCAATGGGGGTCTGTTGTACTCTCGGAGGTGCCGTCCTTTGGATGAGACATTAAACCTAGGTCCCATCAGCCTGTTGAGGAGGATGTTAAAGATCCCGTGATAATATTTCAAAAGAGGATTTTATCCCGGTGTCCTGGCCAACAATCCCCCAAATAAAATTAGTATTTACTCCGTTGCTGTTTGCGGACACTCCTGTATGTTCACAATCCCCCAGATAAAATCGGTTCTTCATATCAGGTTTCTTTGTGGGGCACTGCTCTGGGCAAATTGCCCGCCACATTCACCTACAAATATTCTGCACTTTACAACAACTTCTGTTAAGAGCTTTGAGATCTTGATTAAGTGATAAGGTGCTGGCTGTATCTAATGCAAGGATTATTATTAATATTCACTCTTGATTGGCTGTTCTTCAGTTAAGGTTGTTTGAACAAGAGTCTAAACCAGATTGGCTCCCCCGCCCCCCACCACCCCGGAGTATTGTTTTGGATTAAACCCCCTTTAAAAGTAGGAGGTGCTGAAGACAGAAGTGTTAAAACGACAGGCCAGTAAAAGACGAAGACCCAGCAATAGGTCAAAATGCGCCAGAGCACAAAATATTGTTTTATTTCCATTAAGAATTTACAGTGTGAAGTCTAACACATTATGAAAATAGCAGCACCTCCCACAAAGGAGGGACCCTTTTGATTTTAAAAACTAGTTTGAAGCCTACATGGAAAATAGCACAAAGGCTTTGCTTCAAGGAGAAAGAGAAGGGAGATTCAAATATATTAAGAGATAGGGAGGGGCAATCACTCGGCTACCCAGAAGAGGAATGAATCAGTGTTTATCAGCACTGCATACTAATTCCAGATCTAGTTACTCACGGCGTTGAGGTCTTTTGGTAGGTCGCAGCAGGTGTGAACAAGTCACCCTTTCAAACACTGTTCTGAACACAGGCAAGTCCTCGCCCACCACAAACAACCCCCCCAGCAAATGTTTGTGCATTCTGCCTTTTTTTTTCATAGTCTCAAAAAAACAATCTCTCACAAGGAGAAGGTGAGCATCTATATTGCACTTTAGAAATTTATTCACACCATCCATCTTTCAGATATTTCACGGGTATTATTTTACAACAGGCTCTCTCCTGGGTTTTCAATACTCTTTTACAGCAGCCTTTAATATATTACCTACATACAAATGGTCAAATCCCCAGACCTTTCAGTGTCTCTCCCCTTCCTGCAAACCAACCTCCCTGATCATTACAGGTCAACAGCTCTTTATTCTACTCTGACAGTAATTGGAGGATCTCCAGAATGGAACGCTTGTGATATGCCACTTTGGATTAAGCCAGCTCTAGTATCGGATGACTGTAAAGTATCATGACATTTACAATTAGATTCAGAGGAGACAGTCCTTTCGGTCCCAGTTCAAGAAGACTCAAAACTCACTGACGTTTCATTTTCCTCTCAACAGCCCTGGTTTTGGGAGACAAAATATACATTTTTAATTTTTTTAAATCAATTTTTCAGGCTCTTCCCCCCATCCCGCCCCCACACATTTGGCAGCGACAGTTGCTGCGGTCAGCGACTAGATTTCTTTCCAACCTAAGTCCATATCCAACCAGCTCAGAGTGAGAGAGACCTGCAGTTGGAAATGTCACAATACTTTGTCTGAACCTGTATCAAGAAAATTTACAATTTCGTTGGGTTATTCACGGCTTTCTGGGTCCAGTTCTTCACTTTAATGTTGGGTATTTCCTTTGGCCGAATCGCCCCGGTTTCGAGCCTGTGGCCGGCGGCTGAAAGTTAAAATAAAGCAATCACCGATTAATAAAGAGGGTATCACCTGACAGACACACACACACACTCCAGCTAGGTCCTGAGCTAGGCAGTGGCTGAGGTTACAATTCGCTTCACTGCTTCCTGGATTTGGAGAGGGTAAATCAGCTCAACAACAACTTGCATTTATATAGCGTTCTTCACGTGGAGTAGGGTCCCAGAGCTCTTCAAAGTGGCGGAGTCTGATAATGAGCCAAGGGGAGAGTGAGGTGATTGTAAGCATGATCGAAAAGGAAGGACTTTAAGCGGGATTTGAAGGTGCGGAGTCAGGGTCAAGGCGGAGGGATCACTATCCAGAAGCTGGAAGGTGCCTTGTGTTGGATGTTGGGTTACAACAAGTTCAGGCCTGGGCTGTACGTTCCCCCTATAGTTACATGCTTGCTTCTGCTCTCACATGAAAGATGGCTGCTTAGGCAATCAGTTACTGGAGGGACACCTAAGGACCACACTCTCACGGGAAGGGTAAAAGCAGAATGAAACTGGTGGACAAAAATACAACATTCTCCTATAAAATAAAGTGAGAGGAGAGCGCGGAGCAGGGCTTAGTGTGAAGTGAAACAGAAAATAATGCACCGTGCTGAGAAAAAGCACTGCATTATTTCTGGGGAGGTTTCCCAAGGCAACAGTTATAGTAGTACTATGGGAGCTGGATTAATATCAACGCGAGTAGTAAAACCCTGACTGTCCAATGCTTTGGGACGTCCTCCCCCCGATATGACGGACTTGGCTCTCAGGAAAAGGGAAATTTTCTGCTCTCAAAATGGGAGGGCTGGAAAGAGGGGCTTTTCTACAGCACTTGATAGCTTGTGCCTAAGTTGAGCCCTCCCACAAAATCACTTAAAGCCCCCCACCTCCTCATCCCATCCTTGGCTCTTGTGTGAATGGCTTGCCTCTCATTGCCCAGCCATATATGCCTTCTCTGTCCTCATTGTGCCATGGATCTGTGCACCGCACTAGGACCTGCCCACACTCATTTCTCATCAGGCCTCCGTGAGCCCGCAGAACCGAGGGAGCCAGCATTCAGCCTTGAACCCAGCAGTCTGGCCTCCACCCAAACTCGGGCCCTGAGGCGGGAGATCGAGATCAGTCACCATTGCAGATTTTGTTTTTAAACAAGAAACTTACTTGTGAAAACTGGGCCGGGTTGTAAAACTGCACTGCTCCCATCGACGGAACCCCTTGCACTGGTTGTCCGGGGACCTGAGAAGCAGATGAGTGGGAATTAAGACTCAGTAACACAACACAAGGCATAATCAAGATATCAACAGGAAACTCTCTGCCCCCATCCACCCCATGGTTTACACTGGGGAGGTGCTCTCATAACAGAATGAAATGTCACAGTGAAGTAAACTCGCTCATTATATCAAGTCTCGAACCACTTCAGCGATTATAATTGAGGGATTTTCCAAGGTCTAACATTTTTGGCTTACAGGATTACAACCGAATCACGCAAAAAGTGTAGACCTCACAAAAAGGGCACCAAGTCACCGCTGATGTCACGTCCTGTGGGATCCGTCAGGAAATGCATAAGAAAACGGCCATTTTTGGTGCTAGAAACACTAGGGGTAACTGTACGGTGTCCTGAGACGTATGCAGGAAACTGCCAATCCAGGCCAGAAGCTACTACACCTCCGGTAACCAAAGGTCCATAGAATCCCCATCTCTATCGAGGCCCTGTAACTACTGTCAGGTGCAGTGACTAGTTTCTTGTTGCCACATAATTCCCATTGCTCACCTCTTTCCCTAAGGTCTGCTCCCTAACCCAACTGACGAGCATTGGCTGTGGGTTCAGCCCCTGCTCGGAGGGGTGAAATAAATGCCCAAGCTCAAATCCCCGTTCGGTGCTGAGTTAGCGTTTCTCAGCCACACGATGCCAAGACCTGGCATCTGACGACTGTTCCTTGCACTTCTCGGCCCCATCACACACACATGTTGCTCGATAGCAGAGTACAGGGTAAAATGCGTTGTGGCCATGGAAAGAAAGCACGCGCACACTCTCGCATTCTGAGTTCAGATCAGCTCTGACAAGTGAGCGAGGCTGGTTACAACACACACACACACCCACCTCACCAAACTGCAAGCCATCCGGCACGGGAGCAGATCCATCAGTGCCTGAGTTCGGCTAGAAAAGGAAAGGAAAGCTCAGACACAAATCCACACCACACAACTAAGCACTCCCACAGCCCACTGATCAGCAGTCTCATGGCAAGGGGTTGGCAGCCAGAGCTCGAGAATCAGGGGGGCGGGGGAGGCAGAGAGTGCCTTTATCTGCAGACACACTTCACACTTCACCCCTCTCCCAACTCCCCACTCCCCCCCACCCACATACAATGTTTGGTGTGGGAAGCATAGCCCATGTGCCAGCATTCGACCACTCTACAGGTGGCTGGTGCAGCCATCAGTCAGCTTCATTCATATCAGCTTAAAGCACAAGGCAGACGGGGACTAAACCCAACAGCCCACAAACAATTCGATGAATTTATCTGGGTCCTGGTACTGGAGTGTAACTTGCTCTCTCTCACCAGCGGCTGTGTGTCCACCCCAAAGTTGTTGTTGTCTGCAGGCTGCCCACTGTCAGCCATGCTGGCGTCCGGGATGGGGTGTCCCTCCCCTGCAAAAGTAAGGAAGAACAATTAGCATATAATAAACTCAGATCTCAGCAAAAAATTTTCATGGAAAGGGCACTAAACAAAAGCTTTTGTTCTGGTGAGGGAACGAATACTCGTCCAACTGACAGCCTCAAGAGCTGGCGGTCACTGCAGTCGATTCATATACAACAACACCCCACAAACAGCTGGTTGCTGAAATTCCCTTCTCTTTTCAAATAATGTCACGGGTTCTTCAACGTCCACCTGAACAGGCAGACAAGACCTCAGTTTAACGTGATGAAGGACTGAAGAAGCTTTCACGCGGGAGGGAGGTGAGGATAACGCTGTCGAGGAGGCCGAGACCATAACATGTATAAGTAAACTGGATAATCAGGAGAGGGTTATGGAGAAAGAGCCGAGGATTGAGATTAGAGCAGATAGCTCCAGCGTGGGACCAAGCACGAACATATCCTCATTTCTTGCTCTCTTCTCATAGCTTTTAATTTTGACATTTCCTTAAGTATTAAGTATTGATGCAACTCATTTTTAAGATCAGTGGATTCATCAGTGATGAAGATTCCATAAGTAAACAACAACAACTTGCATTTATATAGTGTCCTTCACATGAGGTAGTGTCTCGGAGCGCTTGAATCCTCTATTTTAAAAAAAAACCTTCTAACCCCCCCTTTTTTTCTGACAACAATCCCCTTGTTACTGACTCACTGATCACAAGTTTATTTATTTGCCACCAAACCATTCAGATTTTAATTCTATTATTAGATTACCCCCACACCTCCCCCACACATGCACAAATACTGTTTGTTCCAGTCCAAAAAACTCCTACTTCACCATAGAACTGTAAGTTCACATTCCCAGTGCCATCCTTGGGATGTGAGCCAAGCAGTCAGCTGGCCGGGAGCCAGATATTCATAAATTCACCCTCACTGCAGACAGCCCCACATCCCTGCCTGTTCTCCCTCGTGTCGTGGCCACCCCTCCCCCACCACCCGTTACAGCCACCAACCCCTCCCCAGTCACAATGCAACAAAGAGAAGAGCAAACCTACCCGGTGCTGGCATAAAGAGGTTTGCTGGGATGGCCATTGGTGCCAGTGGGGCAAACAGATCAATGGGAGGTGGGACGTTGCCACCTGGTCTTGTTCCACTGGGGTTTAAGACATCCACGTAACGTGCCCGGGTACCTGTAACAGAGACTTTAGTACTGACCAGACGGACTCAGCAAACATCCCAGAGGCGTAGCTGCTCACAGGATCAGATCCCAACGCGGAGGTGGGGTTGTGATACTAGGAAATAAAATCAGCTGTGCAAGGGCGCGTGAGGCAATGGAGTGAGTATAGCGTAGAGACAGAGACAGGGAGAGAGAGAAAGTGAGAGAGAGTGTTTGATTTTACTGAGGCTTGGCGCTGGCTGTGTGTGACAATGTGCTGGGAACTTACCTGCTTTTTTGGAGAACATGTTAACGGACGGTGGGCCACCTGGAGGGCCAGCCATGGGCAGGGACTGGGTGGGCTTCGGGAAGCTAGGCGGAGGCGGGGGAGGTTTGCTCTGCAATTAAACAACACACACAAGTCACATGAAAACAGTGTCAGAACCCAACAAAGAGCCTGTCAACACTTCACAATCATATTCTCACTCTAGCCATTGGATATGCAAAAACCCATCAGCCTTACTTCAAAATTTCCAACAGATTTGATATAGAAATTACAGCAGCAACATTACAAGTGGCTGGTCAGTGCCTGCTTCACACCCAACCTGTCCATGCACATGTGTATACTCCACTTAGATTCTACCCTTCCTAAAGCCCTTTATTCCCTTCTCTCTCGTGCACATGTATGTGTCACGCTTCTTCTGAAATTGCTTGATGCTCTTTGCTTCAATTAAAACTTCTTGTCCTCAGTTGTTTGATTTCCACATTCTCTCCACCCTCTGTGCAAAAGTATGTCCTTCTAAACTTTCTGTCAGATCTGCTCCTGGCTAGCTTGTATTTAGGCTCCCTTGTCCCTTGTTTTGATTAATTTGAGTCATTGATGTGGTGGAAGCGCCAGGAGCAGTCAAGAGTACAGGTTGTCAGCACTTTGGGATGTCCTCCTGATATAAAAGGCACTATACAAAGTTGTCGTTGCTTACCTCCTCCTCTGCCGGCTCGTTCAGGTTCACCCACCGCTGCTGCTTCTCATCCCAAACGATCTGTGGACAGGACCCGAGGTGGAGAAGAGGTCATCGTAATCTATCTTCGGATCAATCGTTACACTACTCTACTGACCACGCCAATTACAGCACTCAAAGGAGAGAGTGCGCATTCCATTCCAACAATCTTATATCTCCGAGATTTCCATGTGTAGGTGAGACGCATGGAATCCTCAGCCTGGGGTGTGGATACTCTTATGCATGGTGATGAGTTTCCACATGTGTTGGACATGGTTGAACCCCCCCAAAAAAAACAATTACAGCTGTGGCCTGCCCCTCTCACACATCGTTCAAAAAGTCAATCATAATTCTCAGGGGAGTGTGTGTGGGGGTGGGGGATGGGGGGAGAAGCATGTAATAGCCAAACCCGCTGCTGTCCTTACCTGTGATCTGTTTGACGTGTACTTTCCAGCATGGGAATCACTGTGCAGTGATCAGGAGCAGCCTAGCCTCCCAACCCAGGGTCACCAAGATTCACTTTATTACAATTTACCTCCAAATCTCTGATGAATTGGCCATTTATGTTGTTGTTGTGTGTGGGAGTAGCTCCCGCGTCTGTGTATACTACATCCACTTAAGTTTCAAATCGATATTTTATGAAGGGGCTTTGGCTCAGTTGTTTGAAGTGAGAGGAGCTGTGTAACCGTAAGTTCTTATTGTAAGAACACTCAGGAGATAAGCTGGATCTCCAAGGGCCTTCACAACGCACACAAATACGCTCCACACCATGCACTCACTGCCTTTACCTCTGCACCAGGAGGCAGACCCTAAGAACGACTATTAAACAATTCACAATGACAACTACGGAGGTTCACTCACCGATTTATTTTTATCGTCTGGGAGGTGAGCTTCAGGTTTCCTGTTCGGCCTCAACCAGCTCAGCCACCCACCCTGAGGAGACAGGAGAGGACAAGAGTCATTTCGTTTTAAAGAAAAATACCACACCATCAAAATGAATTAATCCTTCACACAATCCCCTCGGACCAGTGGTAGGACAACTCTTCATTGCCATCCTTCGAATGAAATATTGGCTGTTCATATGTACATTAAAGATCGCAGCAAACAAACAAGCCACAAGCAGAGAGCCTCACCTTTGATTTCTTGGTCTCGGCTTCCCTCCTGGGCTCCTTGACCTCGGTGGCTCTGGGGGCTGCGCTATCCTGTGCCGGTAGGGACGGCTGTCTGACCAGCGAGGACCGCCGCTCCCGCCCTCCTGAATGGGTGGACGATTCGGATGTAGTCCTGGATCGCCTTCCGTAGGGCTGAAATTACACAATGGACACAAAGGCAGACTAGTCAGCCAGCGCCTTGAAAGCTCTCCTCCACCACCCTCAACCCCTCCCATCCGAAAATAGGGAGAGGCACCAGGCAAGGTAAGATGGAGCAGGGGACTGACGCCTGAATGAGGCATGAGAAGAAAGTTCAAGCCCCATCTATCAGCTGCTCGGGGCAGAAATTACCAGATTTTTGGACCCTTTCACCAACAAAAACAACAAATTGCATTTATACAGCGCCATTCACATCGGGAGGACGTCCCAAAGCACTGGACAATGAGGGGTTTGTCCCTGAGTTGGGGCTTGAAATCAGGAGAGATGGAGGGTAGGGGTAGGAGGGTATTCAAAGGCGCAGTCAAAGAGGAAGATCTTGAGACAGGCCTTGAAGGAGGCAAGGGAGGGTGCGAGGCAGAGGGACTCCGGGATGGAGTTTCAGAGGGTGGGGGCAGAAAGGCTGAAGGCCAGACCAATAGTGGAGCAGGCAGAGTGGGGGAATGTGGAGCAGGCCAGTGCCTGCAGAGTGGAGGGAGCGATTGGTGAAGTTTTAATAGGTCGCAGAGGTAGGGAGGGCCAGTTCCGAGCTGGACATTGTCCACAATTCAACACGAGGTTTGCCTTCACGGAGATCAATGGAGCAAATGTATGAAAAGTGTCAATACTGGCACAGCTTGAATGTGGGTCCCAGCATATTGCCCGGGGTCTGAAAACTTAACAAACACTGCGGGAGAAGAGCAGTCTCCTTCACCAGCACCAACAGATCAGACAGAAACACGTGCCCACAACCCACAGAAACTATTCAATGCTTGCCCACAGGGAGACAGAACCAGAGGCAGCAATATTACAACAAGCCTTGCATTTGATATAGCGCCTTATCACATCTTCGATTCGTCTCAAAGCGTGTCACAGAATATACTGTAAAGTGGATTGACTGTATATTTTGTGGCCGAAACGCGGCAGCAATTGCGCTCAGCAGTGTCCCACAAACAGTCGTGGTTTGAGTGACCAAATTATTATTATTATTATTTATTTTGAAGGGATTATTACCTCCGCAAAGCAATCTGCGAATTGACTAACAACCGGATTCCTACTTACTGCTAGGTAAACAAGAGGCCTGTGGAGTAAGGAAACTTGCCTAAAGTTTCGCCCTGCCCGGGAATCAAACCCAGGTCCTCTTGCCACATGTTGAGAGAGGGTGGGAACGGAGAGACAATAGAGAGCTGTGGTTGCTGCTCCCTCAGGCTGCCTCTCTGTGGGAAACACGTGGACAAACTTTCCTCCTAAGAGCTTGTGTCTCTGCGGCTCGAAGCACAGCAGAAATACCATAACACAAAGTAAAAACGTTTGTAGACAGGTTGCGAAGCGGTGAGTAATGGAGATGGGATTAATGGCAAGATCAGGCAAGAGAGCAGAGAGCCAGCACCCCCCCTCCCCATGGCCACTGTGTGAGAATGGCAGAGTGAAACAGTGAGAAGCCAGTGCCAGATGGCATCGTACCATGTGCAAGGATGACTGGGACGTGGATCTCGATCTTCTTCCTGGAGCCTGGTGCAGACACAAACGTTCAGCCGTGTTACATGCCGGCGCAGTCAGTCAGTCACTCACTCAAACTAGTCAGACTCAGCCTCTGCCATCCATTCACTCCCAGTTCATAGCAGGCCTATTTAGCATTGGCAGCAAAGCGTGAGCATGGGGAACATGGCGATCTGAATTCTCTCCCACTGTAACACTGTCCAGCCTTATCTCGCTCCGTCTCTGCCGCTCCTTTTGCAAGTGTTTTGAAACGTTCTGTTACACGAGAGGTGCTACCTAAGCATTTCCCAGCTCCTAAAAATGGAGCCTTATTACTCTCAACTCGGTCAGCCGTTGCTGGGATTTATGAAGCGGGAGAAAGCTTGCAGTTGTAAACTTGCACCAGTTGCCGAGTCTGTCAGTCTACTTTCACACAAATCACTTTGTGCCCTGTCACCTCCGTATCTCTCTGACCTCCTTACGCCCTACTCCATGACCTGCCCCTTCACTCAGCTGGCTCCGACCTTCTGCACATCCCTCGTCCCCTCCACCATCAGCAGCTGCACGTTTAGCCATTACGCTCTGAGGCTCTGGAACTCTCTGCCTCAATCCCTCCCTCCGCCTTGCCCGCTCCTTGTCGCTCTTCAGATCGCACTTGGATGACTTTCTTCTTTGACTGTGCTTATGATCATCTCCCCCTCTCTCTCCAGCTCAGCATCAGGCTCTGCCATTATTAAGTGCTCTGAAACGCTACCGCACCCAATATAAACGTAAGTGGTCGTTGAATTGAAGCAACACATGGAGGGGTGAGTCTGGAAGTAAAGCACGCGGAATGGGGAGTGCAGCTGCAGTTGCTCACTGGATTGTTGGCGGCTGATACAAGAGGAAGATTCAGGCTTCAATGCGATACGCTGACACAGCCCCTCCGTCCTTGGGAGCTCTGCGATCCCTCTTATAGAGTGTATCGGATACTGAACAGGAGCCGAATACACAGCACGGAGGAACACGGCAATCCAGGATCCTCTCCCTTCTCCTCTCATCTCCCTCCCTACTGAACCTCCCCTCCACATTAACAATCCCCCCACTCCTTTACTCAGCTGAATTCAGGCATCCAGTGGGGACGTGCTAACTGGAAGAGGTTACTGTCTGCACTTGCACGCCTACTAGTGGCCAGATCAGAGCAGCGCAGGACAACAGCAGCCAGGAGCCACAGGCTTTTTAGCCGATACACGGTTAACGGCAGAGAAACACACAGGAGGCCTTACCATTTTTGCCATGTGATTGTGGAAATCAATTTGTCCGGTGTCCGAAAAGCTCTGCCTTTTTGGAGAAATCTGGGTGTTAGGCTTAAATTCTACAGGAGGGAAGGGAAAAAAAAAGGGGGGTTACCACACAATAATCTTGAGACAGATTGAACTCAGTGCATTACAACCAGATACAAACTTGAGGTGCTGCCTGTGATGATGGGTCGGTCATACGTGCAACAGGCAGTGCATCAAGACACCAGTATTCTATAATGTGGAACGATGTCCGGCCAAGACATCTCTTCCCCTCGCAATGAATTGAATGAACCCCTCCGTGAGACTAGCACAGGGCTGCAGGGGGCAACTGGTGCCGGAGGAGAGGGGCCAGTAAAAACATGTGGGGGTCCCCCTCACCAGCCACACCCCCACCCCCCACCTCCCCATGCACGCATGCCTCTGGTGGCTATTTAGATATTTGAAATCCTAGAAACCAGAGGTTTGCTCCTCAAATGATCCATCCTAATCCCATGTTCTTTCCCTGAACCCGTTACCCTCTGGTCCCCTTTCTGTATACAAGTTTGTCTAATTCTCTTACAAATGGCCACGATTGAGTCCTTCCCACCCCTACCTCTGGCAACTCATTCCACCTTCCAAATCTCTCCTTTCACACTCCTGCTTATAATCGCTGAAGATACTTTTGAGACCACTTCAGGCAGCATCCTGGGGGCTTCCCCGACGTTTACTAACCTGGGTTGGCCACCTGCTCTGGCACTGTCTGCAGTGGCTCAGCTGGGAGGCCCGGGGGTGGGGGGCCAGCTGTTCCCATGTACACCGGCTCCTTTTCCAGCTCGTAGGGCTGCCTGAAGGCAGAGTTGAGTGACTGGCCGGGAAAGCCTGGCACCTGTGGAGCTGTGGAGGCCTGGAGCGGGAAGTACATGGGGATGTTGCCATCGACGGTCATCTGAGGAGGGGGGGCCACAGGCAACTGTGGAACAGGGGCCACAGTCGTCCCGTCAAGGATGGCTTGAGGAGCTGTGAGAAATGAGACGATCACTGAATCCCAGAGCTTGCAATCTTTGTGTTAAAACGGTTCCTCTCCTGAAGAGACCAATTCTTTCTGACACTTTCTAGTCTCTTAACCTCCTCCTGATTAAGTAGGATGCTGATACATTTACTGGATATTGAGAAAGTGTTCAGACAGCTTAAATAATTTATAATACACAAGAGCTGTTATTATTAATTATTAATAATAATAATCCTTGCATTTGATATAATGCCTTATCACATGTTTGAGATGATTCAAAGCACTTCACGGAATATACTGCAAGGTGAATTGACTGTATAATTTTATGGGCGAATGTACTCAATTTACCATATGTCCACAAAGCAACCTGTGCAATGTCGCTACACCACTCGGTATTTAAAACATGCTCGTCGCAGAAGAGAAACCTTTTCAAGCACCTGAGAGATCAAAATTCATTGAAAATGAAGTGAATGTCGTTACTGAGGCAAACGGGGCAGCAACAACCCATAAACAATTAGTAACCATTTGGGGGGGAAATTTGAATAAGTTGGGAAATACAAATTGAGATAGCTGGGGAAAAAAAGCCCCACATTTTTATGAACTGATAGGAAGTGAGTTTGTGTGTGCGTGTGTGGGGGGGGGGTGGGCGGGGAGGAAGGAGAGGAGAAGACCCCTGTCAGAGATCTCGGCATTGCAACAGTTAACCACAGTAGACTACAGAGAAAGGCCACTCTAAATAAATAAACCACTTTGTTGACCATAACATTCATAGCAGTCACCCAGAAAAATGTGCGAAAGAGACAGTATATGTGTTGAGTAAACCTGTTGTTCAGCATCGAACATGTAAGCCCTTCAGAAGTAAAGGGATGAGGTTGACAATTCCCCTGTGAACCCCAGGGCCGAGCCCTACAGCGAGGAAGGCAATGGTGAGCACTGCCCTCAGCACGGGTTGAATTACCTGGTGGCACAAGCTGCACGCTGGGGCCTCCTGCACTCGGCACAAAGGAAGTCATCAGAGGATTGTCGGTGCCAGATCCGCCCTCGGGGAGCCCTGCCATTGCCCCGTCCAGCTGGCTGCCGTGGTCATACTCGGAGCTGGGGGTGCTCGAGCCATACTGGTGAGGAGTCGCTGCTCTCTCTGAGCTGTAGAGAAACGTCCCCTCCTGGCACAGGGCAAGAGAGATCAAACATCAAGTACAGAAATGGGGGAGAGAGGAAAAACCGATTCAGGTAGAGAAAACACCAGGGCAGAGATGAGGGCCTCTTGTGATTCTGACAGCATTTCAATGAACTTCAGAGAATAGCTCACGGGGTGGGGGAGTGAGGGGGGAAGAGAAGAGCAGGTGGGGACAGTTAAAGCGGTGGGCGGAGAAGAAGGTGGGAAGAAAGTGAATCGATTATACTGGGAAGTGGGGGAAAGGCGGGCAGTTATATGGGGAAGACAGCTACAGACACTCACCTTCATCTGTTGATCCAGCAGTTTCAGGTGCACCATCCACTCCGGTTCCATGTTTAATTCCTGCTCGGATTTCTCCCTCAACTGAGGGTCAAAGAATCGCAACTGCGAGGAAACCTGGTCAGACACGGAGTAAGAGGCAATGTTCAACCCAGCAACTAGGGGCTTCCCCTCAGGAAAAGCAACACGTGCGCTTGTGAAAAACAACAACTTACATTTATATAGCGTTCCTCACGTCTCGGAGCCCTTAGTACTCGCACTCATGAAAAGCGACATGTTGTAGGACATTCAATAACATGTGAGAACCTCTGGTTCCGATAACAGCTGTAAATTTTGTGGCTTTACACCACTGAGCGTCCTGTAACCCAAACCTGTTGAACAGCCACTCTTACGGCTCACACTTCCTTACACTGCCGAGAACAGTAACTCAACTTGGCTAGAGAATGCTTAAGAGAATACCAGGGCAGTGCTTGAGATCTCTACCGTTAGCAATGGTGCACTCGACATGTCCGGTCAGTGCAGTCAGCCACATGGTTCGCAAGCAAATGGTGTTGGGAGGAAGTGACCATCACTTGTGGGTTGGGGTGGCACTTGAGGTGATATCTGGTGCCGATGCAATGCAGTGAGACGTTGGGAATTTCAAGGTGTGATTTTGGATCTATCTCTGTCTCTCATGTCTGCGGAATTCTCCCCTCAGAGGAACCAACCTGCAGCAACTAGCGCCCCCACCCCCCCCACACACTCCCACCCCCCACACACAACCACTGTAACTGTGCAGTGAATCAATCCCGTTACCCTGGCTTGACATCACAATTGCTGGGTGACCTCACCAGATCCCTATGAGCTCTTCACCCCTGAAAATCATTCAGCGAACCAACCACCTTCTCAATGTCTTTCACACGGTGCAGCACTGAGTAACCCAATTCCCTCGATATCATCAAACCAGAGTCTTCCCTGAACACCAAACCTAACATGACCTTGATGCAGAAATCAGATCAGGCTCCCAATTTAAATGTAATCCTCATATTTCAGTGTTTATAACAACAACAACAAACAACAATAGATCACATTTGTATAGTGCCTTTCACATCAGGAGGACGTCCCAAGGCGCTCAACACAAAACTTCTCAAGTGCTTCACAGGCAATTGCTGTCAAGTGTAGTTAGTGACTGTCTAGTTTATAGGCAAACACAGCAACTATTTATTTGCATCTCAACAAGGTCTCGCAAACAATTATGAAGAGAATGACAAATTTTATCTGGGGGCTTGTTGGCCAGGACACCGGGAGAGAGAGAGAAACTCCCTTCTCTTTTCCACTAATGTCAAGGGATCTTTAGCATCCGTCTGAACAGACAGACAGGTGGAGGGTTTTGGAAATGTAACTCAGTTGAAGCAAAAACGAGTAAAACATTTTCAGGAGAGGAGGGAAATTGGTGCGGACAGAATTCCTACTCAGTCTTCACTCCCATATAAATCCCAGACACCAACACAGTCCACCTGCTGTTAACATAACGTATTACAGCACAACATGAAATGCCCTAAATCAATGTAATTTTTGTTGTTGTTGCAGTGGGCGAGGTACCTACCTGTACAAGCTGGCTATAAAGCACGGGCGAGTAGTATAAAGCATTCTTCAGCATGGTTTTAGCAATGACCTCACAGTAGTGAAAGGCCTGGGCCGTGAGCCCCATCTCTGCCAGCCGGCACGCATAGATGAACTTAAACACCTATAGCAAAGGGGTGTGGGGAGGGGGAGGAAAAAACAGAGTGATCATCAACGTTGATACAGACAGGGATACACACAGACATTGCAGCTCACCGCGAGGGACCGATGTAGACAATGCAAGACAGAAAAGGCAGTGGGAGCTGCTGAGAGCAAACCTGGAAGTTGGGGAGAAAGCTAGGCTGGCTGCCCAGGGCCTGCGCGTACTCATACGTCTCCGTCCGCTGGATCGCTTCAGAAGACGCAAACTTCAGGAAGGACCAGCTGCAAACAGAGAGGGAAGCCAATCATCACAGAGCCCCATGCACACCTGCAGTCTCCTCTATACTCTTCACAGCTAGGCCTAACCCGCAGTACTTCTAAACCAGTTTCCTACTCCCATCAAGTGCCAGGAACTCCGTTCCAGGGAGCAGATGGCATGGGAACAGCAATCCCAAGAGTCGGTGCGATGGACTTCCGGGTTACCAGGAGGAATCCTCGTTTTGCGCAACTGAGGGAACTAATTAAAAAAAATTAAAAACAAAATAGAATTAGACCCCAGGCAGTGAGAAGAAAGACAGGCACCTGCCATGTGAGGTTAGTAACAGTTCTAGTGGGGTGGGTTATCTCAGTCTGTTGGGGAGCTGACAAGATGTTATCATATGTAAAATAATGTAAAATGCAGTTCAGCCCCTCGGAGACCCAGCTAATTCCCTCCTCCCCTCCCTTGGATGTTCAGGCACTAGGTTACAGGAGCTCACCTGTGATTTGAGCCAATCAGGACCAGTTTGGTAGATTTTCGGGTGTACACCCCAAACCCAACCTGTGCCATCAGGTAACAGAAGTGAGCGGCCTCCAGCAGTCCCTTGGTGGCTGGAAACAAAGCAAGTCTGTTAACCCCTCGCGTGCGCAAATGGCTACATCCCAGTGCGGTACTGGGGGAGTGTATCTGTCTGAGACGACATCTTTCAGAGGAAACGTAAAACTTTGATTGCCCGGTCGGGTGTAGGTTAAGATTCTGCGACACCACTGGAAAAGAGAAGGGACTTTCTCCTGGTGTTCTGGCCAACAACCCTACAGTTAGATTGATTAGTCACTGCACGGTTGTTGGTGGGACTTTGCTGTATCCAAATTGGCTTTAGCATTTTCCTATAACATCATTACACTTGACAGCAATTCCCTGTGAAGTGCTTTGAGATGTTTCGACACCATAACTGCTGTATTAGATGTGAGGACAGTTATTATTTCTGCTTTCTTTTTCCCCAGTAATATAGATAGTACAGTGCAACGTAATCCAGTGCTCCCTGTCTAAGAGACTGGGGAGCTTCTACGGATTGGGAGAAAATCAGAGGGAGAGGCCAGGAGGCGACCAAAAGAAAGCTGGACTCCGTGACTTTGGAAGAGGTTAGGAGATGCTCTCCCTGCAAGTGGAGCCACGCACTGGAAACTCGAGACAGGGAGGAAAACACCTCAACACCTGAATGAACATGCTGAGCCAAAGCAGAGCCTAGTGGGACCCACCTAGAGTGTCTCCCATAGTTGTCATGGTCCTCCTGTTCAGCTCCAGACCGTTGGAAAGATTCGACAAAACCATGGCAAGGTGTGGCCGCCAGTGTCCCCACTTCTCTTCTCCACAACACTGCAACACAAGCCACTGGTCACAACACAAGCAAGCGACCGATTAGCAGAAAGAAACCCGATCACGCTTCACCTGGTGGAATCTCAGGCAGATCAGTTGCTTGAAGGAGAAGGGTTTCAACTTGAACAACGCAACAACTTTCTGCTTGCATTAGTGCCAGCAACCAGTACAAGACAGAGCTAGAAAACTAGCGCCCACCCTCCGCCTACCAGCCCAAACATCATAAGAATAAGCGTGGCAAAGACCAAGGTCAATCCAGTTCGCCTTCCACCATCCCGGCAGTCAGGTGAAGGCAGCTCGGCTTACTATTAAGGCGCACACGTGAATAAGGAAAACAGCTACATACTGACCGTGGCTGCTGCGGGCATTCGGCCAGACATCAGCTGGTAGACGGTCTGTAGCGGGTCATTGATGGGCAGGCTGTTGGCAAACCTGGAAGTGTATGGGAGAGAGCAATTCAGTCAGTACCGCTCAGTGGCTCACATTAATGGTTGAGGCAGAATCCAGATTAGCTTTCGAAAGGGAAGAGGATAAATGCCTAAAAAGAAGTAAAACACAGCAGGATGGAGCAGACACAAGGGACTGGATGGTCTTCTTTTGTGCTATACCCCACATCCGTACCATGACCCGGTCTGCCTTTCTTCACCTCCGCAACATCGCCCAGCTCCACCACTGCCTCTCCCCTCAGGCCACCAAAACCCTCATCCACGCATTTATTACATCTAGGTTTGACTACACCAACTCCCTCCTTGTCAGCCTTCCCAACTCTTCCCTCCACAAGCTGCAGATCATCCAGAACTCTGCAGCACGTATCCTCTCCCGCACCAGGCTCATTGACCCTGACCCCCACCCTCACCTGGCTCCACATTCCCCAGAGGAGAGTTCAGAATCCTCTTCCTCACCTTCAAAGCCTTCCACGGCCTTGCTCCTTCCTACCTCTGATCTGCTAACTCCTTATAAACTTGTCCACTCCCTCTGCTGTGGCCTGCTCCACGCCCTCCCGCCTGACCCACCCATCCACAATCAGCGGTCGGGCCTTCAGGTTCTCTGCCCCCACCCTTTGGAACTCCATCCCACAGTCACTTCACCTTGCTCCCTCAATTGCCTCACTTCAAGGCATGCCTCCTCTTCGACCACGCCTTCGGCCTCTCAGAGATAGATTTGGAAAGAAGCACATACCTGGTCATGACTTTGGCATGGGTCCTGTTGTCCATTTTACTGGCCAGTAACAGAGCGTGGCCCCACAGCCCGTGTTTCATGGCAGACTCCAAGGCATCCTGTGAAGCACACAATCAACAGCACTGAGCCATGGTCAGGGAAAAGACAGCACACGGTTTCCCTTCCAAAAACATTGCATAACAGTGTCAGGTTATTTACGGTTGAGGGCTTAGAGTTAGTTACAAGGACTGGCTTTGAAAAATTGGGTCATTTTTCAATTGCAAGAGAGAAATAATAGACTTCAACATTCTGAAAAACTTTCAAAGAATCAATAGTTAAAGACTATTCCTAACGCAGAATTGTCAGTGGAAGGGTACAGAGGAAACCTCTGTCAGCAGTCAGCAGAATGCTTTGCCACAACTAGCTATTGAGTTTGAAGCTATAACAAGGTGAAAATGGAATTAGATAATTAGTTCATCAGAAAAGTGAACAATTCCAGTGGGGGAACAAGCACCCGTACAGACATGATGGAAAAGGAGCAGGGGATGGGATTAAAATAGAGCTCCAGTGGGAAGCTGGCACTCACACAGATATGTAGAAAGAGCAAAGGAATGGGATGAGAGAACTATAGAGTAGTTAGCACTTGTTCAGACATGATGGAGGAAGAGCAATGGGATGGAGTAAAGAGCTCCAGGGATGGAGCAGAGAGCTCTAAGGATATTAACTCTTGCATTTGATATAGTGCCTTATCACGTCTTTGAGACGTCTCAAAGTGCTTCACAGGAATATACTATAAAGTGAACTGACTGTATATTTTGTGGGCGATAGAGATAGAGTAGAGAGCTCCAAGGCTGGGAGCAGAGAGCTCCAGGGATTGATCAGCGAGCTCCAGATTACCCAATGCACAGGGGAGCCCGGCTCCACAGGCGCTTTCTCTCCCTCCCACAACTCTCACCTTCTTCCGTCCGAACAGCAGCAGCTCCCGGAAGCGCTCGGTCTCCTTGCTGGGGTTCTCGGTGCTGGAGCTAGTGCCCTCCATAAAGCTGTCGGTGAGGAGGGACAGCTGAGTGGTGCACGACTCATCCTCTGCCCGCGGCACCAGCTCATTGTTGAAGTCAATCAGATTGGCCTCGTTGGGTGACTTGCCGGGGAGCCAGACAGACCGGTGCTCCCTGAGCAGTAGCTCGGCGATGTCTGTGCCAATAACAGTCTGCAAAACATCCCGTTCACAACACTTCAAAAGAGGAACATTAAAAAGAACATAACCTGATAGTCTGCAGGGCGGTCCATCCGCCCACAACCCCCTCCCTCCATTTCATCAGGCCCACCCACTCCCTCCATCACCTCTAAATATTATGCTTCTGGAAGGGAAACACAAAAATATTGCTTATGCAACCCACGGACGTTTCTCAAATAGGGCATCTGGCTCTCAGCAGCCAAAAGCTTGGACCACCTTGGTCTAGTGGGTCGGTGCATTTCAATACTGAGCCACACAGGTCCAGATCACTGCTGAGCGAGCTCGGCATTTCAGCTAAGGCAGCAGTTAGGGACTAACACACAAACACGAGTGTGGACTTTGGGTGAGGACAGGATTGCAGCTGCCTTTTCCTTGTGCCAACACTCAGTGTCAAGGCTCACAAGTGAACAAGGAGAGAGCTAGAACTTGAAATTCATCTTTAGAAAAACAAACAGTAGCTCACAGCCAAAACAGGTCTTGTTCTGTGCAGCAAATATCTGTTTCGACATCAATCAAATACTGGCTCAGTGGGATGTTGAAGTCTGTTCTCCTGGATCAGTTTTGTGAATAAGGCCATGCTCAACTTTGGGTTTGTGTCAGATTGCACATGCACACTGTGAGTTATACAATTCAGGGCCATAAGTAGGACATGGTGTATTAGCAGATCAAAGGGTAATGTATCAATCTCAGATCCAGGGTCAGTTTGGTACAGGAGGAAGCATGCCTGGCTTTGAGCCTGCAGTTGGGACCGACACACCAGTGGGCAGCACTGAACTGTCGGAGTTGCCATCCTTCGGAGGGAATGTTAATCCAAGGATATTAAAGATACTGTGCCATTATTAAGAGAAGAGGAGTTTCACCAGTGTTTTGACCAATAATTATCCAATTATTATTATCATCGTTCATTTCAGGGCTGATTGTGAGACCTTGCTAAGTCCAAAATTTGGCCATCATGTTTACCTACAAATAGTCTTATCTTTCATTGGATGCTGCAGGAGATTAGATATCCCTGCAATGCACTATGAAATGCTTTGACACTACACAAAATGCAGAGATTATTATGACTGTTAGGATTATAACAGCTGCAAATAACTCTGCGATTGCAATGCCAGGGAGGTGCGAAGGTCGGACAGAGCAATAACACACCCCGTTCTGTCGGCAGAGCAGCACCATCAGATCCCACAGCAGGTTGGCGGATTCCTTATCCAGCAGCTCTTCATTCCTCAGGCATTCCGTGCCCTTGTTCTGAGCAAAGTTGATCACATCAACCTTATGCGTCTCCTCCCTAAAAAAACATTGACCAAAGAGACCTTGAGCTCAAAGTGTGCTGATTATAAAAAACACACACAGCACTGTTTGCATTGGCAGCCTCAGCGGCAAACAGCTGCTGAATGCCCTGCTAATGTATTAACAGCGGCTAATGACACACCACCTCTAGTCCCTCTGTGTGGAAGTAGATTTATATCACCAACAGCAGTCAGAGTGGAAAGAGAAACTCACTTCACCAACGGCCCCGGGAAGTTCCTCAGCTCCTCTTGTTCTGGCAAGTGCTGGAGCATCGTCTGCAAACACACAAACTGGTGAATTCTCAAAGCAATGAACTTTAACGTCCATCAGGCCAAATCCCAAAGCTTCCTACACTGGGGCACTGGAAGCCCGCAAGCAGCTTTCCCAGGCTATTTCACTAGCAGGCGCCGATTCTACCTTCCCTCCCACTCGGGTTCCAGATTGGGATTATCTGTCTTGCTGCACCAACATCACCTTGTATTTATATAGCGCCCTTCATGCGGGGTAGCGTCCCGGAGCACTTCACGGTGGCAGCATGCTGAGCAAGACTGTTGCCAATTTGCCAACCTCCACCCAGTCGTCACTGGATACACGCTCTCTTTCTCTTCCCCAATGCTTCAGCCTCTCACTGCAAGTCAGCCTGGGATTTGCCTGTGTGAAAACTCAGACGCAATCCTTCAGCCCATGAAACAACTACAGCTGTAACGCACTGCACTGCAGTTACCATGTAACCAACGTGCACAAGGTCTCAGGACATACCGATACAGGATCAGGAACAATGCACAACAACTTGCATTTATGTAGGGCCTCCATTTAATGTCTGAGTGTTTCATAGCGACAGGGCCAGATAGCGAGCCGGGGAGGGTGAATGGCAGAGGAAAAAAGTGCCACACTAATGCAGTAGTATTAGTGCAATTAGACAATAATAATAATCCTTGCATTTAATACAGTGCTTTATCACATCATTGTGATGTCTCAAAGTGCTTCACAGAGTACACTGTAAAGTGTAGTGACTGTATTTCGTGGGTGAAATGCGGCAGCCAATCGCGCACGGTAGGGTTCCACAAACAGTCGTGGATTGAGTGACCACATTATTATTATTTTTTGGAGGAATTATTACGCCCGAAAAGCGATCCGCAAACCGACTAACAACCGCCTGAGGCGATAACTAAGGGTTCAAGATTTCTTGCATCAGCTGGTTATTAAATGCTGGTTAGTTAAATATTAAATTCCTCCCCAAACATACCTCCAAGCTGTGTAGCTCCACCAAGGCAGGCTGGCCTTCTGAAGGGAGGTTAGGCAGTACTTTAAGAAGCTGCCCTCCGGGACTGAAGCGAGCACACACGTGAGGAATCATGAATTTCTCAGGGGTCACTGGTCTCGGTGGAGCTAAAGAATACATTAATATAATCTTAAAAAAGCACAAATGACCCCAAAAAAGTTAGACTACGACAACAGAACCAAAGACAAACATACTTATTCCTGCTAAGCTCACCCAGACAAGCCACTTTTAAGAAAAAGTGTAATCTAAATTCTGGTTCTCTTGTAAATAAACTGTAAGATCTCCGGTTTGGGGAGTGGGGGGGAAGAGAGACATGAGGAAGTAAGTAGTGTCTCCTTGGAACTTAACTGGCTTCAAAATGATGTGCTTGGCAATGGAATATCGGAATCGAATCAATCCTCTGTGGCTGAACCAGGTACTTGATGACTGCTAATGACGGACTAGCCAGCCTGGCTCAACACGTGTTATTGGAGGGGCAGACCACATGACTGTATTTGTAGGCAAACACAGTAGCTCATTTGCACCAGCAATGCCCCACAAACAGCCATGAAGTGAGTGACCAATTTTATTCTTTAACGCGCTCCTGAATAGGGAAACATCGATTTAACATCTCATCCAAAGGATCTCCAACAATGCAACACACCCCCAGCGCTGTATTGGAGTGTCAACTTAGATGACTATGTTAGCTCTAAATCTTGGCTTGGGGCTTGTACTCACGAGCTGACTCAAGGGGCGAGAGTGCTACCAACTGGGCCAGGCTGACAAATGAAGGAACCACCCTCCCCGGGCATACCTTTCTCCACAGGCTGCCAGCCTGTTTCTGCTGGGTAACCGTACTGATAGTCTGGGTAACCCTGCATCACGGCAGTGCTGTCCTGATAACCCTGCATCAGGGTAGTGTGGTCCTGATATTGGGCATAGGTGTAATCGACAGGAGCAGGCTGTCCTGGGGCCTCACGTGTCGCGGTCAAATCCTGCTGACTCTTGTAAACCTGGCTCTGCAAACAAACAAGAGTTTCGCCATCTTACCGAACAGTCCAAATAAAGCCACTCAGAGCAAGTTGGCGATGCCTTTAGTGCTAATTAATGTCCCCGAGCCACCCCCGCCTTGCCACAGATGGGAGTCAGGAGAGCAAGATGGCTCCACGTGAGATCAGTTTACATATTCTGTCCAGAGGCAGATACTCGCAGAATTGGCGGAAAATGAACACATTATTTTAGGAGAAACAAGCATTGTATAACGAAGGCGATGTGACAACAGCAGCAACGACATGCATTTATATAGCATCCATCATGCAGGGTAGAGCGCTCGACAGTGGCAGAGCCGGGGGTGGGGGAGGTAATATTTGATATAGCGTCTTATCACATATTCGAGACGGCTCAAAGCGCTTCACAGAATATAAAGTGAATTGACTTCATATTTTGTGGGCAAAATGTGGCAGCCAATTGCGCACAGGCAATGCCCCACAAACAGTCGTGGATTGACTAACGACCGGGTTCCTTCTTACTGCTGGGTAAACAGAGGTGTGTGGAGTAAGGAAACTTGCCCAACGTTTAGCCCTGCCTGGAAATCGAACCCAGGTCCTCTCGCTTGCTGAAGATGGGGTTGTAAAGCCAGACGACGGCTCACCTGCTGGGAATGTGCGCTGAAACTGCTGCGGCGGCTGCGGGTGCTGCGGGAGCTGGGCAAGGAGTGCTCGCTGTGCACACTGCGCCGGTCAAACTCGTCCTGGTATATCTCCTGTGGCCGGTCATAATCGTCATCGAAGCTGGCATCGTATCGAGGGTCGTATTGCCACTGGCTCTCATACCCATTCCGCCTGTCACACAAACAGCCTGGTCAACGCTTCAAACTATTACAGCTTCTGCCCTTTCTATTACAGCCTGACGCCCTCCCCCACCTTCTGAAGTCTCCCCCAGCACAGCCCTTAACCTACCCCCTGCCTCTAATCTCAATCCTGCTCTTTCAGGAAGTTACGGCTCGATGATCAGAAATCCACGGTCGGCTTTCCTCTCTGTAACTCTGAACCAATAAGCAGCTTCTGATACCCTTACCCTGATGCACCAAGATCAGCTAATCCAGACTGAGGCCTGAACCTGGGATCTCCAGGGTCTGTGCACTAGGCCACACTGACAGCTATCAGCTGTTGCCTCCCCTACCCCCCCATCACAAAGAGTTTCGCCTCTCTGCCTTGTCTTGCCTCAGACATCCATTGAGCTTAGCTTGCTCTCTTGCTCCCTCCTCACTGAGATCTGCTCAGCCGCAGTGTAACATTGGCTGGATTCCTGAGCTAACAATGTGGAAGCTGTAAAGTTAAATCATGTGATACTGAGAGGCTCCAGTCACTCACCTGCCTCCATAGGGATCGTGGTAGTAAGGCTCCCGCCTTTGATAATTGTTGTAGTACCAGTAGTCCTGGTATCGGGGATCGTAGGCAGCGGGGGCAGCGGAGTCAAACCTTTCCCAATGGCTCAGATCTAACATCAAAATACACAACACATGGCATCATTATAAATAACTTGCCCAATGCAGCTCTGCAGCTCAGTAAACAGGCCCAGTGTGCGGGTCGGGGGGGCGGAGAGAGAGAGTTCTCCTTCATCAGACAGAGATCCAAAGGTCCAAGGCACATGGAGAAGAGAAGCTGTTTCTCCCGGTGTCCTGGCCAACAATTCTCCAGATAAAGTAGTTCAAACTTTTTGTAGGACATTGTTGTACACAAATTGACTGCTGCGTTTGTCCACAAAACTGTCACTACTTTATAGTAAAATTCCGTGACACTCTAAAATGTCTCGATGATAAGGCGGAATATCAAACACAAGAATTAATATTACACTACAGTTGAAGCTGGTTAACCCCAGATGTCGGGTAAATCGAACAAAATGCCCGGCCCCGAGTCATTTGTATTCTCAGCTATTTGAAATATGCCAGATAATGTGGATAAAAATCCAGTTAATCCGGACAAAATACTGCGGCTACTCACTCTGTGTCTCGAACAGCTCTATTCAGCCATGAGCGTCTCTGGGATGGAGATGGGAGGAGTCAAATTGTGAGAATGATTGACAGCGGACTCCAGCCATTCACAAGCGGCTCTGGGCTGTCAATCATTGAGGGGGCGCGGAGGAACAGGAAATAAACAAGGGAGGGAATGGGATGAGTCAAATCGTGATTGACTGACAAGCCTGGAGCCATTTGTCAGTGGATGTATTCAATTCAAATACAGCTCCAGTCTGTCAATCACCTCAGAGCCACAATTAATTGGTCCTCATCCCGTCAAATGGGAACAGCAATGGGAGGGAGGAGGTGCTGCCCCCACTCCTCTGCTGGGCAGGAAGAACTTTGGGTAACCTCGGACGGACGCCCCTTAAACTAGACAAAATGGCTTGCCCTGATGAATCCGGCTTAAGTGGCTTCCACTGTATATTACAAAATAGTCACCACACTTCGAAACAATTCTCTGTGAAGCTCTTTGAAACATTGACATATCAAATTTATTACAAGTTGTTTGGTCAAGTTGCAAGTGACCATTTCCTACCTGTATAGTCATGCGGCCTTCTGTAATAATCTGCATAGTAAGCACCGTACCCTGCTCGGCTATTCCTCCAACTGTAGTAATCCTCAGGGTAGCCTTGCCTACGGAAAAAATATCAGCCAGAAATGTGAACCAAGAAACCAGGAGCATTGGTAATTTAGTGACAGAGTGGATTCACTGCAGCAGTCACTGCTGACACTGCATCCACACAGATTCCAGCACAATATGCCGGCTAAGGAGGGGAGACAAGAGGAAAATAAAGCAGGAGACAGAGAAAATGGGGAGAGAAAGAGGGAGAGCGAGACAGAGGGGTAAGAGAGAGAAAGAGGGGAGAGAGAGAGGGGAGTGAAAAACACACACAGACACAGATTAGAGAAAATCTTTCAAACAAAGTGCTTTTGAGAAGCATACATTGAGCTCTAAGGCTGGTGACTTGACTAACCTCGAGCTGGGTCTGTCTGAGCACTGGCTCGCTCGGAGCTGGGGCGACTGGGCCGCTCTCGCTCCTGGTCCGTATACTGACTCCTCTCAGCCTCTTTGTACCCAGCATTGCCTTGATCATATCTGGGATAGCGCGGATCATACATTCGGTATTGGTCATCCTAGAGAAAAGAGCAGTATTAATCGCTACCCAGAGTCACAGCTAACAGCAACAAACATCAAAGTATCATTAACTTCATGCTCTGGCTAAAAGATAAGAACTAAAAGTTCCTGCCAGTCGGTAGCACTCTCGCTTCTGGGTTAGAAAGGTTGTAAGTCGGGGCTCTGAATTCACAGATCAGGTTGACTGAGGCTCCAGCGCAGTGCTGGGGAGTTCTGCATCGTTGGAGATGCTGTTCTTTGGTCAGAACGTTAAAATTGAAGGAAGACTTGAAACAACCTACAACATTTTTGAAAGAGGGAAGGGAGTTTCTCCCAGTGACCTGACCTCCAGATAAATAGGACATTCAACTCGTGGCTGCTTGCGGAACTTTGCTGTGCGCAAAGGAGCTGCCACATTTGCCTCCAAATAACCGTTATACTTGACAGCGATTACTGAGAAGCGCGTTTTGAAAACTTATGAGGCGTTCAAAAAAAACACAATGAGTTATTACCTGGTAGTACGGCTGTCCGCTTCTGTTGTCCACTGCAGGGTAGGGCATTTGCTGGCTGCCTCTGGGCTCCTGGGGAGGGTAAACGGGATAGGACCCTGGGTAGGGCTGCCGAGTGTCCGCACTGTAATCGGGGTAGTTGTAGCCGTAATTGTAAGCGTGTTGCTGAGGGGCGCAGTACACCTGTTGGGGAGTCCGTGCCGGCGGTGGCTGCTGCATGTCTGGCTGCGATGGTGGGCGGGCCACATTGGCAGGGGGCGTCTGAGCCAGAGTAGGAGCCTGCAGCACGGTTTGGGGAAGCCCCGACCCTGGGGGCCCATATCCCGCAGAGGGGAGCAGGCTGCCAGCTAGCACTGGCTGGCCTGCGTCAGTGGTTGTGGCCTGGGCAGAGGGCAGGGGAGCAGTGTGTTGCCCTGTCACTGCAGTGGGCGACTGCTGCACGTCCTTTGTAACCTGTAGATAGAAACCTGGTTTGTCATTAGCTTGTACGCCCTGCGGGTAGCTCTGGAGAACAGCGGGCTGTGGAGCAATCACTGCCGTGCTGGGAAGCGATAGGACATCAGTGGCATTAGTGCTGGCAGAGGGCTCATTAGGCAGTGTCCGAGGCACAGTGAAATCAAGCAGCTCACAATTGACGGATGCCTCGGGCCGGTTATACGGCTGATTCGTTGCATTTTTACCGGGAGCGAATTGATAATTTGAAGCAGCGACGGCCACACTTCTACCCGGACCTGGAGCCTGGCTCAACGGTGGACTAGCGGCCGGGATCTCCGGCAATCCTTCAGCTGGCAGTCTGATGCTGGCTCGGCTGTCGGCGGTTAAATTCAGTGGGCTCGGATCTGGGGGCAACACGCCGCTGGTTCTGACTGAATTGTGAGTGGGATTAACGTGGGGATGGGGTGGGTGCAGACTGGGGTTACTCAGTGGCCCTTGGGGAACAGGAGGGACTGCACCAATGCCGAGTGAACTCGGGATGAACCCCACGACTTTCTCCCCTTCGATTTGGTTTCTTAAAGGCTGGCTTGGTGAGGGAGCCGATGGGTTTGCCAGGGTAGAAGTGTAGCTTTGAAGAGGCTGAGCAAGCAGAACGGGCTGGCTGGGCAGGGCCTCCGTGGCCGAAGGAACCAGCAAGGTTGCGTAGCTGGAACTTGCCTGGGACTTTAGGGCTGGATCTTCGACCACCAGGGGTGGGTTTTCCAAGTTCTCCGAACCTGGGTGGGGGCCCGGCCCGGGTATCCCCAGGGCCGGCGCCAGAAATCTTTGACCCAAACCCTCAAGGCTGCCTTCGTGCTGTAGGCTGGCCTCGGCCCCGGGCTCTCGCACGGCCACGTGGACTGCCGGAGCCGCAGGAGCCAGGACAACACCTCCACAGAAGCTGGGCAGCTCACTCTGTGCCCACAGTGTGGCAGCGGGGCTATCGCATTTCACCCGGACGTTGTTGACCCTGGACGAGGGTCTCTTCTCCGGGGTCTCTGAACCGGTCCGTGGCGGAGGCTGTGTCTGGGCGAGCTGCTCAGCTCCCCCGAGCTCGGGGCAAGGCTGCGGCAGGAACAAGTTCTCCAGGTTGTCCGGTGGTTGCTCCAGGTTCCCGGGGGATGCATCCATGTGACCGGCAGGCTGCGGAGGTCCAGGCCGACGCTCCCGGTTCAGCTCCATTACCATCTTCGCCTGGTCCACTTCGGGGGGCTTGAAGGCCAGCTGCCCGTGTGATCGGACAGGTTCGAATGAGCTGTTGGCGCTGGCTTGGAAGGTCCCGGTGGGCTTCGGTGGACTGGGAGTGGGAGGCTGAGGTGTCTGGGTGTGATATAGGCCTTCGCCTCCCTGAGGGGACGAGTCGATCTGCTCAAAGAAGTGGGCGGAGGAATCTGGGGCGCCCTTTCCGCTTTCCTGCTGGATGAAAGTGCTGGGTGGGGGCGGAGCTGGAGCCAGAGCCCGACGGGAACTGGAGCCGCTGCTGTGGTTGGAATTGATGCTGTCCGATCGGAGTGGGCGAGGATGAGGAGCCAAGTTTGGTTTCTCCAGGTTCGGCACGCCTTCCCGACTCTCGCCTGCCGGCTGTGCTGGCTTCCCAATCCCGGGATGGGCTGGAACCGGGCTATATTTTCTCTAATCTGGGCCCGATCTGGCTCGCTGGGTAAAACCTCCTGATTCTGGATAAAATCCAAATTCTCATTATTTTCAAACTGCAAGCGCTCATCCCTTTGTGATCGACTCCCTCCCGTGCCAGCGTTAGGGTTAGCCCCCAGCTCAGTGCTCCCAGGGAGGTAATTATCGTACTGGCCTGTGGCGTTGGGGAGGAAGCTTGACTGCTCAGCAGACGGTGCCTGGCTGGGCTGCCGCTGTGTATGGATGTTGGGCTGAGCCGAGTTAGGCAAGGGATAAGGTTTAAAGAACGGCACAGAACTGGGTTGAAAAGAATCGGCTGCCAAAGAGTCCGTCCGCTCGGTCCGAAGAGTTTCCTCGTTTTCCACTTCATCTCCTTTGAAGAACATGGAGATGGTCCCTGACTCTGTGTCCACGGGCAACATGCTATCTGCAGGCTGAGCCGCTAACTGCTGCCGATCCTCTAGCCTCTCTCCCCAACTCACAGCATTGCTCTGATATCCAGCTTCAGCTGCTGCCTGGGGCTGGAAGGGTTCGTTGCGAGGGCCGGAAAGCCATGCCTCCGCGCTCCCCAAGTTTGGTTTCAGGCCGTGGTGCTCTTGCGGGATGAAAGCCTCAGATGGCTGCGGCCCACTGTGAAACCCAGGCAGTCTATGCCCATTGGGATCCACCGCTGCAACAGCGGATGCAAATGGCTCCTGTGATGGAGGCTGGTGCTGATCAGCTGGCACCAGATTGTGTGGAGAGGGAAGATGAGCTGGAGAGGAGGACGGGGGATGGGGCTGAGAAACTGAGTAGCTGTTGAAGCTCTGAGTCTGAGGGTCACTGGGCTGAAAGTAATTTTGAACCGAAGGGGGTCGGCTGCCCTGTGCTGGTGCCCACTGAGCGGCGTTTTGCTGCGGGAAGGCTGGTGGTCCAGGGGCAGGGGGTGGGTAAGCCATGGGATCTCTGGCCGGCTCTTGTGCGTACGGGGCTCTGCTCTGGAAAGGGGCGGGCCCCAGGGCCAGGCCAGCATAACTGTTTTCAAGCCCAGCACCCGTGTGAAAATACGACAGCTCTGGGGCCAGGCTGTGGCCAGCTTCCGTGTTGTGGGCTGGGGGGGCCGGGGAGAACTGGCCGCCACTGTTAAACTGTGGCATTAATGGCAGAGGAGCCACCAAGCTGTTGGGCTGATATGGAGGAGTCCCTGATTCGGCTGCATTTGACTGTCCGGGAAATGGTGCTGGGGCACTATGTAAGGCGTTCGTAAACTGGTGAGGGAGCCGGTTTCCATCCTGACGATTTGGGAAGGGAACCGGGAACACTGGAGGGGGCTGACCCGGAGGAAGAGGCCCAGCCTTTGCCGGGTTGGGGAGTGCTGCGCTCTGCCCTGAATGTCCATTTCCAGGTGGGCGCAGACGCCCATGCCCTAGTGGGTCAGTCATGGGCGGCACGGAGGCTGGCGGTGCTGACATGGGCGTGTTGGACCGTCTGAACGGAGAGTTGCGGCGATAGGCATTTGGAGCCCCTCCACTTGGCGGAGGCCCAGCAGCACCTCCGGCCCCTGGAGATGATCTGGGCGGTGGCTGCATCGCTTGGGTTTACAGCAAGGCTATAAAGCTCTTCTTCCCAACTTCGGATCTCAGGGCGGGCTGGTTACAGGACCTATAAGGAGGGAGTCAATCAGTCAGTTACAGTTCTACAAATAAAGAAAAACTCATACAAGTCACATCAGCCGAGACCATAACATTTCATTTGACTTTCGGAAAGTCCGAGCTGCAGGCAAACTGTATAAAGAAAATGTAATCAATAATCTCCAATGCGGATGCATAATAGGATGTCCTCCTGACATGAAAGGCGCTATACAAATGTAATTTTGTGCTGTATTGTAATTTAATGCAGCCAGTAAGTGGTGATGGGTCAAGACTACATTTCTTGCAATTAAGGTAGCTGCAGCACACATGTAATTTTACATAAAATTTATGTTCAAGATTTTTCTTATGCCACTTAATCATTTGCCCCGACTTTGGTGCATGTTTTGGTTTATTCTGAAGCTAGTGTTGACAGCAGCTTTGGTTGAAATTAAATGACTGCATTAGAAGTGTTTGTATACATGTCTGAAGTCAACTGAGCACTGGACAGCTTTCTATTGGCCATCGTACCTGTATCCCAAATGATGTTTAAAAATGTTTCACACATGCAGGTCCGGGATATGACGGACAATAGGCCACATACATATGTGGTGTTGAGATTTAACTACAATAGGTACATCGTTCCCAGTATCTGTTAGCTTAAGGTCTGACACTGAACTGAGGACCCACAAAGGTTAATGGAGTAATGGATTGTAGGGGAGAGGCATTACGAGTTAGGAGGTTGATTAATACAAGTAGTGCAAACTGATATAAATGGTTTTGATAGGAAACTGAATGGGACTCAAGTGATTTAGGCAAGTATACGATTTATAAGGATACGAGTTTTACTGTATAAAGAAGCTAGGTGGCAACACTGAATGAAATCTCAAACTGCAACATACAGTCTTGGGTCACAAATATTAGCAAACGCACACACATACGTACAGTACAGCCCTTTCAGAGAGCACTCAATCTCACCCAGGAGATGCCACCCTAGACTACAAATCGTATATCAACCCCGTCAATCCAGAGCAACAATCGGTTTCAGAGCTCCAGGGCCAAGGAGCAAGGCAAACTAAAATCAACCCACTAAACTATCTTCGCAGTCAAAAACAAAACTTACATTAATTCAGAACTCTTCAATTAATTTCTTAACTGTATGTTTGATTATAGCAGTAAATAATCCAGATACAAATACAGCTCTCATTGAACCAAGCTCTGGGTTGGGGTCAGGAGCGGGACCCATGAATAATAAACCCCTTCCTAAAACGGGGTGTCAAGGGATAGCTGTAACCCCGGCTAAGATCAGTAACTCGACCCAGGGGTCCATTGAGGCTGCGCAGCTCAGATTCACAATGAACATGCTTACTGCTTGCAGCCGCTGTAAACAAAGAGTGAGGAAACAAAGGCAGTCAGCGCAGGCAGCACACAGGAAAATTCCCATTCACATTCCTACTGTGACCTCACAGGCAAAAAGAACAAGAAAAACATTGACTGGAGACATTAGTGGGGAAAAAGAGCCCTTCAGACAACAGAATTAATAGAAAGAAATGGCTCGACCGCAACTGGCTCTGAGTGAACCCACACGTACCAAGAGCGAGTTTCGTTTTAGAACAATGTCGCTGTGATGTTTGAGTCGAGTTTTCTGCAAAACATTGAGCTCCTCCACTGGGGTGAAATCTGGCAAAATGTTACTGGAAATAACAGTGAATTCACAGTAAGACTTGGTACATTGTTAAATTGTGCACGGAAAGTCAATCTGGTGATCAGCAGAACCCCTAAAATCCTGGGTCACTTCTCACAACGTGCTGAGTTACCAATCTAAGCCTGGACAGTGGCTGGGCCATAACTGACCTTAGCGCCTCGTGGTTAGGGGAGGGGATAAAAAGGGTCAATAAGGGGTCTTGCTTTGTGATCACTATTCCGAGATTCTTGTTGAACAGTGAAGGCTTTTTTGGGATGGGGGTGGAGGGAGGAGGCAGACACGGGTGAGGGCAGAATCAGGCTCAGTCGCAATATCTCTAAAGCGAATCACAGCTAAGCCTTGCATGTACATAATGTGCCCTGGGAGAGGTCCCAGAGGCAGACTGGCATCCGTGGAAATAGAGTCAGACACGTCCAGCTGGTGACTGGTATAAAACCTGTCTCTCTAATCTCCTTTGAATTTACTAACAACGTCTGACTACTTGCTCGTGGAGTGCCACTGATCCGCGACATTCCTGCTGGGTCACATACACTGTCAGCGCAGGGAATATTAAATAGTGACATCTTCCCCAGCATCATACCACAACTGTCAGGACTGGTATACCCACTCCCACCCCACGATGCAGCCAGAGAAGAGCAGTTTCACCCACAAAATACACAGTCAATTCATTTATGGTTTCTTCTGTGAAGCACTTTGAGATGTCTCAAAGATGTGATCAGGCGCCATATCAAATGCAAGGATTATTATTATTACTTACAATAAAATGTACACATATATAGCATCTTTCATGTCAGAAGGATGTCTCGAAGCACTTCGCCCTGCTGAAATGTGCACCCAAACAAGAACAAAGGGGGGGTTGGGGGTGGGGGGGGGAAGAAAGCTGAGGGATGGGGGGTGGGTAGAGAAAGATGACCAAAAACGAGGTCAAAGAGGTAAATATTGAGGCATCTCATGTACTATGATTTTAGTTACACACCTTTATTAGATTATTAATGTAAATCCTGTCTGTCTCGTGATTCAGGCGGATGAAAAGGGCCCAGCCGTGTTGTTATTTCAGAGAAACGTGGAGCATTTTCTCCAGGTTTATCCTGCCTTATATTCCCCTCCTCATCACAAATTCACCCTCAAACTGAATTGAAATCAGCCGCTCATTTCATTGTTGTTTATTGAACATGGGTGGCTGGCGCAGATTAGCTGCTGCCTTTGCCTGTATAAAATCACTTTAATTCTAATTAAATCTTGTATAATTATATAATAAAGCCCATCAAAACATATTTTTTTTACTTGACAGACGCTGGAGAATATGCAGGTCATTTTATGCAATAGACAAGATTTGATCCAGCCGTTTTACAGCCTAATTTTAACTCCTCCATCATGTGCACTTCAACACAATAGCAAGCCGCAGTAAGGTCAAGAGCTCTTTCGTTATATGCCACATAAGCAAAGTACAAGATGGCAGTGAAAAGCAATTGCATTACAGCCAGAAACACGTATATGAACTACAGCATTTGCACTCAGTCCACTACCGGTGCCACTGTCATCCAATCCTCACAAGTAGGACCAAACTGCTCCCCATCCATTCCAAATACTCATCAGACAGACCTCTCCCACAACTACACTTCCCAGCACATCTATTCTTCACACACAAGCTGTTACCTGTTCTGTGAAAGACATGATCTCAATTTTACAGCAGACTATCTTATTTGTAAACATAGGTGCGGAGTCACCATCTGTCTGAGGGAGCAGCAGCAAAACCACCTTAACCTGCCACTGCCTCTAATCTTTGAACTTTAGGGGCATTCAAGAACCAGGTCCCACTTACAGTCATGCCCCCCCAGCCCCCCAAAACAAACACACAGAATTATTATCATCAAAAGACAAAGGGAGGTGAGATTTTCTTTTACTATTTAGAGCATGTGGAAAGCACCGTCAAAAGCGCTGGTTGAAGCAGAATCCATAATTGCTTTTGAATGCGAATGAGACAAATACAGTATTTGAAGAGGAAAAATACCAAAGGTAGCTCTTACAGAGCCGACACAGGCACAATGCACTGAAAAGCTGCCTCCTGTGCAGTGAAACTGTCTGATTTGATGATTCCAAGTCTGTAACACGACAATAGAACAATAGTTCATTAGTAGGAGCAGAAACGTGGCCCTTCAAACAATAATTGATGACATTTGCTGACAGGTGCAGAGGCAAGAGCATGTGTTAGGAGCCAACAGTTGCCAGGAGGGACTTTTAAAAAAAAAAACCACAGCATAGGGATGCCGGATATCCTGCAGAATGAGCACTCCAGGATCTGGCCCTCAGCTACCCTGCAAACACGTCGGTTAAATGCTGATGATGCAGAGTCAACATAGGACTTTGCAGCTGGGAAGCTTCCAAAAAAGTGATGAAATCTACAATGCTGATAAAGATTCAACTCCTAAACAACCAGATAATCAAAGTCACCAGGAAGGACCTTTTTGGTTCAAAGAAGATCATTTTCCTGAAACTGTTTCTGTTTCCCGTACACAAAGTGAATGATTAATTTATCCAGAGGATTTTTGATCAGGACACCAGGAGAAACTCCCTTCTCTTTTCCACTAGTTCAGGGGATCTTTTAACGTCAACCTAAACAGGTAAACAGAAGGTTGTGGGTTCCAGTTCCACATCAGGAACTCAAGTAGTCTAAGCTGATACTCCAATGTAATGCAGAGGATATGCTGCATTGTTCGAGGTCCTGTCCTGCAGACAAGACGTTAAAATAGAGCCTATTCTGTTCAGATGGATGTTAAAGATCCCACAGCACTATACGAAAGGACAAGTGAATTCTCCCAATGACCTGGCCAACAATCCCACCTTCATGTCTGTTTGTGGGACATAGTTGTGCGCCAATTGTCCTCTGTATTTGCCCACAAAACACACAAAAACTCTACCGTACAATATATCCTGTGAAGCGTTTTGGGACATCCTCGTGACATGAATGGCCCTAATCCAAATGTAAGGATTATTATCTGAAAGGCAATTCAGCACTCCCCTCAGTACTGTACCCGTGTGACAGCCTAGTCCATGAGCAAAGATCAGATATATAGTAAAGAGTAGGGCATTTAATAGAATGAATATTTTTAGGAAGTGCTGGGTGTATTCTCTGTAAAACATACCCCGCTCACATAGAGATCAAGCTGCAGAAAAAGTCAAGAATCAAGATGTACAATCAAAAATGCGTCTTTGATATACAATACTCAGCTGAGAATGACGCCCACAGGTAAGAATGAGTTACGTTTCACGGCTAAGAATAGGTTACGTTTCCCAGCTGACTTCCCATATTTGTTTTGTTCTCTTTCCCTAACTGAGCAGGGCAGAGGGTGATCGAACACCACATCCTGGGTATCTCTCCCACTCTCCCTGCACTCAGCACACTGCTAGCTGGGAACATCTCATCAGTATATTGGTCTGAATTCTGCCTTTGAATCATTAAAGAGTTAGTACTTTGTCATTTTGACTGTGTTTCAGATACAGTACACTGCAGTTCAAATCACCCCCGCCCGCCCCAGTTTAGAAAGGACCTCAAAACACATCACAGTAATTGTCAAGTGCAGTAACTATTATTATACATAGCTACATCAGCCATCAGGACAGGTAGATCTCGGTATAGAAATTTGCAGCACAAAAGAAGGCCATTTGGCACATCGTGTCTGTGCAGGCTCTTTTAAAGAGCAATCCTTCCCATCCTATTTACCTGCCCTCTCCCTATATCCTTAGTAGTTTACTCCTTCTTAAAATGTTTACAAAGATTTTAAAAAGAAACAGCATAGAAACAGGCCACTCGCCCAAATAGTCCATGCTGATGTTTATACTCCACACGAGTCTTCACCCATTCCTTACTTCCTTCCACACCCCTCATCCCTCATGTGAAGATCTAGCTTCCTCTTGAATTCATCTACACTATTTGCTTCAGGCAGCAAGTTCCACAATCTCACTTCCCTCCCGTGCGTGAAACGGTTCCTCCTAAAACATACAAAAAATCCACATCGGGCAAATCAGGCTGAGCCAGTTCACGAAGCTGGTCACAACAGCTTGCATTTATAGAGCATCTTAGAGCTCTGCATAGTTGCAGGGTTGGACATCGAGTGAGGGAGAAGGTAGAATAGCTAAATCTTAAGGCGGGAATTAAAGCTAAAAGGGGATGAGGCAGGGGACTGAGTGTAGGGGGGCGTAGTGGCTGAAGGCACAGCCTTTGATGGTAGCTCGGAGGGGTTAGGAGACGCATCGCAAAGGGGGTGGACAGGGGAGTGGGATATAAGCAGGTCCATGGTTGGGGCATGAGGGGAATTGCATGCGACAATCTTACACTGTGTGGAGTCAGAAGAGCCTGGCAGGGATGGTTCCAATCAACAACAACAAAATTACATTTATAGAGTGCCTTTCACGTCAGGAGGACGTCCCAAAGCGCTGAAAGATTCCATTCCCACACTGCCACCATCACCCTCTACTTCCCTTTTGAAAGCTTATACGGATTTTGCTTCAACCACTGCTGCCAGCAAGGCATTCCACATCCACCACTCAGTGCGTGAACTCTGCTACCCCTTCCCAATATGCTGCACTGAACTCTCACGCTATACTATGTGCTCAACTGCTACATGAGGCTTGAATAAACAACTCTCTGATGGAGAGATAATATGATCAAATGAACCAAGCGGATGAGTATAACTTATTACCTGGGCAAATAGAAAAGTGCAGCTTCCGCTACAAACATCCCCTCCGCTACAATCCTGTACACACAGTGTGCTCGGCCCCGGGCCTCTCGCGCTGTTTGCTCAACGCTGCTACTGTGGTCGGAGCAGCTCCGCTCGCGCACGCCCGGTGCAGAGTGTTGGAAGTGGCACGAGTGGGAAACCAGCTTCGCCCGGTGCGCAGCCTAAACTAAGCTCCTGTGACAAATTCTTGATATGTACTCGTGGTAAGCACTGTACTATTGATATGAACATTTTTAGTATTTTAAACAAAGCTACACGCTCAGGAAACATATGCCTATAGTTTTTAATTCAGGTTGTTTCACAAAATGCGTCCCTCAATAGTACCAATCAACCCGCCACAATTTTCTGAAGATTTTAAGCAAAGCTCTCCGCAATTTTTGGCAAATATTTCTGCACTTTTCTATTGGCCCAATATCGTAACACGGGACTGAAATAAGAAAAGTAGAAATAAATATAAACTCCATGGTTCAAACCTGGTCAGTAGGTTATGGGTAAAAGCCTCAATAACAGCTTCACACTGAGCTCACAGTCCAGCCGCATGGCTATTTGAGGGACTTTTGCAGTGGGTAAATGGCTACTGTGTTTGCGTATATAAAACACAAGGTACTATACTTGACAATTATTGTAAGCAATCTTTTGATGTAGGAATGCTAAATCTACATTTGCTACTACCCTGCTTGTTTCGATTTTCGGTTAGCCTGAATCTGCCACACTAATGTTCAATGTGCAGAAACACAACATAGGTGAAAACATGTTACAAAAAATTATTCTTCCAATGCATTCTTTCTCACATTATGGTAGCTATGTGCATGTTGAATAATCCTTTGCTTAGAAATTTATAAGCAATCCCATAACATAGTGGTTAGCGCATTTGCCTCCCAATGTGAAAGGCGCTATACAAATGTAATCTTGTTGTTGTTGCTTTGCAAGCGAGGGGACCCGGGTTTGATTTGAGGGTGGAGCGAAACTTTACTCCACACACCTCTATGTTATCTAGTAGTAAGTAGGAAACTGATCGCGAATCGCTTTCCAGGGTAATAATCCCCCTGCCCCCAATAAATAAGTAATAATTTGGTCACTCAATGCACGACTGTTTGTGGGACGTTGCTAGCGTGCAACTGGCTGCCATGTTTCGCCCACAAAATACACAATCAATTCACTTTACAGTATATTCTGTGAAGGGCTTTGAGACGTCTCGAAGACGGGATGAGGCGCTATATCGGTTGCAAAGATTATTATTGTTCTAAACAATACAGAAAAAATTATTCAGTGCATTTCACACAGGATAGGAGTGGGGGGGGTGAGGGCAGTGTGGGGGGGGAGAGGGTAGTGGGGGGTGGAGAGGGCAGTGGGGGGGGGGAGAGGACAGTGGGGGGGGAGAGGGCAATGGGGGGGGGCAGTGGGGGGGGAGGGGGGGGGGAGAGGGCAGTGGGGGGGGAGAGGGCAGTGGTTGGGGGGGAGAGGGCAGTGGGGGGGGGCGTGGGAGAAGGCAGTGGGGAAGGGTAATGGGGGGGAAGAGAGGCTGTGGGGGGGGGAGAGGGCTGTGGGGGGGGAGAGGGCTGGGGGGGGAGAGGGCTGTGGGGGGAAGAGAGAGCTGTGGGGGGGGAAGGGCAGTGGGGGGGAGGGACAGTGGGGGGGGGGACGTAAGGAGAGGGTAGTGGGGGGGGGGGGGGGGAACGTAAGGAGAAGGCAGTGGGAGGGGGGGGGGAGGCCTAACCTCGCGCCGCCGGTTCCTGGCAGCTGTCACCCGGGACCCGCCTCATTCCAGCCCGCGCTCTCCCTGCCTTTACCCTGAAGCGCGGCTGGACCCTCACGGGGGGGGGGGGTGTCTTGCCTGTCGCCAGCCGCTGCCCGGGGGCTGCCGCCAGCGCCCCCCCCCCCCGTGCGCCCGCCTCTCGGACCCTCACCTGACGCCGCTCCGGCAACGCCGCCATCTTCCTCTCGCGATCGGCGACGTGTCCATCGCGACGTCAACGTCAAAGCGGCCGCGCGATTACGCAGAGGCGTAACGTCAAACGGCTACGCGGTGACGTCGGGGGGCGATTGGCACCGTTTGGTCAGCAGTGGGTCTGACACATGGCCATTAATAATAATAATAATAATAATCCTCGCGTTTGATATAGCGCTTTTCACGTCGGGAGGACGTCCCAAAGCGCTTCACAGAACACACTGTAAAGTGAATTGACTGTATATTTGTGGGCGAACGCGGCAGCCAATTGCGCACAGCAATGTCCCACAAACAGTCGTAGGTTGAAAATGACCAATTTATTATTGTTTTTGGTTTTGGAGGGATTATTATTAGGCTCTGTGTGGAGTAAGGAAACTTGCCCAAGGTTTCGCCCTCTGCCTGGAATTGAACTCAGGTCTCTCACTTGCAAAGCGAGTGCTCTAACCACTGAGCTACAGGACTCCACCCATCAACATGGCCCCCACAGCCTTCCCTCCCACTGAGAGACGGGGGAAGGAAGGGGCGTAGAGTCTGCACCGGACGCCCCGTGTGTTCGGCGCAGCAATGATGAGCCGCGCGTTTGCCGAAGCGCCGCGTCACGCTGTTGAGACGCCTCGACGACGACAACAACAACAACAACAAGATTCCATTTACAGAGCGCCTCTCACGTCGGGAGGACGTCCCGAGGCGCTGGACAGTTGGGTCGGGACCCGAGCCTTGGGGGGGGAAATGGTCAGGGTGAGGGGAGGGGAGGGAGGGGGCGAGGAGGGGGGAGATGGTCAGGGTGAGGGGAGGGGAGGGAGGGGGCGAGGAGGGAGGAGATGGTCAGGGTGAGGGGAGTTGAAGGTACGGCCAAAGAGAAAGGTCTTGAGACCGGCCTTGAAGGAGGAAAGGGAGGAAGCGAAGGCGAAGGCACTGGGGATGGAGTTCCAGAGCCTCGGGGCTGAGAGGCTGAAGGCCACCGATGGTAGGGCGGTTGGGGCGGGGGACGTGGAGTAGACCGGAGCCAGAGGAACGGAGGGTACGGGCGGGTAAGTCGGGGGATAGTAGGTCGGAGAGGTAGGAGGGAGCCTCAAAGCACTTCACAGGATTTTACTGTAAACAACAACAACAACAAGATTACATTTGTATGGCGCCTTTCGCGTCGGGTGTGAAAAAACAAAGTGATGCGACCGCAATCAGCAAATAGGGTGGAGCTACCTGTTAGCGGTCATTGCTGTTGCGCAAATTGGCTGCTGCGTTTGCACCCCCCCCAAAAAAAAACACGGTCACTACACCTTCCAGCATACCCTGAGACGTCCTCCAGCTGCAAAAGGTGCTATACTAAATGGAGGGAATAATTTATTTTAATACACTCCGGAATGATATTAATATAATAATAATGCTTGCATTTGATATAGCGCCTTATCATGTCGTCGAGACGTCTCAAAGCGCTTCACAGAAAATACTGTAAAGTGGAGTGACTGTATCTTGTGGCCGAAACGTGGCAGCCAATTGCACGCAACATTGGCTCACAAACAGTCATGGATTGAATGACCACATCATTATTATTTTTGGAGGGATTATCAGCGCCGGAAAGCGATCCAGCAATTGATTAACACTGGGTTCCTACTTACTGCTCGGTAAACAGAGGCGTGTGGAGGAAGGAAACTTGCCCAACGTTTCGCTCCGAAATGAATGAAGGAAAGCAGCATGCACGCCTCCAGGGAGGGAGTGCATATTTCTTTGTAGACACAGGGAAACTTCCACGTCTAGGCGAGAATACATAAGTGGAACTCTTGTCTGGTTTGGTCACTCCCAAGCATTGTGGTGGGTTTCTGCATGTGTTAGACATAACCCAAAAAAAACCTGAGACCGTCACAGAGGGTAGGCTCAATTCTCATGTTTTGTTGCCAAACGCGTCACCTTAGAACAAGCTCAGTCACAAGAAGTCCCTCCCCACCCCCCCGCCAACACCTCTGGAAGGTCCAGGTTGGCTGGTCCATCAGCAAACTGCCTTGGGAGCAATGCGGATTTCTCTGACTTGGTCACTGATTTCAATGTCTTTGCCACCCTCGTGTGGTCAACAGTTAAAAATGCAGCAGAATTGGTTCACCTTTTTTTGCACTCAAACCGTGCAACAACAAGATTAATAATAATAATAATCCTTGCATTTGATATAGCGCTTTTCACGTCGGGAGGGCGTCCCAAAGCGCTTCACAGAACACACTGTAAAGTGAATTGACTATATTTTGTGGGCGAACGCGGCAGCCAATAGCCAATTGCGCACACCAATGTCCCACAAACAGTCGTAGATTGAAAATGACCAATTTATTATTGCTTTGTTTTGGAGGGATTATTAGTGTGGAGCAAGGAAACTTGCCCAAGGTTTCGCCCTCTGCCTGGAATTGAACACAGGTCTCTCGCTTGCAAAGCGAGTGCTCTAACCACTGAGCTACAGGACTCCACATTTGTATAGCACCTTTCACGTACAGCCCTGGATGCTCTCTTCACTCAACGAGGTTCATTCCCCCCGCCCTACCCACCCCATTTGGGTGGTTGGTCTTTCCAATATACCCTGAGATTTCCAGTATTTCAGCCTATTTGCCCCCACTCTCTGGAATTCCATCTCAGAGTCCCTCTAACTCATTCCCTCCCTCACATCCACCTCACCACCCCCCCCCCCCCCCCCCCCAGTCAAATAATATCCTGTGACATTGGTCAACACTCACAAATGAAGAGTAGTTTGGTGAGCGCCAGTGGAATTGCCCCCAGCATGTCAGTACCTTCTGGAGTAGAAACAAAGGGTCCAAAAAAACTCTCGAGGATTCAAAATTGCACTGCAACAGTTGGTCGTGCTCTTGTCAGGAGGTTGTCAGCCTGGCTCAGTTGGTAGCACTTTTGTCTCCGAGTCAGAAGGTTGCGGATTCAAGCCCCACTTCAGAACTTGCTTCTGTTTTGCTTCCTTCAACTCTCGTTTCCTTCAAGTCCCATCTGAAGACCTTCCTCTTTGACAGGGACTTTGTCCACCATCCCACCTCCCTGGATTCCAACCCCTAGCTCGGGTTCAAACCCTTAAGTGTCCAGCGCCTTGGGATGTCCTTCCGACGTGAATGGCGCTATAGAAAATTTTATTTTGTTGTTGTTGTTGCCACTCCAATGTACTACTGGGGGAGTGATGCATTGTCGGAAGTGCCGTCCTTTGGATGAGATGTTAAACCAAGGTCCCATTTTGCCTGTTCGGGTGCATGTTAAACATACCACGGTCAAAAAGAGAAGGGACATGTTTGTATGGCACTGCTATGTGTACATTGGCGGCCACATTTGCCTGGAAATACAGTCTGCAAATTCACAGCAAAATCTTGTGAAGTGCTTTGAGATGTCTTGATGATGTGATAAGGCGCTATGCAAAGATAGCAATTTGAAGGATTATTATGGTGGGTGCAAACCCACAGTCTAGACTGTGAGATCAATATCTTCGAGATGCTTGACATTAAAGGTGTTTTTTTCAAGCGCTCAGATCATTATTACTTATTGTGAAAATTGTTTTTATTGCATTTACAAGAGAGACAGAGATTAATAAAATCTAGGTGCCAGTTGGCAGTTTATTGTAAGACCATTTTACAAAATCAATGATGCAACAATGTGGTCACACTGTGCCATTGCTCTGGGATACGTACGTACATACATACAGACATTTCATTTAGGCTGGTAAACTAAATTGTATTCTCTAGTTTATAAAACGTGACGGAAGAAAACCAACACCGTGCGGAGTGTTTCTCTTTCATTACGACGTGTAACAGTCTCGTTAAAAGTCATTCAGATTTCTGAAACAAAATCTTTTCGCGGTTTTTTTCTTTTCAAAAAAACTTTTTATTTACACGGTTTAACGCAGAAGAAAAGCGTCCTGAATACTCGCTGCAGGGAAGTTAAGTCCCTTTACACACATCTCCTCAAAGAGGCTCCTCGTCTTCGCTAACGCATATTTTGGCAAAGTTACTATAATTCCGTGTCTCGGGAGAAACACTGTGGCACGACTCATCTCCACCCCCCGTCCTCACGTGGGCCATTTAATTGTGACAAATCCCCCCTGCCCCCCCGGCCAGGATGGTGCTAGTCTCCGCTCGGGAAGTGGTCCGTCTCCCTCCCGCAGTATGGTTTCAGAGTCTGTGATATCTAGATATATTTGGGACGTGACGTGTGTGCAAGCGACTGCCAGGATGGTGGAAAGCGAAATGGATGGACCTTTGCCGAGCAAATTCTTATGTTCTGGAGTCCAGCTGCACTGAAAGGTTTGGCGCTGGATTTTTCGGGAGTGACTTTACCATCGGGACAATTTAGTGCAGTGGGAAACGAGGAACGGACACAAAAGGGTTAGTGTTCGCCACGTGTTAAGCCTGATGTTGTGTTACACTACATCGGCCAACAGGAGACAGCATTCCCCTCTCTGGAAACATCCCTTTTTGTTCAGACCTGGACGGCTGCTCTCTCGGACATCATCTAGTGGCGAGGGAGGGATGGCAGTCAATTTATTTCCTGTAAGAAGGGGCTGAACAGTCTGTTAATACTTGTTGAATATATTCTGAGGATGATCTGTCAAGAAGGGGGTGACAGCCACAGGCTTTCCCCCCACCCAGGAATTGTGTTCAACCCATTGGGACCCATGAAGATAGCAAACATCACCTCTATATTATATATATATGTATATATATAAACTGAATATATATTTTCTATACTCCCGCTCGCACCCCACTCACAGTGCTACAGGCTCCCCAAGATACAATTCCCCCAATTTCTCTTCTCTCTTTAAAATAATTTAGCGGCAATACTTTTCTCTGCAGTACTGAAAATAGACGAGACCTTCGCTTACAAACACTGGCTTTTTTTTAAAAAAAAGAAGAGACTCCCAATTGTTTTTTTTTTAAAAATTAAATAATTTCATCCACAAAGTATTAAGACGACAGACATACTTTTAGATACCTTAGATTTGCCTTTAGATTCAGAGTCTGCGTTACTCAGAAGAGTTTTAAACAATACGAGAAGTGGGAATAAGGTTAATGTTAGCCGCTGTAATACTGAAAGACGGCATCGATTTCCAGGCTACTCTGGGTAGATTTCCTGCCCTAAGACATTGTACACAATTTACACCCAATGTGAACACTCACCATCAAACCAGCGCCTATCTTTTTCCGTTGGCCACGAGTGTGTGCGCGCTCACGTGGCGACAAGTGTGAACGCGCCAATAAGAGCGTGCTCAAATATATGTCAACACTCAGCATACCAAGCCGTGTGTGAGTAAATCAGCATGTGGGTGTGTGTGTCTGTGTCACTGGTAGTGTGCACACGTGTGTGTGTGTCTGTGTGTGTCAATGCAAGTGTGCGAGTGTGAGCAAACGCAAGTAACCCTCCCCTCGCCTAAAACATTTTCAACTTATAAATAAATATAAGTCAAACCATTTTTTTCCCCAATAACAATACATTTTTTTTAAAAAATCACAAAGTTTCCTATAAAGTGGATGAACGCGAATAATCTGCCCAAATCTCCTTTACACAGAGCGGAATCTCTGTGGACGGCGGGAGCTCCTCGCTCAGTGCCGGTGGGCTGGGGGTGGGGGTGGGTGGGGTGGGGGAAGGCAACGACTCTCTCTTGCTCGCTCCCGCTGACTGTCCGGGGACACTGCCGAGCTTACGTTACAAACCCAACAGGACACGGGCAGCTGTAACACCAAACCCACGGCTCATAAATAACAAGGCAGCCGTGTCGCTCGCATAAGACTCAACAAAACAAAACGGAACAGAAATAAATACTAAAACAGAAAGAATAAAACACGCTCTCTCTCCACATTTATATTAAAAAACACACTTAATAATCCTTTTCCTTTTGCGAAAAAAAGATTCCTTCAGTCAGAATGTCAACTGCCTGCAGTCTGGGTGGTGGGAGAGGTATTGGAGGGGGTTGGCGGGTGGGGGATGGAGGGGGTGGGGGCAATGGGGTGGGGGGGGGCGGGCAGGAGGCAGAGGTCACATCAGGCTGAGCCCCACACGCATGAAGTCACTTGAACACGTGATCTGGGGTGTGTCCCATTTGTGACTGCATGCTGGTTGGGGGGCTGGAGATTCCTTCCGACCAATCCGACATGTTGGAATGAGGAGAGGAGCTGGACCACTGGTCCGGGGATTCGGGGGAGGGGGTGAGGAAGGGGTGATCGGGGGCAGGGAGGTGGCGGCCTGGGGTGTTGTCCATGGGCGAGGTGTAGCTGTGTTGCGAGGGGGGGGTCAGGAATTGGGTGGTGGTCATGGACTGTCCCAGGGACGTGGGCAGCGAGGTCTGCAGGTGTTGGGGCTCTTGAGCGCTGAGGATTTGCAGCTGCTGGAGGTCCATCTGCCCCAGGTCCCCACTGCAGTAGGTTTGGCCGATGGGGTGCCCGTTGGCATTGGACATGGCGTTGTGTTGCTGCTGTTGTTGCTGCTGTTGCTGCTGCTGTTGTTGTTGCTGCTGCTGTTGCTGCTGCTGTTGCATGCTCTGTTGCAGCTGCTGCATCTGCTGCACTTGCATCATGTGTGGCTGAGAGAGCCGGGTGTTGGAGAGGCCTGGGTAGCTTATGATCTGGGAGAGCGAGGGGCTGTGCAGGGCGGGCATGATGCCACGCTGGAGCCCCGGCCCGGGCTGGTGCATGGCGGCGTGTGGTGGCATCGAGCTCTGCATGGGGTTGTACTGGTTCTGCACCAAGCCCGCCTGCATCCGCGACAGCCAATCGCAGGGGTTACCGATGGAGGCATTGCCGCCACCTCCCATACCCAGGGACATGGGGCCGTTGGTTAAGGCCGAGCTGCCGACGGTGGACATGTGCGACAGACGAGGGGGCACAGAGTCAAAGGTCATCCTGCCGCCCCCCAGCCCCAGCTCCTGGTTCCCGCTCAGGTTCAGATGAGTCACGTTCAGGTGCCCGTCGCTGGGCAGCCCCTGCAGGTGGTTGAGCTGGATGGAGGGCGACTGCTGGAACGGGGAGGGCATCAGTGGTGGCGAGGCCACGTCTGACATGTAGGCGTGAGGAGACTCCAGGGAATCCACAGGGGACAGCACGGCCGAGCTCTCCAGCAGAATCTTCCCGTCCTGGGACTTCTTCCGCTTGGCTTTGGCGTCCTTGGCCTCTTTGCCGTTGCCTCCGCCCAGACCCTTGCCGTTGGTTTTCCGTGCCTTTTTGCCCTGCGCTGTGGGCTTCATGTTGCCCAGGTAGGCGGTGGGGGAGCAGATTGGGGGCGAGAGGGTGGGGCCCCCGGGCAGGGCGGGGCTCCGCACCAGGTTGTACTCGTCCAGCAGCCGGACGATGTCATGGTGCATGCGGTCCTGGGCGATGTCCCGCGGAAGCCGGTCCATGTGGTCGGTGATCTCCCGGTTGGCGAAGTGGTCGAGCAGGATTTTGGCCGTTTGATAGCTGCCTTCCCTCCCTGCTAGGAAGAGCGGCGTCTCCTCCTGCTCGGCAAACAGGGAAAAGTGTCAGCCTCGCACCTGCACACCTCCCCCCTCCTCCCCAGCCACAGCGCAATCCTACCCTCAATCTATATGTCCACATGTGCCCCACTTACACTCATTTCCTGACTTTATCCATCGCAGACGAGAGGGAGAAGGAACCAGAGGTGTATGATATAGAAGGGGCGAAGGCTAGTGTGGAGTATAAACACCAGCACAGACTAGTTGGGCTGACTGACCTGTCTCAACACCGTATGCCTCTATGTAACCCACTACTCTCTACATCAACAGCTGAAATGTGTTTGGGGGCAACATAACTCCTTCCTGGAGCAAGGTGGGGGGTTGGGAGGAAGCTGGAAGGACAACCCTGGAAGAGGAGCAGTTTCTTATCCACGCTTCGCCAACGCCCTCCGCCATCCTTACCCCCCCTCCACCCCTTGCACCCCACTTAACCCTCCCCCTTGCTCCCCACCAAACCCCTCCTCGCTCGCCCCTCACCTTGTTGTCCTGCATGTCTTTATTGGCTCCGTTCTTCAGCAGCACCGCAGTGGCCTCCACGTTGTTCACAGCTGCGGCCCAGTGCAGGGCGGACTTTCCTACAGCACAAAATACAACGTATCAAGAGAGCAGAAACTCTCAGCCATCAACAATCCCCCCCACCCCAACCAACATGCCCCACCCCAAACCCTGCACCCTGCCCAAATCACCAGTCAATGCCCTGAGTCAGCACTTTCCGCCACAAGAGAGATAACAGGTGAGAAAGCCGTGGACCCCATACCAAAATCATCCACGGCGTTGACGTCAGCGTGGCAGTTCACCAGCTCCTCCACCATCCCCTCCACCGCCAGGCGGGCAGCCAGGATCAGAGGTGTTGTCCCATCGTGCATCCGGGCATCAAGGTCAGTGGCCCGGTTCCTGATCAGGATCTGCCGGGAAACGAGTCGGGAAAACAGGTCAGAATGTTCCCTGTTCGGGCCAGTGCAGGGTGGTGGTGGGGGGGGGGGGGGGCAGAGAGACCTTAATTCAATCACAAAATTCACTCTACAATATAACCTGTGAAGCGCTTTGAGAGAAGTCTGAACGACGTAATAAGGCCCTACATCAAACGCAATTATTGTCAAATCCTCACAAAAACCTGGCACTTGGTGTTGGTGGGGAGGAGCTGCCCTATTGGCTAGAGAGTAAAGCACGGTTGTGGGCATCGGGGGGTGGGGTTGAAGAGGTCAGGGTTATAATCAGTCTCTCCTGGTCCCCCCCACCCCTACCTCCCCCCCTGGTTAGCGCTGGAGAAAAATCAGCCAGGATTCCCAGCATCTAATCTAATCACCAAAACAGTGATGCTCCACTGCTCCACACTACGTGTGTTGGGGGGAGTCGGGTGATGTCAGAATTGGGGCAGCTGATGAGCTTTACTGTGTCTCTAACCCTGATGGTGGGGGTGGGGGGCACGGGTGCTGGTACCTGGAAGACCCCTTGCGCATCGGCTGCCACAGCGGCGTGGAGGGGGGTGCGGCCCATGGTGTCCTGCACGTTGGCATCGGCGCTGGCCTCCAGCAGGCGCTTGGCGGCGTCCGAGCGAGCGTAGCGTGCGGCCAGGTGCAGCGCCGTCTCTCCCGTGCGGTCCGTCTGGTTGTGGAGGTTCGCTCCCTGATAGATGAAATCGGAGATGACGTTCCCGGAGGCGTCGTCGCCCTCCTCCTCGCTGTTCCCAGTCTCCAGGCCCCCACCGCTGCACGAGGCGATCATCAGTGGCGTGAATCCGTCTGCACAGAGCGACACACAAAGGCTGCATCAGCTACACACATGTACTACGCATGTACGCATTACACGCCGCAACACGGAGTGTGTCGTACACCACAGGGGATATAAAAAAAAGTTGCGATAACTACTCGATTATCTAAAAAAAAATCGTATAATATCAATTAAGACTTAATTAGACATTGCTATGGTATCATGACTTTTTGGTCACCCTGTAGAAGGAGCCTCCACACCAACCCCCCACCCCCGTAACGCAGTGTTATACAGTTAAAACTTGCGCAAGTCTTATCTGTATCAATCGTTCAGTCGCCTAAGTCATACACGCACCCGAGTCCCATTCAGTTTCCCATCAAAACCACTTAGAATCGCTTGCACTAGTCGTATTGATCACCTCCTTGCCGCGGTTCAATGCGATCCCAATCCTTGCCGGTAAGTGTCAGGTCAAGACGCACTGAATGGCGGAGAAATGTAGTCTTGTTCCCCCCACCCCCACCGCGTGCGTGTTTACCGGCTGCTTTGGATTCCGCATGCTCATCGGTGATTACTACACGACTTGCAGTTTCCCTGCAACCCCAGCTGTTATATAATACACAGGATGCTGCACTCAGTCACACGGACGCTGTGTGGTTGTGACGTACCTGGGCCTCTGACGTTGACATCCATACAGTCGGAGTCGATCTCTCCCTGGGGTGGGGTCGGGGCCATGGACGGGATGCGAAGGTCGGCAGCGTCCAGGTGTTGCTGTGTCCACTGTCTGTGGTCAGTCTGGTCCTCGTGGTCTGAGAGAATTGTTTGATCATCGAACTGCGAGAGAGAACACAGGCGTCATTCCCTGTCTACCACAGGCTGGGCTGCACACGTGTACTTGTTCATCGTCCCCTCCGCTCCACCATTGATGGCCGTGCTTTCAGCCGCTGGAACTCTCCCCCTCAATCCCTCCACCTTGCCCCCTCCTTCCCCATCTTCAATTTGTGGCTGAAGACCTTCTCCTTCAACCGTGCTTACGGTCACCGCCCTATCTCCCCCTGGCTCGGCCTTGTGCTCTGGCACTGTCAAGCGCTCTGAGGCGCTAGCCTGCGTGATATAAAGGCTAGTTGTTGTTGTCTGTGTAGTTGGGTCGTGGTAGATGGGCGCTAAACCACGGGGATGGACGGAGCCTTTACCTTGAACCTCTTGTTGTCTGTGGGGTCGTCCTCAGCCCAGTGCTCATTCTGGTTGTCATCCATCAGAGCCCCGTCAGACGAGCTCTTCAGAGGCCTGTCAATCAAATCAAGGAATGAAATGGGTTTGTGTGCTACAGACACACAGTGAGAGAGAGAGAACGAGAAAGAGAGAGAGAGAAAGACAGACAGACAGACAGACAGACAGACAGAATCACCGAGCCACAGAGAGAGGGAGAAGCAAAAGAAATGAACAGTGAGAGATACACAGACAAAAATAATACGGAAAGACAAATAGATACACACACACAGAACAGGGATATATACATACACATACATAGAATAGACATACACGCAATAGACATACACACACAAAAACAGATACACAGTATATACGCACAAGAAACAGAGATAGACCCACACAAAAAAAATAAACAAATTCACACATGCATATGACTAGGGATAAAGGTCAAAATATATTAAAGAGAACCAGAGACACTGAGTAGTGCCTGTGGTCCTAGTCCTGCGGGGTGTGGTGGGGGTGCTGGCCGGGACCAAGTGAAGCCCCTGAGCCGAGCCCGACCACTTACTGATTCCCACAATAACCATTTCTGCTCCCGATCCAGCGCCCAACATGTCCGAGTACCTCACAGACCATTGCTGTCATGGACAGTGACTGAGGAACGTTAGCCAGACCAGGACACGGTGGGGTTGGGTGGTGGGGGGGGGGGGGGGTGGGAAACCCACTTCTCTTTTCCTGCAGCGCTGCAGAATCTTTCAACACCCGCCTTCCCGAATAGGCACCGAGGAGTGGAGCTGGGTTTGGAGAGCGCTGCGGTGAAGTTACCGGGGCGTGAAGGCGCTGATGTCCTCTCTTGGTTTAAATCATCACAAAACGGCAGCAGTTTACCGAGACGTGAGCAGTCGGCAACGAGGTGACAAGACACCCACTTACTTCAAGCCGACGGAGTCCTCCCCCACTGGCTCCCGCCGTTTCTTCTTGCTGGAGTCGGTCACTTTGAAGCCTTCGGGGAACCAGAGCTGCCCATGCTCCCGCCTGCGCTTCCGAGACACCAGGACCCCCACCCCGATACAGACCAGGAACAGCAGCGCGGAGACCACCACGTACATCGGGTAGAGGGTGGCGTTGGGGGCGATGGAGAAATCTTTACCTGGGGAGGGGAGAGAGAGAGAGAGAGAGAGAGAGAGGGGGTTGGGTGGGGGGGTCACAGAGAGAGAGAGAGTGGCTGCGTTAAACCGATGCGTACACACACGGAGCGAGTGTAAAACAGTGAGCGTTCGACACGGAAAGCGAATCCAGTCTGACGGCGAAACTCAGAACACATCTTCATTTATATGCCTGCGATCAGAGATGCAAAAAAAAAAAAAAACGCCCCCGACACTCCTCACAACCTCGGCTCGTTTTAAACTCCAGATCGAGCTGAACCCTACCCCCCCCCCCCCCACCCCGCACTCCCACCACCACCCCTCCCTCCACACTCCACTGCAAAGCAAAGGATTAGCAAATCATCAAATTATCCCGCTCGTATTAATCTGCCAAAATCTGGGGATTTCTGTGGGTCGACACTCTACAAAGGCAGCTCGTTCCCGGACTGGTAATCGATTCTTTTTTACTAATGATTTTCAACTGATAAGCTCTCACGCTAACCCCCTTTGAGACGTCTTAATTATACACTTCTGCAATGCATAGATCAGGAGGGTGGGGGTGGGAGGGGGTTACTTAAGAAGCGAGATGAAGAAACTCCCTTCTCTTTTCGAATAGGGTAATAGGATCTTTCCATCCACCTGAACAGGCACAGCCCGGATCTCGGTTTAGCATCTCGCCCCAACAATAACAGCATCTTGCATTCATACAGCGCTCCTCGCGCAGGGTACCGTCCTCGAGCGCTTGACAGTGGCGGAGGTGACCGTAAGCACAATCAAAAAGAAAGGTCTTCAGGCGCGATCTGAAGATGGGGAAGGGGAAGACAAGGCGGAGGGATTGAGGGAGAGTGTTACAGATATTTGGGGCGCAGTGGCTGAAAGCGAGGCCACCATTGGCGGAACAGAGGGCACGAGGGACAAGCAGGAGGCCAGGGCCAGTTGAGCGGAGGAGGCGGGTAGTGGATTGAGTAGGTCGGAGAGTTAGGGAGGTGCCAGGGCATGAAGGGATTTGAAGATGAGTGACAAGATCTGAAAATCGAAGATCCACCCCCCCTCCCCCCCCAAGGACAGATGGAGATAACTTACTCTTCACAACTTCAATGTCGTACGGGAACTGCAGGCTGCCCTGAGAGGCCATGGCTCCCAGGAAGGCGGCCACTTCGGTGGCGCTGGCAAAGCATTCGCTGAAGGTCTGGTAACATTGCCGGTTGTCGATCTCCAGGTACACGATGGAACTGTGGGGAGGAACCCAGTGGCTGTTAGCACATCCCACAACTGACCAACACAGCTTCAAATCCTCCCTGCCCGCACACTGAGAGAGACCGACACGGCGACTGAGAGAAGAATGCCACAGGTGTATCTCTTAACACACACTAGAAGAAGCCTATCTTGCCTGTAACTGTACCAACCCCATCTTGATATGCTTCCCAATCGGGGTGACTAATGTACATTCACGGTTCCCACGTGGTGCACAGAATTCCTACCCCCACAGTGAGGGGACCGGCAGCATTCAGTGCGCTTCCCAAAACCAGTCTCAGGGAGGCGCCCAAGTGCTCGGTGCACTGACTTACCCTTTGACCTCTTTCTGCTCCAGCTCGCGACGGGCTCGGGGGGTGATGGCGGTGTAGAGAGACCAGACACTGTCCGTCCCCGTTCCCCAGGCCGGCTCCCCCACAGACCGCTTGACGTGCCGCTTGTCCACCTCCTCCTCGTCCCCGAAGTAGGGGAGGATCATGTCGTCACCCTCCGGCTTCTTCTTGAACTTGAGGTTGGTGTGCAGTAACTTGCTGAGCTCCCGCAGGAAGCCCACAGACTCGTTCCGTAGCTGCTGGGGTGGCACCAGCACAATGACCACCAGCGTCCGGTCCGCCAACTTCTCCGGCTTGTCGTTGGCGCAGTCCAGCCCGTCCCACTCACACTCCATGTTGTTGCAGCCTTGGTCGCAGTGTCCATCCCCATAGTGATCCCTGCAATACTGGTCATACAGGGGGCTGAGGAAAACAGGCCACGGAACGAACATGGTCAAAGGAGGAATCCAACTCCTGCCCCCCGCTCCCACAGACAGACAGTGCTCTCAATGGGCAAGCTATTACACCCCGGCAGTTACCCCAACGCACACACTGAGGTTCCCAAGCCTTGGCTCTTGCCATCCCGCTCCTAACACTTTCCAGAATCGGGTAAGTTGGATGAGTCCCTCCAGGGAGAGAGAGCGCATTCCATTCCAACAATCTTTCTCTTGAGATTCCCACTGAGATTCCCTGGTGTAGGTGGGATACGTGGAATTCCAAGTTTGGGTTTGGAGACTCTTCAGCACGGGGATGGGTTTTCGCAAGTTCAGATTGCTTCTGACCCCGGGTAGCAGCCCCCTCCTCAGTCTCCTGCCCCGCCCCTGTGCCCCGTATGCATATCCCTCGGCCCGCCCCTCTCCCACCCTTCACCCCACCGCCCCCCACGCCACCGAGCCCCTCCCCGGCTGTCACTCACTTGCAATGCGACTCCAAGCTCTGGCAGTCGAAGCCGTCGTACAGGCAGCCGGGGGTGTTGCACTGATCGTCGCACCGGTTGTTGGCGAAGTACCGCCAGCACTGGAGCGAGAGCGAGCAGTTCTGCCAGGGGTTGTTGAAGTTGAGGGAGCAGTCGCCGCCGTCCCAGTGACAGGCGTGTGTGTTGCACCGGGCGTCACACAGCCTGTTCCCAGCCAGCATCGCGCACTCCGACACCTCACAGCTCACGTCCTGGTCGGGGGGCAGAGTGATGTCCTGCCCCTCGCCCCCCACAAAGCTGTAGTCCAAGATGAAGCACTGGAGGCCGTTGAATAGTGGGGGGCAGCGGCAGTGGTAGTAGGGGGCGGTGGGCCTGGGTTCGCAGGTGCCGCCGTTGTAACAGGGGTTGACCTCGCAGTGGCTGTTGGTCGGGAACTGGCACTCGGGGCCGGTGAAGCCGGTGGGGCACAGGCAGTGGGTGGTGCCGTGCCGGTAAACACACGTGCTCCCGTGTGGACAGTGCAGGGCTCCACACTGACTCACCTTGTTCTCACACGTGGCCCCGTCGTAACCCTGAGACACAGGACACAGAGAGGCTCAGCCACACGCAGTGACACACGGCGACACAGAGTGACACACGGCGACACACGAGTGACACACGGCGACACAGAGACACACGGCGACACAGTGACACACGGCGACACAGTGACGTGGTGTGGTACTCACAGGAGGGCAGCGGCAGATGAATCCGTATGCTGTATTCCCGGCCACGGCGCAGGCCCCGCCGTTGCGGCACGGCCGGTCCTTACACCCATCAAACACCATGTCACACCGATGCCCTGAAACACAGCAATCACCGCAGTCAGCACTAACTGTATGGTGGGGAGGGAGTGGTCTACCTGAGCCCAGAGGGTTGGGATCAGAGAGGGGTAGAGGGCAATTGGGAGTGGAGGAGGGAAGATGGCTTTGGTTTACCAACAACAATTTCTATAGCACTGCTCAGGTAGGGGAGCATCTCGGGAGCAACCGACAGTGGCAGAGGCTGACGCCGAGGCATAGGGAAAGGGGAGGTGACCACTCGTTCAAAGAGGAAGGCATTCTGAAGATGGGATCTCATCTGAAGGACAGTGTTCCCACCCCAGACCACCACCCAGCCCCCACACCCCCTTGCGCTGTGCTGGAGTGTGAGCCGCAGATGAAGGTGTGACGGTCAGGGTTGGGCAGGGGCTGACCTGTGTAGCCGGGCCGACACTCGCACTTGTAATCGTTAACCAGCTGGACGCAGTTTTGGGTGCCGCGGGCGTCACAGGGGTTGGACAGACACTCGTTGACGTCTCCCTCGCAGTGCTCGCCCACGAAGCCAGCCAGGCAGATACAGCTGTAGCCCCCCACCCTGTCCACACAGCGGCCTTTGTTGAAGCACTTGCGCTCGTGGCTGTCAGGGTCCCCAAAGGGCGCACAGTCGTCCACGTTGATCTCACAGTGAACGCCTGTGAGAGAGAGAGAGAGGAAGGGGGTCAGGACCCAGCGCCAGAGTGGTTTCAGCCTGCCCCACCAACCCACCGGAAATATACCCCCCACACTCACACACAGCCTGCCTCCCCTCCATATATACCCCTCCACACACACACAATGGGGGTGGGGGAGGAAGGGAGAGTGGGGGGGAAGGAAGAGTTGGGGGGGGGGAGGAGGGAGAGCGGGGTGGGGGAAGGGAGGGAGGGAGAGTGGGTGCAGGGGGAGGCTGATACCTTGTGTGCCCCGAGGGCAGGAGCACTTGTAGGTGTTGATGAGGTCGATGCAGGTGCCCCCGTTCTCACAGGGCTGCGAGAGGCACTCGTTGATCTCCTCGGAGCAGTTGATGCCGTGGTACCCGGCCACACACTGTCAGTGAGAGAGAGAAAGAGAGTCAGACAGGCTCAGCACCAACCACACACACACACACACACATGTAGTCACCCCGGCCAGCCCAGACCTCACCCGCAACCTCCCCCACTCCCCCAGTATGCCTGTTCCGCCATTCTATAAGATCATGGCTGATATGTACCTCAACTCCAATTAGCTGCCCTTGCCCCATATCCCCTGATATACCCTGACCTAACAAACATGTATCCACCTCAGCCTTGAAATCGTGAATGGATCCAGCCATAATCCACAGCCTTTGGGGAGAAGAGAGCTTCAGATTTCCACAACTCTTTGTGTGAAAAAATGCTTCCTGATTTCACTCCTAAATGGCCCAGCTCTGGATTCCCCCACCAGAGGAAACAGGTTCTCTGTAGCGTCCCCTATCGAATCCCTCCATTTTTTTTTAAATACCTCAATGAGATCAACCCTCAACCTTCTAAACTCAAGGGTGTAGTGACTGTGTATCTCTGGACAAACGCGGCAGCCATTGTAGCCTTCGTGCAGGATAGAGTCTCGGATAAACGGCTATTATCTTGGGCTGCGTGGCTGGGGGCAGGCGCTGGGTTGGTGCGGTGTGGACAGACCTGGCAGGAATAGCCCCCAAGGTAGTCGGTGCAGGTGGCAGCGTTGTGGCAGGGGTTGGGGGAGCACTCGTTGACCTGCTCCTCGCAGTAGCTGCCGGTGTAGCCAGCCTGGCAGCGGCAGTGGTGTGTGTTCCCGGCGTCGAGGCACAGCCCGTTATTCCGGCAAAGCTGCTCCACGTCCACACCTGCACAGGACAATCATCATCATCACAATAATAATCCTCGTATTTGATATAACGCCTTCTCACGTCTTTGAAAACGTCTCAAAACAGTTCACTTTGGTTTGATTGTGTATATTTGTGGGCGAAATCGTGGATTTACGTAACCAATTATTTTTAAGAAAAGGAATTATTACGCCCAGAGGAGCGATACGTCAATTGACTAACAACTGGATTCCTACTTAACTGCGAGGTAAACGGAGGCGTGTTGGGTAAGGCAACTTGCCTAAGGTTTCAGCCCACCCGGGAATCGAACCCGGGACCTCTCGCTTGCGAGGCGATTGCTCTACAGGACTCAACAACAGCAAGAAATCACATTTGTATAGCGCCTTTCACGTCAGGAGGGCTCCAAGGTACGGGACAATCAACCCAACTCCGGGGAGACGCAGGCTGGAGGTAAGAGATAACCTGTTCAGTTACATACCTTGCTGCTTGGCGGCCACCTGGCAGGACACGCTGGGCACGTCACAGTACAGGCCGGTCCAGCCACTCTGGCACCCACACCGGTACGTGATCCCCGTCTGCCAGCACGTGCCGCCATTCTTACACGGCGACGAGTCGCACCAGCGCACCAGGTTCTGGGGAGAAACCGGGGCAAAAAAAACAGAAAAAAAAAATCAGTCGAGATCACGCGAGAACACTGCCACGGAACAGCAGACGCTCCGAACACGCTTCACAGATACACTGAACACGATCTACACAAACATTAAACACGCTTCCTGCACGCATCGAACAACACACTACGCACACACACTGTACACGCTCTGCAAGCGCCAACCACGCTCTGTGCATGCACTGAACACTCTTCAAGCGGACACCAGGAGGAACACCCTTCTCTTTTTGGAATTAGGGTCTTTTAGGGTCCACCTGAACAGGTCACCGGTGGGGCCTCGGTGTAATGTGTGAGCTGGGGCACGAGTTACTGACCTGACAATTGATCCCAGTGTAACCCTGAGGGCAAGTACATTTGTAGGTGCCGTAGCTGTCCTGGCAGGTGCCCCCGTTCAGGCAGGGCCGGGAGTCGCACTCGTTGATATCGTGCTGGCAATAGTTGCCGGTAAAGCCAGCGGGACACAGGCAGCTGAAGGTGTTGATCCCGTCCACGCAGGTCCCACCGTTAAAACAAGAGCTGGAAGAGAAGGGGAGGGGAATAAATACACTGCTTACGCCGCTTCCCCCATACAGCCAGAAACAAACAAGCCCCGGGAAAGGAGCTGCGAAACGCTTTATCCAGCGCTAGATTGGAAAGGAATGGAAATGGGTCAGCTCTTGTTCCGACAACTTCTGATACTCATCCCTCTACCTCTCCAGCATTTCCCCTCCTGTATGGGATACAACACCCCCCCCCCCCCCCCCGACTCACCCCCCAGCGGATCCAGTTCAAGATCCACGTTCACACCTTTAAAATCCCTCCACAGTCTCTCCCCACCCGACCTCTGCCACCTCCTCAAACCGTGCCCACCTGGCTGCCGCCTTCGCTCAGCGGACACCAGCCTGCTTCACGTTCCCCGCCCCGCCCGCCCGCTCATGGCCCTCCGACTCATTCGCTCCCTCATCTCGAAACGGACATCGTTGACCATGCTTTTAGTCATCTCTCTCCTTCCCAGTGTCCCCTCCCCCCGCGACTCCTACCCCCAGCTCGCATGCCAAGCCAGGACTGTTGAGAGCTCTGAGACCTCCTGCTGAAGCAAGATGGCTTCTGTTGCTAACAGTAACCAAAATGGCTGGCACCTTGAGTGTGGGGGGCGGGGGGCTGAGGGGGGAGAAAGATGGCTGCAGTCAACGACTTCAAGCCCCAACTTTGTGCCAAAGATCACACCCGGACCCGATTGCTAATTATTGTTCGAGATTAGCACATGGAACGTGGTATGTAACATCCCATGTTTAACGCCCGTGCCGACGTGTTTGACAATTAGCGAGCACCGTGCTGGAGGCTGGAACTGGACGCTCGCTTACCTCTCTGTGCAGTCGGGAGCGTTGTTCTCGCAGTGGATGCCGCTGAAGCCGGGAGGACAAGTGCAGGTGTAGCTGTGCACGCAGTCCGTGCAGTTGGCCCCGTTCTTGCAAGGGTTGCTCGCGCACTCGTTGATGTCCTCCTCGCACTTTGGACCCCGGAATCCGAGCAGGCAGGCGCACACAAAGGTGTCAACGCCGTCCGAACAGGAGCCGCCATTGTGGCACGGATCTGTGAGAGGAGCGGGCAGGTTAGCACCATTCCCTCCGGGGCACGTGGCAGCCAAGCTCCGTGGCCAGCGCAGAGCAGGGAGAGAGTAACGGGGGAGGTGGGCTGGTATGGCCCTGTGACTCACAGCTGCGTTGGGGCCTGGATTGGAGATGATTTATGTCTGGGTCAGGGGTTGGGTTAAGGGGGTTTGTTTGGAGTCCTGGAGGTCAAGGTCATGCCTTGGTTGGGGTGGGGAGAGGGTGTCGAGTTGGGTTCGTGATTGGGTCTGGGGTGGTGGTTGGGTCGGGGATGGGGTCATGTTCAAAGCCAGGGTCAGTGTCTGCATCAGGATCATGGCTGGGTTGGTGGAGGGGGGGTGGTGTTGAGTTGGGGTCTGTAAGATTATATTTGTGACGCTTAAATTTTTTTTAAGACATCTAATTACAGGTCGAGTGGGGGGGCGGGGGTGGGAGGGGGGTTGGGATTGTGGCTGGGTTGGGTGGGCGGGTGTTGGGATGGGGTGAGGGTCCATCTCCTACACGAGAGTCACTTACTGGGCTGGCAGTCGTCGATGTCAGTCTCACAGTTGAGGCCTGTGTAGCCCGGTTTACAGCTGCAGCTGTGGCCTCCCATCGTGTTCTGACACGTGGCGCCATTCTGACATGGACTCTTAACACACTCGTTGATGTCCTTCTCACACGTTTGCCCTGGAGAGAGACAGAGGGACACTCACTGGAGGAACGACAGAATCCCGACAGATTATGTGTCAGATAGACACTCCGAGCTGGTCTCGGCCAGTGTAGGCCTGTTGGATTGGTGAGGGGCTGGTACCCGCCATTACCTTGCCATCCCTCCGGACACACGCAGGAGAAGTTCTCGTAATCGTCGGCCTCTCTGCACTGGCCGCCATTTTTACACGGGTCCTCGGAGCATGGAGCCAGCACGTCCTCGCAGTTCACTCCTGAAACAGGGAGCATTCCCACGGTTACACGGCCTGTGCAAGTGGGCAAGGCCAACAAACCCCAGAGCTCCGACACTGAAAACCAGGTCTTTGCTAATCGCCCGTAAAGCGGAGCACCACTTGATTCTCGCTCTGCTCAGGCTCAGCCTTTGCTGTTCCTGGTGTAGCCACCAGGAGGGGCTGGTTGCCAACACTCGGACCTTCTCGAAATACATAACTGGTCCGAGGGTACGGGGAAAGTGGACGAGCAACAAACAGCCATCACCTATAAATCCCCTCACACCCGAGCACTTCCCCATCTCTCCAATCTCCTCCTGTCCCCCCTCCACCGCTCCCCTAACCCCCTCCATTAGGATAAGTTGGGCTTGCTGCATGTCCCCGCCTGCTCCGCGCCACCATTGGTGGCCATTTCTCCTGCGCCCCAACACCCCAGCAAAAAATACCTCTGGAACTCCCTCCCTCTATCTCACTCCCTCTCTTGTGTGTCTTCACGTTTTGCTTCAAAACCCATCTCTTCCCGACGAAAGGCGCTGTACCAATATAATTATTTGTTGTTGTCATTGTTCTTCCACTGCGACCGTAGCCACCTCCCCCCTCCTCCCACTCATTGACAGGCTCCGAGGCGTCACTGTAAGTGCCGGGCGCTGTGTAAATGTGAGCTGCTGCTGTTGTTGTTGTTGTGCGAGGAGAGACCGTGTCTAATGCAGTCCCGTCACTGCCATTCCCAGCACTCTATCTTTCCCTGGAGCCTTTTCCTCTCGTGTTTCCAAGGAAACCTGCGCTGGGACGGGAAGCTCACCAGCTTCCACCAATTGTCCGGCATTCCTGATCCGTGAGGCCAGGCAGCCAGGAAGACGTCAGGAGTCATGTCTCTCCCACCCCCCCACCCCCAACCCCCCACCACCACCTCTCAGTCTTTGGTCACCGGAAAAACAGTGTTTTTTCCGATTGAGTCAGGGAAAAGTAAACACAGGAGCTGGAGGAGTAGGGGGAGGGGCGGGGGGGGAAGAGGGGAAGGGGACGGGGAAGAGGCAAGGGGCGGGGGTGGGGGGGTTTGCCTCTCTCCCCCACCCCCACTGCTGCCCATCACTGCATAGACACTCACAACAGGAAAGAACTCAGAGCCAAGCCCTCAGCACAGCTGTTTCGATGAAACATTTTGTGAATCAGTTGGAACCACAGAAACAAAACCCACAGCCGGTAGCCATTCGGCACATCGTGTCTGTACAAATCCTGCCTCCCTCACTGCACTGCGGCTCACTGCTTACTCTCAGACCATTCCTGCTCTCTCTCTCTCTCTCTCTCTCTCTCCATTCCTGCCTCGTGAGGTGAGACATTAAACCCAGCTCCTGTCTGCGCCGGTCGCTAGAAGATCCCGGGACATTTTTTTGGAAAAGAGAAGGGAGATTTCCATCCCAGAGTCCCTCCAACTCGCCCCCCTCCTTCCTCGTCTTGAAACCGATCTCTTCAATCTTGCCCTCTGCCACCTTTACCCTCCCTGCCTCTGCCCCCCTCCCACCCAGTTGAAGCACACTCCTAGCACGAAAGGCGATGGATAATGTAACTTGTTATTGTAGGACAGCAAAGTGCATTATAATAATCCTTACACGTGATATAGCACCTTTCACATTGGGAGGTTATCTTTAAGCGCTTCAGGAATTACTGGAAAGTGTGGTGACTGTGTATTTTGTAGATGAACGCAGCCATGGATTGAGTGGTCGCTTACGTCCACCTGAACAGGCAGACGGGGCTTCGGCTTCATTCTAAAGGACGGTACCTCCGACAATGCAACTCTTCCTCTAGCACTGCGCTGGAGTGTCGACCTGAGGACTTGTGAGTTTCAGATCCCCGTGGGGCTTGAACCCACAACCTTCCGACTCAAGAGGCGAAAGTGCTACCGGCGGAGCCGGGCTGGCACATTGGAAGGAGAGTTTAGACTTTGAGAGTGTGAGAGTGTTACCTGTGTAAGGCAGGACACAATTACATTTGTATCCAGCCACGTCGTCAATGCAGCTGCCCTGGTTCAGGCACGGGTTGGATGCACACTCGTTGATGTTGGTCTGGCAGTTGGGTCCTGCGGGGAATCAAATGGAGAACGTCTCAGCCCACGAAGGGATTGGTGGGGGGGGTGGGGGGTGGGGGGCGAAGCTCAAACACTGATCTGGTCACTGAGTGACCCAGGTGGAGATTACGAGCAAAACGTGTGGAAATCCACGCGTGAAACACGTGAGAAGTCACGCGTCAGGAGCCCCCATGCCCAAGCATAATCCGTGGGCGAACGTGAGCCGCGCGGGGGGGGGGGGAATCTTGCGTGAAGCAGGTGCGAACGGTGTGCAAGCCACGTGTAAGCAGTGTGGAAACGTGTGCGCGCAGAGGGAATCGCCTTCATTACGGATCACTGAAATAGTAATAATAATAATCCTTGCATGTGATACAGCGCCTGATCACGTCTTCGAGACGTCTCCAAGCACTTCACGGCATACACTGTAAAGTGGAGTGACTGTGTATTTTGTGGTTTGCCACAGGTTCTGCGGCTCTTACCCCTGAAGCCCAAGCGGCAGGCACACACGTAGCCGTTGTTCATGTCGGTGCAGGTTCCTCCGTTGCTACACGGCAGCGACATACACTCGTTGATGTTCAAGTTGCAGTTGGTGTCGCTCCAGCCCGGGTCACACTCACACTTATAGCTGAGAAAAGGCAGAACAAGGGAACGCTCTATGAGATCCTGTGCTTCTTGTGAAAGCCCCCCCCCCCCCCCCCCAACCCGGTCGCAGCTCGGAATATCTCACTCACACGTGAGACCACCGCAGTCAGTAAGCGATGAACCGGGGGATTGTCGCCAGGACAATAATAATAATCACAAGCGTAATCATAATAGCAACAACTTTCAAAAAGGGAATTGGATAGGAAGTTTGAAGAGGGAAAAAATTTGCACAGATATGGGGAGGGAGTGGGGCTGATTGGGTGGGCGGCTCTTCCAAAGAGCCGGGCACAGGCACGATGGGCCGAATGGCCTCCTTCTGTGCTGTAATGTTCTAGGATTCTCCTAGTCGCTTTGCCTGTTCAGGTGGATGTTAAGGATCTGGGATCGCAGTTCGGGGCCTCGGGTTAACATCTCGCCCGAAGGACAGAGCCACAGGCTGAGATCGGAGACCTGACGGACAGGAGGAGGACATTTAACAGAGGACTTGACCCGCGATCGGCGTCCACGTCACGTACCCATTGACGGCGTCACTGCACACGCCGTGGATGCAGGGGTTGCTGTTGCACTCGTTGACCTCGGACAGACACACCAGGTCGTCGTAACCCTTGGGACACAGGCAGGAGAAGCCATTGATCATGTCCTTGCATGTCCCGCCATTGCGACACGGGTTTGAGGCACACTCGTCCACGTTGACATTACACATGGGCCCTGGGGACGTGACACAAGGAAACCTTTACAGCGCTTCATCACAGCGATACATTGCAAAGCCCCGCGCACACTGCTGGCCATCATTGTCACTGTCCGTGAATACATGTGCAGATATGTGTAGGTGCGTGTGTGTAGGTGTGCGTGTCCCTGAGGCCAAACTTGCCCCGATTTGAGTTCACCTACATGAGGTGAGAGGCCTGACACACGTGAGTGCCAGACAGACGCTCCTGGGAGACAAAGCCAGGTTGACGCCGAACTGTATTAGCCTCAACGTGTTATTGTTCCCACGATTCACTCCACCTTAAATCACCCCCGAGTTACCTCGGACCCACCAGCCTCACACAGTGCTCCCCCCCTCCCCTCCCGTCAAATCAGGCCACTTTCTCTTATTACCTCCGTGAGTCAGTGCAAGAAACACAACGCTGCCCGGCCAGGTACAGAAAGCCGATACCCCTGAGAACCCGACGCCGACATTCAGCCTATTCACTGAGTTGGCGACATTCACCAATCTCCCAAACACACACTCAGTCTCACTGACACAACACTCAGTTCAGAAGCACCAACCCCCCCCCCCCCCACCCCCCGTGCTCTCACCTCCCACCCTCCCACCAAATCCCTCCGCTCTCACCCCCACCCCGCTCTCCCGACTTCAACCTCGCCACCTCTCCCTCAAACATCTTCCCTTCCCCCACCACTCGCTCCCCGTTCTTACCCACCCTCACCCCGATCTGTGCCTCAGGAGCCTGAAAGAGGGAAGCATAATAGCAAAACGCTCTTACAAAAAGCAAGAGCTCGCTATAGATTAGTCTCATGAAAGAGATTGTAATATAATCCGGGACATTTTGTGGTGAGCAGTGGTGCCGGGATCTGGGCTCTTTAACACACACAGACCCACACACACTCACAGTTAATACAGTAACTGTAGAGGGCACGAGACCCGGCTCCTCGGGAACCGTATGTTAGCCCCAGAGAACGTCTCATTACCCATACCTGTGTGCGTGTGTGACAGAGCGAGCGCGAGAAAGAGAGGGGGAGTGTGTGTGTGTGTGTGTGTGTGTGTGAGCGCGAGAGTGTGGGAGAGTAAGTGGGAGAACGAGTGCATTTGAGAGAGAGTGGGAGTCAAAGTTTGGGTGAGTGCGCGAGAAAATGAGTGTGGAGGGAGAGGGTGACTGTGTCGGGAGGGAGGAAGTGAGTGTGGAGGGAGGGAGTGTGGAGTGAAGGAGTGTGGAGGGAAGAAGTGAGTGTGGAGGGAAGGGTAGGGGCGGGCTCTGACCTGAGTACCCTGGCTCGCACACGCAGTCGTAGCTGTTGATCTGGTCGATGCAATTGCCGTACTCGCAGGGGTTACTGGCGCAATCATCCAGGTTCGTCTCACAGTTCACGCCTGAGATTCCAAAGAGAAAGACATAAGTTTTCTCCACGACAACAGTCACGTCAGTCACACAAAAGCCCCCAAAATCTATCCGCACGATGTTTCCCCTCACCAACTCCTGCCCCTCTTCTGAAGCCACTGACTCACTGGATGTCTTCCGCTCCATCGCTGACGCCTTTTCCTCAGGCCTGAGGCAGGAGTCAGGGCAGGAGAGGGGCAAATGGAGCCTCAGTCCCCGGTACGGCCCCAAACGCCAACCCTAGCTGAGTGAGCAGTCGTGGGGGAAGATACAGAAGCGAGTCAGAGGGGAGGGGATGTGGGGAGAGAGACAGGGGTGAGTGAAGTACCTTCAGTGCCCTTCAGACAAGAGCAGGTGTAGCCGTCCACACGGTCCTGGCAGGTGGCCCCATTGAGGCAGGGCTGGCTCTGACACTCGTTGATGTTGATGTCACACACGCGGCCGGTGTAGCCCGGGTTGCACAGGCACTCGAAGTTGGCGATGACGTCCTTGCACGTGCCATAGTGACAGGGATCCTGTTCGCACTCGTTCACGTCAGTCTCGCAGTGCGTGTCCTCAAAGCCTGAACAACAACAACAAATTAGATCTGTGCAGCGCCTTTCACGTCAGGAGGACGTCCCAAGGCGCTGGACCGTCGGGGATCTGCACCTGAGCTGGTGGTTGGGATCAGCAGGAGTGGACGGTGAGTAGGGTAAGGGCTGGGAGGGTGACCGAAGGCACGGTCTAAGAGGAGGGCCTTGAAACGGGGGTCTTGAATGAAGCAAGGGAGGAGGCGAGGTGGAGGGACCGTGGGATGGAGTCCCAGAGGGTGGAGGGTAGAGAGGCTGAAGGTCTTTCCCGTTGGGAGGACGTCCCAAGGCGCTGGACACGCAAAGAGCAGGCGGGTAAGTCATAATCTGAGGCAGGTTTGAGTGTGCTCAGTGCCCCAACATTGGGGCGGTCACCAAGGTCACAGAGAGAGAGAGAGTACAGAGGAGAGCCCAGTGCAAGAGGTCTGAGAAATGAGAAACGTGGTCTTTTTTCACTCAAACAGAAACCTTTGAGAGGAGACCTGGTCGAGGTCTTTCAACACAATGTTCAGAGAGAGAAGGACAGAACAGATGAGACGCTTTTCTCAAAGAGAGAAGAATGGTCCGGTACCTTCCGCACACTCGCAGTGGTATTTATTGGGTCCGTCCACGCAGCGGGCGCCATTCTTGCACGGCGTGCTTGCACACTCGTCCACGTCGATCTGACACAAGTGGCCGTTGAACCCTGCAGAGGTCAAGTGACAAAAGTTGCGGGTCAATCACAAGCCATGCGGGGGTGGGGGGGGGGGGGTGGAAAGACGGGGCGCGCACTCGCTGGTGGCGAGGGGAGGAGCCCGAGGAGAGGATGGCAATGATACGCCCATCAGGGCTATCAGCACGTCAGTATGTTTGGGGTTTGCTGGTATTGCCCACAAAATATACAGTCAATTCACTTTACAGTGTATTCTGTGAAGAGCGAAGAGCTTTGAGACGTCTGGAAGACGGGATAAGACAAGAATTATTATTATTATTATTGTTGTCAAGAGTTTGGCCGAGTGCCTCCACTCGCACGCCTCTCGCTCTGGTGATGACGAGGACTGAGATGCATTCCCATGTGAGAGGCACTGTGTGCAAGCGGAGGTTGACTGTGGAGCCTTCCGCTCCCCCCACACCCACCCACCCCCCCCCACCCCCCCCCCCCCACCCCCACCCCCTCACCCACAGCAACACATTCAGGAGAGATTTCCATTTTGCATTCCGCCTGTCCCACAGTCACTACACTTTACAGTGAATCCTGTGAAAGGCCCCGAGACATCTGGGAGACATGATAAGGACGCTGTATGAATGCAAGGATTTTCCCTGTCCTCTCCGGGTCTTGTCCGTCTCGCCCTCAGCCCCAGACTCTGTGTGTGGGGGTGGGGGTGGGTGGGGGGGGTGAGTGGGGGAGGGGTCGGTGGCAGGGGGAGTCACGGTCTTTGCCCTTTTTGTAAAATTGAACATCTTCACGGTTGCGTTCGCCGTCTCCGCGGCAACGGTGCTCAGGGGGAACCCAAGCGATGTGCTGACCCCGAGCTGAAAGGAGCTGGAATTCCGACGCTCAGCCACACCGAAGGCTTTGCCAACTTCAGAAAGACTCCCAATGATTAACTGTCTGTTTGCTCTAAGCCCCGGCCTCACCCCGGCCAATCCCCTCGGCTCCCAGACTTCACATTCATTTAACGTTCTGACTGCATTTCCACCGGCCACGGAAAAATACCCCTGAACGTCGGCCAGCGCTCCAGCGTGTACCTCACTCTTACCATTCTGACCCCTTTTTTGCTCGCTCCGGCCCTCTACTGCGCTAACTGGTCAGGTACGGTGCGCTGTGGGCGGGGGGCGGGGGGGGGGGGGGGGGAGAGAGCAGGAGCTATAACGTCCGCTCTAATTTACACAGTATTCTGACCCCCATCTCCTCAGAATAGTAATGATCTGTTTAAGCTCACGCTTTGAAATCCTGAGATGTCTCAGGCTGCATGTCTAAGATCTTAGCTTTACTTCTTGCTCACCGCCCCCCCCCCCCCCCCCCCCCCCACCACCCACCCCTCTCTCTCTCTTTGGCCTGCCTCTCACCTCTCTCTCTCTCTCTCTCTCTCGCACCAGCCTCACATCTCTCTCTCCCTGTCTCTCTCGCACCCCCCCCCCCCTCACTGCCTCACACCTCTCTATCTCTCTCTTTCTCCCCCCATCACGCTCCCATGCCCTCTCGCTCCCCACTCACTTTCTCCCTCTCTTGCACCCCTCACGACCCCCACCCCCCAAAGTATTTAGCCTGTGAGAAACTAAGCCGACGAGTGGGGGTGCGGGGAGAACAACAGGGAGCCTGGATTCTCTCTATGTTGGTTGGTCTCAGGACAGTCAGATTGATGCTCCAATAATAATCATCATCTTTGCATCTGAAACAACCTCGTGTTGGGAGGTCGCTCAGAGAGCTTCACGGGATAATACTGTAAAGTGCAGTGACTGTATATTGTGTAAGCGAATGTGGCGGGCAACGTCCCACCAATAGCCACGGAATGGAGCGTGAGTCCAGTTATATTTGGGGGATTGTTGGCCAGGACACCGGCAGAGAGAGAGAAACCCCATTCTCTTTTTGAATAGCGTCACGGGATCTTTAACGTCCACCTGAATACGGCCGGACAGGACCTTGTTTAACGTTTCACCTGAAGGACGGCACTTCTGACTATTCAGCGCTCCCCCACCACCACACAGGAGTGTCAGACCAAACAGTAACCCACGTCCCCTGGGCTGCAAACTACAATCCTCTGACTCAAAGGCAGAGAATGACTGAACCAGCCCGACACAACCTGGAATTATATAGCTCTCTTCACGTAGAATAATAAGTGTGTGTGTGTAGATGTGAGTGAGGGCGGTGGTGGGGGGGTGTGAGTTTGTGAAAAATTGAGCGTAGAGTGAGAGAGAACACTTGAGTGTGGGGGGTGGGGGAAGTGAGAGAGAGAGAGAGAGAGAGAGTGTGTGGGGAGGGGTAGAGGAGAGGAAGAGATTTCTACCTCGAAAAACCCAACAAAGAGTTTGGATTTCGCGATATCCAGGGAGACGATTAATTGACGGCTGCTACAGCCCGGAATATTCTTGAGCGGATGCACAAAGAAAGACTCGACTCTTTTGCCTGTGTTATGTTCCCGCGGCTGCTCTGAGGTTGCTGTGAGCACGCGCTGCGGGCTGTCAGTAGCTGGAGGCCGTGGGGAGCGAGGGGAATTGGTAAAGCCTGCCCGTAGGTCGGGATTACAGACTGCCTCAATTTCAGGCAGAGAGGAAGCGGCTATTGAGCGCTCGCTCACCTGAGGGGCATTCGCACTGGAACTCGTTGATCTTGTCGATGCAATTACCATTATTCAGACACGGGTTACTGGCACATTCATCGCTGTTTATGTCACAGAAAATCCCTTCGTAACCTGCGGGGGGTTTTTTTAAAAAAAAAAGGCAGAAATACACGTGAGAGGAGTCAACTTGCTTTTGCACCTATTTTGGTGGTAGGTGGTGGGGGTTGGGGGTCGGGGGTGTGGGGGGCGCGGGAGGAGAGGTGAGGTAGGTAGGGTTCCTCTGGGGATTGTGTAACAGGACTCCAATCACTTCTATCTCGTAGCGTGATGCCAGGAGGTGTAGACGTGTGCGCATATATGTGTACATGTATACATATGTGCGTGCGTGTGCATATATGTTTCTGTGTGCATGCGTGTGCACGTGTGTGCGCATGTGTGTGTGTGTGCGCATGTGCGTGTGTTTGCGCATGTGCATGTGTGTGTGTGCGTGCGTGCATATGTGTGTGCGTGTGCACCTGTACAAGTGAGAGCGGGCGCACATGTCGCTTGTGCGTGATTGCACACGCGTGTGCTTTTGCTTACTGTGAATGAGATTAGGGCTATAATGCCCCCACGAGGATGCGGGGCCTGGGCTGACGGGGCAAGGCAGGTGGGGTGGGGGATGAGGGTCTGTCACTCACCGGACATACAGATACACTGGAATTTGCCGATCAGGTCGAGGCAGGTGGCTTCGTTCTGGCAGGGGTTGGACATGCACTCGTTGAAGTCCATCTCACAGCGCGGCCCGTGGTAGCCCAGGGGGCACAGACACTCGAAGGAGCCCAACGTGTTGATGCACTTACCCGAGTGCTCACAGGGGTTGGCACCTGGCGGAGAGGCACACAGCACGGAAATGGTCAATCTTCCTCCCGACCAACACACACACACTAAACACACAGTAGTAACACGCAAGTGATTGGCTCATCACACGGTAGTAATACGGAAGTGATTTGCTTGTCATGTGGTGGGTCACATGGTAGGAACACGCAAGTCATTTGCTAGTTACACGGCAGTAACACATGAGTGATATACACCGGTAACGATGATAGTCACACACTGATGACATACTAGTCACACAGTAGTGCCATGCTAGTCACTGGATTAACCCATTGCATAGACCATGAGGATGCCCTTATCTTGCTCTGCGCCTGATCGCTTATCTCCCTACAAACGTCACTCAGTTACTGATGAATGGAGGGAGGGGAAGCAAACAGTGCAGGAAGTCTTGCGTCACCGGGAGGAAAAATACTGGGAGTCCATCACGAGGGATAAGATAACT